CATCACTGGCACCTGTTCCTATTGTAGGCAATCCATAGCCGACGTAGATTCGAGCTCAGTATACTCCAGAGGTGGCTAGAGCGTTGAGGCTCTCATTACAGCTACGGAGTTGATTATCTGACATTAAGTACTGAGCTTTTGGCTCTTTGTAATACGTCCAAGCGGCTGTCAGTAATGTGGGGAAGTTCCTCGATGATTGTTGCAAGGCATGAGATAAGTGATTGAAGTTGAAGCCCAAGGCGATGTTACTTTTGAGCCTTAAGTACGCCTAGAATTGTGACGCCTCATACTTCACATCCCTAATTGGAGTCCTACAACTGATTGCTGAAATCTCACTGTAATAAATCCAACTGCTGGATTTGAGACAAAGAATCAAACAACTTGCGCATGTGGTCAAATGGCGAACTCTGGAGGAAATGTTGTTCCCAAACCAACTTGTACCAAGCTGACTATACTCCTGACACTACTACGAAACGTTCTTGAACGGGTTCTTTGTGTGGGTCAATGGTGCTTTGGTGTACTGGATGGCAAAAGAGCAGACCTCTGTTGCCCCAGCAGTTTTGGAAGTGGCTTGAGCATTGAGACTTTGTTGTGAATGTCTTCTTGGCTTACTGTATGAGTTGAGGATGAAGGAATCCCTGTACTTGGCGCTACTTTTATCTCTGTTGATAACAAGTCTGTGTTTGCTATGACAGGAGGTATTCCCAACTCCCGAATGAAGAAGTCACAGTCCATTGCCCATCACTCATGAAAGTGACGTTGATTTGACTAATGACTGCTCTATGGCGAAGAATGAGCCTGCTTCACCAAGTCCATGGGCGGTAAATGATTGTATGTCAATGTATTGATGTGCTTGATATGTATCAATGTGTGATTTGATACGTATCTATGAAGAGGATCGATGTGTGATTTGATATATCTATGATATTGATCGGTGATTCAATATTTCTATGCTATCAAAAAAGATTGATGATTGATCCGATATATATATGATATTGATCAATGTGTGATTTGATATATCTATGATATTGATCGGTGATTCAATATTTCTATGTTTTGATATTTATCGATGTGTGATTCGATATGTATATGATATTGATCAATGTGTGATTTGATATATATCTATGATATTGATCGGTGATTCAATATTTCTATGTTTTGATATTTATCGATGTGTGATTCGATATGTCTATGATATTGATCGATGATTCGATATATCCATGTACTGGTGGATGTAGGTCTCCAGCCCTGACCGAACCACGTACCCTGTTTTGTTGAAATCCTTGTTTGTGAACTGTTTGTCCAACCTTTGAAACAAAGTCCTTGCCCCATTTGCAATCTGTTACGCTTTAGCGCGTTTCCAGCTTGAGAGGAGTGTTTTAAGGCCAGGCAGACATACCTGAGACTGGTTGGCTCGCTGACTGAAGCCGACAACACTAGCGATTTGTACGTGCGCGTGCGTACGTTGAGCGATAGTTTGCTTGGATGTTTTCACATCAACACAATTAATTTTAAGGCATCAAGGTTTTACGATTATCCTTTGAGGTCAATGCACATCCTTTAAACACGCGTGCCGCATGCGGACGGATGATTCTGATGATTCGAATTGATTCATTCGATCGAGGGTCTCATTCATTTCTCAAATCGCATGTTTCTGCAGAAATATAAAGAGAGAAGACGACACACGCAGTGTTACAGCAAAACACTGCAGGCGTATATACCAGTGATTCCACATTGTTGATATCATGAGCGTCACAATACCCTTTCGTTCACCAAGACATGCTGATATTGAGCAGCCACCACCACCACCAGTGGAAGACGGAACAGCCGTGACAATAGCTGCAGACAGTGCTGACAGCATTATCAACGACGCCCCCATTCCAGAGACATCCGAGCGTCATCGATTGGAGGGCCTTGGACCAGCATCCATGTGGAAGGCAGCCATTGTTGCTGTTCTGATCATTATTTGTAGCAATATACTGACAACATGGTTGGTGGTCACGCGTACTAGGTCTACGGTTGTTACGGTCTCCACCCGCAATCGACCCTTGTTCCCAAAAGACAACAGCACCAGCATAATTACCATACCACAAGATGAAATGAAATACCTTCAGCAACAATACAAAGAGGGTTACGTGATTATATTCGAAGGGAGCTGTCAATACACGAGTAACTACGACGGCATGTACACCTTGCCGGTCTCGATGTATTCCACAGAACTGTACTGGGTTATTCAGAATAATAATCAGGATGATTTATACGAGTATCATAACATCCGAAAGTTGAGCGATGGGACAGTCGCTTTGGGATTTCGGTGTACTAAACCCCTGTCGAGTTGTCAATTAATGTCAGAAACGGTCTGCAAACAAGCGTTGGAAGCTACCTAGTCATTCATCATTGCAAGCCAATGATGCATGAGAGCTTCAATCTTTAGTAGACTATAGTAGAAATAATTGGAAATAGATGAATAACGTTTGTTTGATAGCATTACTTGTAGCATAGCCACTACTAGTAGATTGTATACACATTTGTGTGATAAGTGTGCGACAGCAGGCAGGTATAGTAGGTAGTGTGACATGTTGTGTGAAAGGCTGACCTGACAGGACAATAGCCTCTTTCACAGATATAGCGCTCATGTTTGTGTTTGTGGGTGTGTGTTGTTTCGCCTCATCATATATATAAAAGGCAGCACGATTGTCAGAAAAAGTAGTATAGCAACAATTTACATTGCTTCCTTTCTCTTCTGATCATCATCATTATCATCATCATGATCATTATTGCAGACAGACTCCGCATAGCCAATCGTAAAAGTCTGGTGACGCCGGTTGTTCTTCCCAAATTTCTTGCTGTTGTCGATTCCAAGCTTCTTGTTCTTGTTGCAAGCAGCTAACTTCTTCCAATCGGCGCTGATCCAATTCACGATAGAGCCAATGGGTATAGTCGGATCGATGTTGCAAGTTAAGAGTCAGTTTCCCAGCATTCCCAAAGGGCATGGTCAACGACCACGATTTGAAATTCGTGGCCGTCGGCTGGGCAATCAAACTGGCCAGCGGCAACGTCATGCTGGCGGATAATCGGGACGAAGACGACCTTCGTTTTTGCTTTTCAAAGAGACGGATTTCGAGATTCAACAAGGAGGGATCCAAATCGTTCCTTTTTTCTTCGTCGTCACCATTGTATTCCTCAATGGTCTCGAGGTTGGAATTAGTAGCGTTATTTTGATTCGTCGCCTGTTGTGGAACCTCCCATACCATGGATGGTCGTTTGGGTACAAATCGTTTCTTGTCTTTGGAATATTCGAGTATGGCCATTTCGGAATGGCCCGCAAAAGTGACATTCATGGACCATTTTTGCTTTGGGTGAATCCCCGTGACGGATTGGATTTGCAAAGTAATGATACTGGGTGCAAAGGAATCTGGCGGTTCGATCCGATAAGGTTCCGAGACAAAGACCACTTCCGTTCCCGACACCCGTTGATAAATGGCATGATTCGCCCCACCAATTCCATTCTGGGATGCAGTGACGATAAAGGGTGTAGCATCCAATTCACTCTTTTGGATTTGAATCGCTTGAATGGTGCTCGTTTGTTGTTGGGCCACCTTGTAAAAGGACTCGTGGCACATTTTGCGCAAACACACAAATCGAACCTTGCCCGTCTTGCGGTCCCATCGCAACAACAAACCATATTGCAAGGACAAAAAGCCCAATTTCATTTCAATCATGGACCTCGTTTCAATAAAGCTGGGTGTTTCTTGAGAAATTTTGGCATCTCTCTTGAGGAGAGACGATTTGCGTTCATTGCCTCGTACTTGAATGACCAATTTCATCTTGTCCCTTAATTTCTCCAGGGTCGCATCCTTGCCTTCGGCGCAAATATTGCTCCCCAGCGCTACTCCCCGACCCTTGTCCTTTTGGAGTTGGGCATGTGGATGCACAAAGGAAATGGGTTCGGGCAATCGTTTCTGGATCAGTCCATCCAAATGGATTTCGCCTTTGGAGGGCTTTTGAAAGTCTGACGAAAACAATTCTGGATTGTATTGTCGGTTGTACGCCTCAATGGGAGCCACACGTTTGCGTCTTGGGGAAATTTTGTGAAAGTAGGGTATCCTCCGTTCCTTCTTTTTCGGAGGAGGCGTTGCCGACTTGTCCTTTTCGGAAGTAGTACTGGGCGTTATCGATGAAGTACTGATGGGATTCAAAGAGGCTGTAGAATTATTCGACACAATTGAGGTGTCATCCGCATGCAACAGATCATCTTCGGCATTGTTGCTGTCAAAACTAGTAGCTTCTTCCAAATCGGATATCCCAGTGCTGCTATAGGCCAACTCTTGCGAATAATCTTGCAACAGGAGTTGTTCTTTCAATAAGGATTCAAAAAATTCTTCGTGCATCTGACAGTAATCCCGTCGATCATCGGTAATGCCCTTGTTGGAAGCGTTTCGATCCTTACCAAGTTCCGCCAGTGCCTTTCCCAAGAAACCTTCATTCTGTGCATCGCAACCAAAGAAATCAATGGAATGTTCCACCCAATTCATCCAATGCGCAGTGGGAGCATCCAAACATCTCGCTGCCGGATTCGATCGAAAGCCATCGTCGTAATACGCACGTTGTGAATTATTGCGAGTAGTAGAAGAACCATTCTTATCATGAATCGATGAATTGCTATTGGATCGACGATGTCGAGTTCTTCTTCTGGTTGGATTGTAGAATATCGACGATACCACCATGTTTGTCGTGCTGCTTGTGTTTCTGGCGTTAGTGTCGTTGTTTGGACTAATGGCCTTGCTGGGAATCTTGGAATTCAGAGGTCTGCCGCTATTAGAATTCAGAGAAACGTCACTGTCATCATAACTATGGCTTCCATACTGCCGCAGGACCCTCAGTCGTGACGGCGAGTTCATCATGGTGACTTGTGGCTTCGTGCCTTAGGTTTCAAACACTGAGGAATCCGATGTATGCGTTGTTCTTGGTGGGACTTGATCGGTTGGTTGCGCCTTATTATTATAATAGACAAAAGTCAACGTCCGCTGATGAATTCGAAACACCTCTCTAAAAGCCAAGCTCAAGCCTTTATCACTCAGCAGTGGCAATGTAGGAGCAAACTAAAAGTGCTTTTGTGGATTGAAGGAGGATGGAACACCACTTAATTGTGACACTTTCAGTCACTGGAAACTTTCTAAATGTTGTCCTGAATTTTTGGCCATGGAGTTTCCATGCGGCCAATGGTTTGTGGAGGTTTCTGATAGGAGCTTGTTTAGTGTCAACTTTATCCGATGCGGTCCAGCTTTTTATCCGTTGGTTCAGTACGAAACTACATATGATCGGCATGCGTCCTTTCCCAACTGACGCGTGACACCAATACCTTGGTATGCATTTCTACGCAACTTAATTTTTGATCGACCCAATGACACGCTTTGCAAGAGTCAAAACCGTTGGGAGTCGATACGAAGCTGGCATGTCCATAAATCGCTTTGTCACAACAGGACTACTACTTGGTCACAGGATTGAGTCCCGCTTAGGTTTGAAAGACGCGAGAGTAAATAATTTAGCTTGGCCTACTACAGTTGGTACCATTCATTCTGTCACGTACACCCTTTCATCGGCGTTATCACATTGTAGTTCATATAGCAAATGTACCACACTGCAGTTTCGATAGAGTCACTTTATGCATTCTTAGCTTTTAATACATTTATCTATTCTTTCTTGAGAGCTTTGAAGACGTCGTTTCCACCACTTTCCTGTTCTGATGGATCCTCATGATCGTCCAATGTAGTCATGGCAGCGTCATATTGCGGGCCTAACGATAGCAATTGAGTGAGCTTGTTCCAAGTGGGTGCAATCGCATCTTGTCCGAACCAGACAAAGGGATGCTTCATGGAACTCGAAACCAATCCAGTATGCTTCAACGTGGTCCATATTATGGCCGTCATGACCAATCCAAATCGAAGATTGTCCGTCCCGGAATAGGATGCGCAATGATGCTCACGCAATTCATTGCCAATATTCTCGTACCAACCCATGTTGCAGGAAAAGACGGCAAAATACCACCACAATACCGAATGAAGAAATGTATTCCAAAATCCAACTTCCATGGCACTGATACTAGGCCCACTGATAGGATCTTCTGGTTTCAATCCTTGGATCATGCTTCGTTCCCCGTAACGGATCCAACTACCACCGACGCCCGCCAACATTCCACCCATCAGGGGCGCCGTCACTTGATTCTTCAACTCGCGGGACGCTCGACCAATTCTACCGGGTGGTGTGGTAATCCCGTCCACCGCTTCCCAAAGGTTCAAGAAATATCGCCAAAAGGATGTCGGATCCATGTATTCTTGATAACACCAATCGTATGGACAATACCAAACTAGCATGTAACATATGGTATGACAGGCTAGAATCCGTGGGTGTCCCAATGCCGTGATCGGCAGTCCCAACAACCAATCCGATACAATGGATCCACCAAAACCATAACACAAAAAGGTCCAAGTAAAGGAAGATATCGGATGTACTCGTGGTTTCACTTTTTGCATGGATTCTCCGTTCGTATCGTCTCGTGGTTTCTTTCGAAATTGGTATCTCAACGACCGTTGTTCCAATTCATTTCGGTAGGCACAAGAGGCCACGATGCAGTGGGAAATGACAATCATATACGGGTAAGAGGTCCGAGTGTATAGAATGGTCGACAATAATGGAATCCAAATGACATTCATCAGTGGATACGAAATGGCCAGGACCGTTGCCCACACTGCATAATTGTTTCCCCTTTCTCTTCCAAGGATTTTGTTCTTGAAGAGTAAGAAGAAAATTATCAGCGCCAGCAACACAAGTTCTTCCACTGGCGCTCCCGTTATATCATTGTTCAATTCGACTCCATGAAAGATCCATTTGGATGGCAAATCTTCTTGGATGGCGGTTCGGTAGTTGTCGGAAAAATGAGATGCCGACGATGATCTGCCTTTGAATAATTTTCCAAACGGCATTCTTCTTTGTTTGTTTATTGTTTGGGCGCTTTCTGTGTATGAAAAAATAGGCGTTGGATTATCCTTGATCAGCGCTTTCAGTTACTACTTTGATTCGGTGTTTGCTTCTACTCTTTGTTTTGTATTTCTCACATGAAGTGATTGATGTAATGATGCTGATGAGGAGATGCGATGATACGTCGTCGGTTGGAGTTGACGATCGATGACGTCTGAAAAAATCTTTGTTGATTCCCGATGAAGGCCAGACGACGATATGCCGGTGACCTTCACACTTCAGTCACATCATCCATACCGGTAGATGATATGGTGTAATATCCATTCCCCTTCTTCGTCATATGATATATTTCCTTGCTCCAACTTGTGCCTCTTCACATTAGCGTATGATGAAAACTTCCTCAACACGGCAGCAGTCCTAATCATGCGGTAGAAGCAGATCAATCGTCATGATTTTTGTTTCCCCTCATTGTACTAGAACGCAAAAACAACATTTATAATTATCTCCTATTCATGCGCTTCCATTCTACCTGTCTCTTGAGTCAGCAGAGCTATTATCAAGCAACTATTTGCCTTTAAAACAATTGCAGCGACATCACCAAGGTGAAGATGAGGCAAAGGCGACCACTCCAAAAAGCCGATGGTACACAAGACGCGGAATTTGGAGCTGAAGTGAATGAAACTGTAGGGGTGGAAGTTGGAACTGGAGTAGGAGTCAATGTTGGAACCGAACTGGGAGTCAATGTTGGAACTGGAGTAGGACTCGATGTTGGAACTGGCGTAGGACTCGATGTTGGAACTGGAGTAGGACTCGTTGTTGGAACCAAACTGGGTGGCGATGTTGGAACCGGAGTAGGAGTAGAACTCGGTGCAGAACTTGCGAAGGCAGTTGGCTCGTTGGCAAATGGAATCTCACAGGAGCACCCATCCACTAAAGACTCCGCGGTTTCAGATTCGTTTTCGAACGTCTCCACAGATTGGACAAGAGAACAAAGATCTGGAAGGCAGTTGCTTGTGGCAGTGTCACATCTCCACACACAGCTTCCTCCTCTTAATTCACAATCCTCTGAACTTGACGCACAAACTCCACCAGATTGCAATGGCTCCGTATATATTTCGCTTTGTGCAAAGGAGACATCTCCAGTAGAAGTGACGTCGAAGACGCAGTTTTCATTGAGCACATCGTCGAGGATATTCGCGCAGGCAGTTCTGGCAAGTTCGAGTGTTGCGACATCTGGCTCCGGTCGAGGACCTGGTTCGCGGCATGAACTCTGTGCAGCTTCACGAAAGAGTTGTAGGTCCCCTTTGCTTGCATTGATCTCCCATTCCATGGCGAACTCCGTTGTGTTCTCGAATACAGAAAGACCGTCGCGTCCGATGAGCGGCAATCGGTCCCATTTGCCACTCATGCCATTAGAGTCGCGAAAGTCGGAACCATGACCGTGAACTTGGAGGTTGAGAACCGTTCCAAATTGAGAGAGTTGAATGAATTGACCGCCTGAAAGCTGAAGCGAACCAACCCCTGAGCTGCTTACTGAGAAGGGAAATGAACCTGCCAAAGCCACAGGCGGTGCGCCAGAGGCCAATGATTCGCCATTCAAATAGTAGTATGCATTATCATCCATTTCCAAGGTGTCATTCCCAATGCGCATGGCAATGCCTGAAAGTGACGACCAGTGTCGGCGTCCTAAGGATTTTGTGCGAATGTGGATCTCCACAAGCGCATTGCGAAGGAACACCATATCGCAAACTCCATGATAGGCGTAGCAATTCTCATTGAAAGTGCAAAAGTGCGGATCTGGTGCGAGCAAAGACCGAGAGTGTTGGATACGTATTTTTTACAGCATACAACACACTGCACTTTTTACTTACCGAGATATGCCTTCGAAATTCCGAAGTCGTTCGGACCAAGCACTTCTTTGATTCCGTGGTCCGATCGGAGAGTCTTCCATATCAAAGTCTCAAGATTCCCTGCGTCCACCTTTAGGCCAAATCGTTCAAAAAGACACAAGTCTTGTGCAAGCGAGTAGGCCCCACGAATTTCACCCCAGACAGGAATGGCATCCAACCCAAACTCAACTGCTGCTTCCGCTATTGGACGACCTTGAAGAAGCACTTCATTGGCAAATACGCCCAAGCCAATGAACCTTCCAACAACCGGTAGCTTAGAAGCCCGTTTCAAAGCTTTGCAAGGGTTGAATCGCCCGCTACTGCAGGGATTAATTTTGGCACGGGATCGAGCTCTCGAATCCAGTTCTTCAAGCATTCGAACTTTGTATTCTCTGTACTTTTTGTTGTTCCACTGGTTGTAGCTGTAGTCAGGATTTGGAATGCCTGCATCAAGCATTTGTCTAACTTTTGGATCTGCTGTGATTTCCTGAAATCCTTGGGTCAGAACTTCATTTTTGACAGGGAGTCTTCCATTTTTGTCTCTGAAATCAACGACCCAACCGTCCCACATTTTGTTCAATTCAAGCGGCTTGACGATCGCATTCTTGCCTCTGTGGTCTTCCCGTCGCAACAATACTCCAAATTGCTTGGATTCAATGCGGTTGAGAAAGTTCCTATCAAGGCCATCGATCTTATAAGCATTCTTCCCGCTGCCAAACACACCTTGAGGGACTATGTGTTGATACTCAATCGGCAAAGGTGCACTTCTTAGCCTTCGGGCCCTTAACTCGCCATCGCTATCGACCACGTCGTCCAAAGTATCATCCTCTGTATAATATTCGACATCCTCAAAGCCTAAAATGTCGATGTCTACCTCGACTGTCTGGTCGGTTCCGTTGTAGGAGGCCGAGAAAAAGATAGTGTCACCAGCGATGGTTCTGGATTCGATTGCGAAGGCGTCATACTGAATTCCTATCCAGGTAGGGACATAGCGAAGGGTCGTGCCATTAAAGACGATTCGCCCAAAGGCAGGTTGGGCAAGGATGGTTGCATTATCAAAATTGAAGATGGGCACTCCTGGGATGCTCGACGACAGGGGGAATTCAATTGCATCGTCGGGGAGACAATCCTCGTTCTGTCCACAATCATCATCGAGAATGGATCCAATCGAAGGAAAGGAACAGAATAAGCCGTCCTCATTCGTGACTACCACTTTGGAGCTCCTGAAATCCGTTGACTCTGAGAGGTAATCAATCGACAGGTCAATCTCCATCGTTTCGTCACCTCTCTGGGCAGTATAGGTCAACGAAACGTCCGCAGAAGGTGGATTCAACGCTACTGAAGTTATATTGGACACCGAATTGGAAGCTTGTAACATGATGATACCATCCTCAGTCACGTCCTTCACCTCACAAAGAGGAGGGCTGGTCTCGATTGAAGGTGCACTTGGAGGATTTGAAGGGGACTGAGAATGACCGCTCGGAGAAGCTGAAGGCGATTCGGTAGGATTTGTAGAGGGTCTCGCGGAGGGTGTATCAGTGGGGATTGCAGAAGGGTTTTCTGTTTGCCGTGTGAGCCCGCTGTACCGCACTCTGTCTTGAGAGAGATTGTAATAACAGAAGCTGCCAGTTATATCAAATGATCCTGTTACATTCAACTCCAGCTGGCCATTCACAAAGGCCAACATGCCCTCGCTTGAAACTTCAAACCGAAACTGGTATGTCGTATCATAGTCCCATCCAATGCTGGCATAGTTGATACCACGTTGAATCTCTGTCACGCCACCAGCATCATTGCATGAGGCCAAGTTGGTATGTTCCCAAAACTCATCCCAAACGGGTATCCCCTTTATCTCTGATATGGCGAATCCAACGGACCCTGTTCCAGAATTGCCTCTACAGTATCGATCGCTAAAGGGAAGCGCCTGGGATCTCTTCTTCCAGTCGACCAAATGCCAATTGGCATCCAAATTCATGTTGTCTCCAATGTTATACCCAAAAGCAAATCCAATGAAATCATCGTCGGAACGGCCACCACTTGCCACCATGATTTCACCTTCCAAGTTGGAACCAGTAGCAGGAAAGTCACTGCAAAAAAGGGAGGCGCCCCCATTCACGCTCTGGGAGACGCTCAATCCATCTTCTCTGACTTGCCAGTTCGAAGGACTCCATTTGCTTTCATAGGCTTGCACTGTCCAGTTGCAGAGATCCACAGACATGATAATAGGCAATGAAAAAGGTGAGACTTTGCTGAATTGACTTGTTTGAAGACTGTTCAACCAAGTATTTCTGTTTTATGATGCTCATCATATTGCTTGAACGTTTGTTTCGGTCTCAGTCGCGTAGTGTACATGTAGAATACTGTTCACACAGTCGCGTTTCAAACGCGCGCGGGAAGAAAAGACTTTGGGTCGAGGGACAGACGCCTTGGCCGGCCTGTCGTGCCCCGCTCACGCTTATTTGGCGATATGATTTGATATCGCCAAACCAAAAAATAATCGTTCGTTCTGCACATCATCATCAATCTTGACGACTGCTACTATTCAACAAATCAATTACTACTTCCTTCCTAATAGTATTCACCAACAAACGCATTCTACCTATTTGGAACTATAAAACTACAAAATGGGAAATCAGGCAAGCACACACAATCCCGAATTGATTGATACCAGTCTCGAAGATTGGTATGGCGGCGGGGGTGGAGGACGAGGAGGTTCTTCCAAGTCTCGTCGTCACTATGATGGCGATGACGACTGGGCGCCTTCTTCCAGGGCTCCACGATCCCCAAAGACTCCGACTGCACTGAGATCACCCAAGACATCCATGTATGACGAAGATGTCCGGGATCCAATTGCATCGGCCAAGCCTTCGAATATCTTTCGCCCCAATTTGGAACCATTGGTCCAGGCGACTGCAGCCGTCTTTCACATGACTTCTATGGACCAGAATGAAGAGAACGCTGATTGGAGTCTGCCAGCACGAGGTGCCGACCCGGATGATGTATCTGTCTCGGACCGATCGGCTGCCGTCTTTGAACATTTGGAACAACAAGCACGAAAGGGAAATCACAAGCCATTTGTCAAGCTCTTGGAAACAGCTACTGTTGTCTCTCAGCTTTTAATGGGATCCCATTCAGAAGCTTCCGAAGAAGTCGAGCGGCCTCCTGTTCAATCTGCCTCTTCCGATAGCAGTGACGAAGATAGTGATGATGACAGCGATGACGACGACAGCAGTGCCGAAGGCAGTGTAACTTCCGAACAGTCCGCAGTAGGAGCCGTAGGAGACAACATCTTCAATCGATTGGGCAGTACTGATATCATCGACCTAGAAAGTGCGAATGCGGGAGATGTCTTTGATCTTCTTGACAGGGTCAGTGTTGATGGAAACGATGTCAAGGATTTTTCCTCTGCCGTCTTTGGCATGCTTGAAGACGCCAAGTCCTTTTCCAATCAACCCCCGGAGGAACGCAAAGTCAATATCTTCCGCATGCTCGAAGAAAATGACATGCTAAGTCCCCGTGAAACAGAATCGGAAATGCGGGACGATATACCTCAAGACCGGGAGGCTGTAGAGGGCCGCGAAGAAAGTCCTGAAATGACTGACAAAGAAGATGGTATCAGCGTTTTGGAAACCCCAGATGTCGACACCGTAGATGGCAAGCGTAGTGTCCAAATCAAGAACATGGAAGGCGATCCAATTGATCTAGCCTTTGTCCAAGACTTTGATGAAGCCTTTAATGAATTCATGGGACACCATCCCAAGTTTCTCTTGAAGAGTCCAGAATTGGTCCACAATATCCGCATTACCAAACTACAAAAGCTTTTAGCCTTTATGAATGCCAAAGAGAAGAGCACCGCCGCTGAGCTGGGCGAACTTGACGGGAAGAAGAAGAAAATGGAGGATGAATATCATTTGCGCTTGCGAAAAGCTGCTACGGCCAAGGCAGCCAGACAAATTTACTTTCAATCCGAGTTGGAGAAGGTTGCTCATGTTTCCAATACCCTTGAGGCAAAGTTCAAGTGGGCAGTCGTGTCGTCCGCCGAGGCTCGTACAAAGAAGCACCACATGATGCGTCAAGATTTTGCCGCAGAGAAGCCAGATGAGTGTCGAGACCAACTTCTCGAACGGCTTCCAAAGGATGTTCCCGGTCAGAGTATTCTGGCTGTCATTCGTGACGATGGCATTCCTTCTACCATGACAGCTGCCGAAAAGGGCCTTGAAATCAGAAAGCTACAAATGAAGATTGCCTTTTTGGCCAGCGAGGTGAAGATATGGCAATCGAAACTCGAAGTGATGGAGGAAGAAAAGAAAAAGGTCGCTTGGGTCGAAAACATTTTGCAACAGCTCACTTCGAAGCAATTGGCTCGACTTCGGGGACGGCACCAGAGAAAGACTGGCATCCAATTGGCCTAAACAGACAGTATTATCTTGAACAGTCCAAGCAAACCATCAGTCTCCTGTGTGACTAGGCGCACATCATATCACTGCTGCGCCCCTTGAGATTACCATCGAATGAATGAAGAATGAATCAATAGTTTTGAACAAGTTGTAAAGTAGCCCGACAGTAGCATGCATATATGTATACCATGAGAATATACAATGAGTCACGTTCTTGTTTTTTTACCTTTAGGAACTATGCCAATATATCTGCCATCCTCATTCAAACATCCAAAAAATTGCAAGCGCACGTGTCAGTTGAAGAAAAAGGTTGTGTGTTGTGAGACCCAACGAAGGATTGGACCCAACGTCAAGAATGAATGGGCTGAGTAGGAGCTGGTTCATCACAACATACAGCCCGGCAAAGAGCAACTACTAGGAGGGCACAGTAAAGGACCATACATATGGGATGGACTCGCAAATGCTCGAAACGAAAGGTGACCAAAGCCTCTTCGAGAAGTGAATCCGTGTCTAGAGGAGGTGCTTGGCTTGGGATGGATAAAGGATGTCTCTCAAGTTCCAGTGGTCCTCAGCGTAGTAGCCTTAGAATTCATTATTTTGGAAAGCATTTCTTCTCTTCTCTTTGACTTTTGCATGGTGGTTTTGGGGTCGAATGAATGATTTGATCTGATCGAGATTGGCGGCAAAAAGCAATGAGGTGCTGGTCGTTGGCCTTAGACGAATACCAGCAAAAAGGCAAACAAGAAGAAGCATTCAAGACGGCAGCGCCACTTTATAAAATTATTAGGATATTCATAAAAATACCTGCTTTCTTTGATAGTATCTGGTTATTGCAAATTGCAAGGGTGGCAACGACGGTCTCTTTTATTGCATTTCGTATAAAATGTTTCGTTTTTCTTTGTTGCAAAACTAAGTATGTACTTTGAAAGATCAAGTGACATGATGTGACACACATATTATTGACACGCGCGTATGCACGTGTCACCTCCATCAATTGCATGAGATCAATGACGATGTCGGAAGATGATGATAATGAAGGCTTGACAGTTGCCGCATATGTACCGGTACATGCTCATCGTGATATCACATTGAGAGAATGTATCTTTCCCCGCATAAAGATATGATTGATTTCGCTGTCAAATTTGCGAACCACATGAAAATATTACTGAAGACGACTGACTGACTCGTGATCCTATTAAAACCGCGTATTTCATCAATCCCGCGAGCATAAATACGAATCTGTGAGGAGACTTATTTTATTCTTTGTGATTGATTGATTGATTGATTCTCTCCCATACTACACAATATAATATCCCAACAACAACAATATTGCTAGGCCCACCATGGATAAAGTCTATGATGAATCGCCACATCTGCCCGGTACGGGCGAAGTGGTGAAGCAACAACAGCTGAACGACGAGGAATCACCATCGTCAACGCCGATCAAAGAAAAAGAACCTCATTCTCAATCCCAAAAAACTTGGTACCGCCTTGTCGTCATCATCTTTCTGCTATTCATCGCCCTGTGCATTTTCATAGGATTGTACGTCAAGGAGCTGAATAGTAAAGTTGATGAGAAGGCTGCTGTCGATTCTGTCGATTCGAATCCTAGCAATCCTCCATCTGAAGATCATGATGAACCATCGCCAATAGAGGATGAGAACGACGATACGATTGGAGAACCGAATAATAATCCATTCCGTGATGATCCAAAGCTAGCAAGGCTGTATTCAGCGCTATCACCAGTGGCGTCCCCTACCTTCTATATGGCGAATGAAACAGTAAATAACACCATGTCCGAGTACAAGGCTTGGAAGTGGCTCTCCGAAGATGATTTCAGTTCCGACACGCTTGACGATTCCACTCCTGATTGGAAGATCATAGAGCGTTATGCTCTCGCCGTATTCTATTATGCTACGAATGGAGAAGGCTGGATCAATCAATACAACTTTCTCTCCAATTCCTCTGTTTGCAATTGGAGTGGAAGCTCGACCTTTCACTTTGGGGTTCGGTTCTGTTCGGAAGGTTCGGTCTCAATGCTGCAACTCCCATCGAACAACCTCGAAGGAAGTCTACCAGCGAGCATCAAACTCCTTTCCAACCTGTATTCACTTGATCTGCCCCAGAATCGCATCGAAGGGACGATTCCGTTGGAAATATCCGAATTGTCCAAGCTTTCCAGCCGGTTGGACTTGTCGTACAATCGTTTGGTTGGTAGCATTCCGCCGTCCTTAGGTGGAAGGATGAGGAATCTTGACGAGCTCTTGCTGCAGTACAATCGCCTGGAGGGAGAAATCCCCGATGAGCTCGTATTGGCCCTGACCAGCTTGACAACCCTGAACCTTGCTTCGAACCTTCTCACTTCAACGATTCCGGAGCATATTGGTCGGCTGACATTGCTTCAAGACCTACGATTGAATGATAACAGACTGACCGGAGAAATACCTGCGTCCATCGGTTTCTGTAGACAGATTCACAAGCTCCATTTGGAACAGAACCAATTGAGTGGAGACATTCCGGAGACATTGCAAAATCTTAAGAACGATGGTAAGAGAATGGAACATCATGTTCCTCTCCTTCTTTCCTTCATGTCATCAATACATAACTCACGCGCTTTTGTTATTCCCTCTCTATAATAGATGCACACAGTTTCAATCTTTATCTTCATACCAACAACTTTACTGCTGGGGCAAGCATGGAATTTCTCTGTCAAGAACGAGGACTTTGCAGTACGAATATGGGATGCTCCTCCGATTGCAACGTCGAGTGTAGTTGCTGCCGACGATGTTATGCCAGTGGAGTTGCCATGTGCGCCAAAGTGTCTCCCAATTTGGAAAATGGGTGCCGGATGATAATGGACGACAACTTGAACAAACAATCCTCAGTATTGCAGGCCAAGAATATTGACGATGGTTCCAATACCTACTTGCTTTATGACACTGATTTCCCATTTGTGGTTACGGACAAAATCAACATTGATAGCGAGGATAGTGCCTACTCTGTGTATGGATCGATTCCATCGAATGGCGGGCCTATTACTTACAACCCTCAAATTGGTGTTCCAGCTGTCACGTGTCAGGAACTCATGACGGACGATTGGTATAAAATGAGAGACGACTCGCAGTTGCGCTTCATGGAGGTGCCCGACTATCCGTGTACTGAATTTGGAAAGAGAATAATCTACCGCCTCATTATGGAATGGCTGTATTTTGGATAAGATAACTTTATATTAGTCTTTGTGCAGTGTTTATAGTAAATCATTGTCTTTTGTGTCCTCATCATTACTTGAAATGGCATTCCACCGCTTGGTCGATGGAAATCGCATTCTTCAATCGTTTGACCACTTGTTCTAAAACAAAGGCTTTTGGAGACAGACTGTCCTCAGACCCAGCTGCTGACGCAACTGCTTGCTGTGTCCATGGCACGGCATGAAGTGGCGTATAACAAATGGAAATTCCCTTCGCAAACTGCAGGTGCTCCCGAAGCTCGAGTTCCAATTCCATGCTCCTCCTGGAATACTGATCGAGCTCTGCCATCGAAATAAAAGTAGACGGTGTTTCCTGGCCATCCTCTGGTGGATGGTAATTACCATTGTCGCCTGCTTTATCTACGCTAGCTTGGATTTTGACCACGATATGTTCCACTTCCTCGACAATGTCCATCCGACCAGTTAACTGAGCAACGGTCTTGATGAGAAGAAAGTACTGTCCAAGCTATTATTTGAGGAAGAATGAATGAATGAATAAATGAAATGTGAGAACTAGTTATTCCTACTGCCAACATCAAGCACAAGCCCACATGGTCAAAATTGTATCTTACCTTGGACGTGGCATAGGTAAAGTTGTATTCCGAAATCTTGTAGGATGGAATCTGGAGACTTTGGTTCAAAAGCTCTACGTGAGAAGCAGGATAGTCACTGGGCAACGTTGCATCTGTTCCTGTCAGCACCACCCTCCAATCACAAGCATCATTTCGTGTGTTGCCATCCTTCTCGGTTGTCATGAATTTCTCCAAGGCTAGGCAAAAGTTATTGGCACCCTGAAGATTTCGACGGAACGGGTTTACTCCTTTGTGCTGTCCCAATGTCAAGTAGAGTGTCAAACCTGGTTTGTCACCTCCTTTCTTTGCTTCATTTCCAGCCATTTCGAGAATTTGCCCAAACTCTGCAGAGCCCAAACTGGTATCGGCATGGTCTAGATTTTGCAAAGCAACATGTCTACAGTTGATTGGCATATCATGGGAAACATTGGACCTTGACACCGTGATCACCGCCGTCTCATCCTTCCCATCACTGAGCTTATTGACCAGACGTTCTGATATCGATCGTGGTTTCCCTTCAGCTGGATATTTTCCACCAAAAACGATTGAAACATCGGTGGTTGATGATGTGGTTTTTGGAGTCGTAGTTTCAGGAGACTTTGACTTCAAATAGGCTTGATAGTCGGGATCTTCAGATTCTTGTACTGATAGTTGAGCATTCAAGGCATCAAAGAATGTCTGTACCTGTGGTAACAGCGAATCTACACTCTGAGATGAATCATCATCATCAGAGTCTGTGGAGGCGAAGTGTTGAAGCACTTTGTAGATTGGCTCATTTGTCACTCTCCAATAAGCTAGCGTCTTTGGATTCTGACTTCTTATGTCCTGAATCAGGGTGTCTAGGTGATCTGTAGCCTGCTTCATTATTTAGGACCTTTGTTCATCAACTGTGGGGAGTCAAGTCGTTAGAGTACTGTACCTATACCGCCGGTATGATATGCGATCGTGACGATGCGAGTTCTACAACACTCAATATGAAATCACACTGTACGACACTGTGTACGATATGCTGTTTTTGACGTCATATACTACTGAATGATAGGGTGAAACATAAAAAGGGGAGAAGATTATAATGGGGTGGAGTAATTGGGTGGAGTAAAGGGGAGATATTCTGATCGTTGCATTTTGGGGGGAAGGAATTTAAAATGACACAATGTGGTTTGGGTTTGTATCATACCGGTACTGTAGTTTTGTTGTTTTGGTGATCACTTGACAGGCCACTCATCATATTTTACTGAATTCAGATGAAAATCTGATACCCGGCTCAAACCCAACTGACACTGGGCTACTAACCGCTCGCGAAGGTGTTACGGCCTGTAAGCAGATCAACTGCAAGAGTGCCATTTACTACTCTCGTCTTTCATTTCCACTTACACAATCCTACAAATCAGAATCGAGCCGCTTTGATGATACAAGTAATGTCCAGAGTGTCTACAGGTCTGATCGACTACCATACGCAACCAATCTCTAGTAGTACATCATTGCTAGAATAATTTTCTTTTAGAAGGGGCGATCCTTTTCTATACACTAGCTGCTATAAGCTATTGCACTCTGATCGCTGCACTTCCTAAGTGATGTTCAAGTTTTGTTGGATCCCGCATAAGTTGTCATGTACTTCTCAACGAGCTTAGTTGTTGCCTTTGACTGGCTTCGTCTTTTTGACTTCAACATGCTTCGACTTCTTGCCAGTGTTTGGCTTCTTGTCAATTGTAGGTTTCTTCCCCTTCGCCTCATGAGAAGGCTGCTTGTCGTCCTGGCCGGCCTGTGATGCCAACATAAAAGGGATACCGTGAGCACGCAATTTAATTATCCATGGAAGGTAATGACGATCCCATACGAATAGAGGTAATTCCTGCAAATGGAGCACAGCAGTTGCGATTTGAAATCATAGCAGCAGAAGCAAGAACAACCAGTGGCCCAATTCTTTGTTGCCAGCGGCATACAGTAGTTGAAACATGCAAAGATCATTTCTTACCTTTGAGTTTTTTGGCATTCCTCTCTTTCTTTTACTGATTTGCAGCTTTGTTCCAGATGGAAAGTTATGACAGAGTATTGTAAAAGGAAAGAAAATTTGAATTCTGATGTGTGGATGCTCGATCGGACGCTTCGGATACAGTAGGTTTGGTACAATAGTACTTGGGCATTTTGTGCAGGTCGTGGGTCGACTGACGTCGAAGAATACCGTGCCGAAAATCAATCGTATTAATATCAGACTCGCACAGACACGACTGACACCTTCTAAATATGGTGTGAAAACTAAAAAACTAGGTGAAAAAAAAAGATGCAAAATGTATGGATGCGTTTCATTGCGCTTCCAACCGCCATAAATATATTTGGTTACAAAAGGATGATTGATTCATTCGCTCTTCGGTCCTTGAGGTCCCAACAAAGCGACATTGCTGCTGACAACCCGAGTTAAAACATCAAGATCTGGTACGCAAACGGAAGAATATCGGGCTAGAATAAGTTTCTATATAAGGTTATTCTACTGAAGTTGATTTGCTCGCTGCTGTGAGCAACACATCCTGACAATGACTTGCCGTTATGGTGTCGTAGTGTGCTGGGCTGGATCCTTCAGTTTGCCATTCTCAACAAGCTTGTTACTTCTTGCCTTTCTTTCCTGCAGCTGGTTTGGGCTTCTTGTCTTCTCCTGGCTTTGTCTTCTTGTCAGCCGGAGATTTCTTGCCCTTGATCTCGTCATCAGGCTTCGCCGCCTTGGCGTCTTGGGCATCCTGTTGCATGGAAACAAAAGGAATGCTGTGAGAAAAGTATTCTTGGGACGAAAGTGGAGTTTCTGCAAATGATACAGACGCAATTCAAAAGCAAAGCAGAAGCAATTCAATGGTCCAATTCTTCTACGCAAGCGATACTTGACACATGCAAAGATGACTGCTTACCTTAGCCTTCTTTCCTTGTTTTGTCATGATTTCTTTTCTTTGCAACTTTACTGCAACTGGAAAATTATGACAAAGTATGAAGGTGAAAGCAAAAGTCGTTTGGATTCCGATTTTGGATGATTGATCGGACGATTTGGATATTGTGTAGAATCTCTACGGGTTCGAGCATGAGCGGCAAAGCAGGATTCTCATAATCTCGAATTGGAAATCTTTGTAGATCTATCCCCTACTGTACCTGGTACCGGTACCAGGGCCAACTCCGTGTCAGAGGACAACGACTCACTCGCACAGACGCAGTTTCAAAATGAAGTGAAAACTAAAAAACTCAGTGGAAAAGAGATCAAGGATAAATTTGATTTTGATGCGCTTTTTTAAACGCTATTCTTTCTATCGACTGAGATGAATGAATTCGAAAATAAGGTCTTTTTTTTATATATATCTGTCGTTCTAATTGCGCGAAATGATTGATTCATTCGACTGTTTCTATCGTCAGGAAGGAGTGCGTATATTTTAAACTTGATGGTGATAGCAGATAGATATACAATTGTGCGATTTTAAAGAGTTTTATCATTTAGTGAAGTCTCCATTGTGTCTGTCTACTGTTTCTATTCAGATAGATAGCTACCACAGATAATCCTGTGATCCTCGCATTGGTGAAGCCCCAAAGAGTAAAAAGAGAACAACTTACTCCTCCTTGGGTTCTTCGTAGACTGGCCAGTCAGTGTAGCCCTTTTCGCCAGTGTGAGCCCACCAGGTCTCATACGGAGCTGGGTCTGCTACTGGCCAGTCGTTGGCGAAACGCTCAGGCAAGTCAGGATTACTGATGTATAGTCGTCCAAAGCATGCCAAGTCACATGCTCCAGATCGGACCAATCCTTCCGAGATTTCCTTGGTGAGGCCAACGTTGGCCATGATGGCACCATCATAGTTCTTTCGAATGTCTGCACAGGTGACGGGCCTGCATTTTCCGTGGTAACCGAAACCTAGACCGTCCATGATATGCAGATACGCCAAATTGTATTGGTTCATTTCCTTCGCCACAAAGGTGAACATTTCGACGTTGTCTTCGGATCCCATGTCACCAAAGGCACCGTTAGGGGAGATGCGGAAGCCGATGCGACTAGCGGGGTAGGCACCACTGGCAATGATAGCTTCAACAATTTCCTTTAAGAATCTGATACGGTTCTCCTTAGATCCTCCATATTGATCAGTTCGCTTGTTGGTCTTGGATTGAAGGAATTGGTCAACCAAGTATCCGTTGGCAGCATGAATTTCAACACCATCAAAACCAGCAGCCTTGGACTTTTCAGCGCCATTTACGAAATCGGCAATGGTGGTCTTGATCTCATCAACAGTTAGTGCATGTGGGACCTCGCCATCAGCCTCACCATTGTCGATGGTTTTAACTTTTCCAGCCATTGGTTCACTAGAGGCCGAGACAGTGCGCTTGGTGGTAGGGTGGTAGCTAGAATGAGCTTGTCTTCCCATGTGCCAGAGTTGGCAAAAGATTTTTCCATCCTTGGCGTGCACTCGATCAGTAACCTTCTTCCACCCTGCGACGTGGTCGTCAGTGTAGATGGCAGCAGCATTCAGCCATCCGTAACCTTCCTCGCTAACTGCAGAAGCTTCAGTGAGAATGAGACCACCAGAAGCACGTTGCTCGTAGTAGAGAGCTTGAGTATCATTGGGGACGCGGCTGGCAGGGTCCATTGGATCGTCCTGTGGAGTTCCTCTGCGAATTCAGGTAAAGGACAACAACAAGAACATGGTAAGGAAATCATACTGGCAACAGCAGATCAATGTCAGAAGCTCAACACTGAGAGCCGATTGAAATGAGGATCGAGATGAGGCCACAGAGCCATCATCGGAGTAGAAGATCTGCATCTTTCTGATCGTAGCAGAACCGACGAGACGACCCATCACTTCGGCGAATGATTGGTTGACTGAGTGAACGAATGAATCTTACCTGGCGCGAGTCAAAGGAGCCAAAATGATACGGTTCTTGAGCTCCATGTCACCGATTTTAAACTTGGAAAGGATTTGCATATCAGAACTCATTTTGAAGGTTTGGACTGTTGCTTTTGTCAGATTATGATAGTAAGACGTACATTTTCCCGACAACTACGTTTTGGGCAAAAATCTGACACACCAAACTACGTCAGATCGTGGAACATCCTAGAATTTCGCACGACGGTCTCATTTTTTGGAGAACTTCCGGGTTTCTTTTAGCCTTTCTCACGCTATTTTCTGGACTTCCATCGACTTCGAACGAATTCACACTATAATGAAAGATCGAATGAGTCGATTGGCAATGAAATGCGAAAATTTGGGCTCGTTGTCTCTCCAGTAAGTGCCATCTGCAGTACCCAAGAGCCAGTTACTCGGTAGTCCAAGATTGTCAGTGTGATGAGGTTGTCTAATATAAATAAGCTTTCTAAAACATTAAAAAAATATAAAATACAAATTCAAATTCAAAAAATGCGTTGCTGGGACACGAAGAAGCGACGCAGATTTCTTTGTGAAGAGCCGCGGCCTTGATTTTCTATTCAGCTCTTCTTCTATTGCATCCAAGGCAGGCCCTATTGGATGGTTCTCCTATCGGAGATCAGGGGTCAACAGCTGATCCAGCATCGAGAACCAATCTTCTTCCGGTGGGATTGAATGTGAATCCATGGAGAAAATGGAAGGCAACGTCTTGGAACCGTCTGTAGAGGCAATCTCAGCCGCAACGTTCTTGTAATACTTGCTGCTGTTCTTTCTCGATCGAATCTTGCTATGTTGAGATAGTTGTCTAGATGTCGCGACGGTCGTGGCATCATCAACGTCGACAATTCGGCTCATAACACCGACCGACCGGGCATCGAATTCTGGAGCTCGCCTCTTTTCTTTAGTGACATTTACCCCAAAGGATCTGTTGCTGTGCTTGGGTACGTTTTGAATTTTCATGTTCGAAGAGTCCGTATTTTCATCGGGGCACTCGGGGATAACAGTCAGAGCAGGAGGTCCAATGGGAGCATTGCATAGCAAGAGGTGACTAGGTGCTCCACAAACCCAGTATTGGAGCCAGGACCCAAAATCATCAAATGGTTCATCTGCTTCTGTGGTTGCAGTCGTTGTTGTCATTGCTGTCATGGATGTGGCTGTTGTCTGTTGAACAGTGGTGTGATCTTCGATGATTATGTATTCATTCGGGTCCTTGATCATGGCTGTAGGACTCATATCCAGGTCCATGATGAGCGCCGTGGACCTACCCATCCCAATCATTTCTCGTAATCCGCTCAGACTAGGGTCCACAGCGGCCATCATACTCTCCAATTTGGATGCATCGTTGAGATCAGCCTCAAACTTGTGCATGAACTCGTTTTGGATCGCCATGACCATGACAATATCCCCACTCTTACGATGACGAGCAAAGAAACACTGGCCAAAACTTGCTTTCTTTGCAGCTGTTGTCATCAGCTGATATTCATTCTTCAACTTGGGATCATCGAAAATGTATGTAAAGTCAGTCGTACTGACATCGGCCGTCATGTTTTTTTGGGTCGACTGTGTATGTTCGGACAGCACACCTGGCCCATTCGTCGTCTTGTTTTTGTTGTTCGTCGCCGTGGTGATTCCTGTCAAATGATCGATGCCAGATGCTTTGTTCCCACGCTGTCTCGATAGGACTTTGCTCTTGAACAATTTCACCATGGTGCACTTCAAGAAGATCTTCAAGAAGATCTTTTGTGAGGGTGTACTTGTACCGGTATTATTGAATACCACACTAGAGATTACAAAAGGTTGCGATTTGGATCACAAAAGTCGCAACCTGACGCCGAGGAAATTTCTTTGTCGCTAATAATATCGCTAACGAGGGACACGGAATCTGGAATCCAAAGCTTCGGCATCCAGAAACATTTCATCGTGCTCCTAAAATACCTTTTCAGTTGAGCCGGCCAGCAATCGCCGAGACCCATAATAACGTGTCCGATACGACAAATTGAGCGACAATTGCTGGTTGTGGGACTGCTTCGTCTCATGTTTTTCGCTTCATCAAAGATACTGTACCCTATCGGAACCACCATGGTGAAGTTGCTGGGGCGCTTGAGAAAGAAAAAGTCCGCCTATGTTGACGTGGATAGTCATTCAAAAGTCAGCAATGCTACTGGCGAAACGAATAAATCTTTGAAGGAAGGCGATCGAGGGCAACTGGGTTCGATGTCGGCCTCATCTTCTTCACGTCGTTCAATGTCGACTTTGCAGAAAAGCAAGATTCCTTGGACAAAGGATGAGCAAAAGATTACACAACCACAGATTGTGCCGACAAAAGGAAACGACGATCCTATAGCCGAGATCGCGACTCGTTTGGCCGCGAAATCAACTTCCAAGACCGCGGTCGTTCCTCCTCCTCAAGTCAAAAGAAGCTATCCAAAACATGCGGCACCACCATCAAAAACATTAGCCCGGACACACAGTCTTCCGAAGACAGAAGTACACCCTCCAGAATTCAAAGAGGCAGCCAAGCCAACCAAAAAGCCTGACGGTAAATTCGAAGAAGAAGCTCTCAACGCCAAATACGATCTCATTCCAACCAAAGTCCGAAACGCACCATTCGGTCGATGTTATTTTGCGCGACACCGAGAGTCCAAGAATGTTGTCCTGGTTGCTCTGATCTTGCAGCATGTATTCAATCGGTTTGAAGGCGAGCATGGGGAAGTTCAGCTAATCGAATTGATGAAGTCGGCTGACCCAAATCTGCTTGGGCTACGAGAAAAGATCCAATGTGAAGGTTCGGTTGCACTTGTGATGGATATCACATTGTCTGAATTCACAAAAAGCCAGACTGTGCCTGTCCACAATGGAGCTGGATCCAGAACTTCTGATCCTAGCATTGCCCTGGATGAGGCGGCAGAGAATGCAATGGATCATCGTGATGAGGAAGACGAGATTGAAGATTTCATGTCGGAACTGGATTCAACCTTTCCACCATTTATCAATAATGCATCCGACCCACCAGAAGTTGACCCTCGAAACAAAAGCTTAGGCTCAAAAGATTTCAAAGGTAGGGCGCAGTCTGTGGGACAAGAGATGCGTGATTCATGTGGCAGAGACGAGTCTCTCAGGGGAGAGGCGTTTGTGGTATCCCACTCAGGTGGAGAAGTCCCGAAACGAAAGACTCAAGATCGTGATGACGGGATGAGGGACGAACCCGAGGAAGCAATGTTGGAAGAACCTGAGGAACCAAGAATGCCCTCATCGCGTCAAAAGGTAAGATCAAAATCTTCTCAACGTCAAAGCGAGACAAAGGGAAAAAGTCATCGACGAAAGAAACCGGGTAACAGCGAAAGACGCCGCAGTCGAACTGTAAGCAGCAGGGGCAGAGGCGATCGACAAGAAAGGCGGGATTCCTTGTCGACATATTCGTCGTCGGACAACACGAGTGTGGAACCACTTCGACCTGTACCTCCCAAGAATCTGACATTTTGGAAGTTATTGACTTCCTTGGAAATGGCTGATTGTATGCCACTTGCGGCGCTCGACGAAACCATGGACTACAATTATGGCCGTGGTGCTAGGAGAAGAAGGCGAGATCGAGGCATTGGCCGCCGCAATACGTTTGACACTTGTGAATAAAAACCATACCATTAAAGTAAAATATATAATTTGGGAAAATTAGGCAGGTTTCTCTTGATATAACGGGGCGATTTGGAGGCATGTGTGTGGTTTAGCTTCTTGGAACAAGGCAAGGCCCTTCTGGTGCATCCATTTATTCAAAGTCAAGGCACACAATGGCCCAGCATAATATCAAATTTGTCGCCAGTTCTTTTCCACTCAACGCTTTTCTTGGTGTCATCATCATAATCATGTGTTCTCTCTCATCAGCTTGGATTTACGAAAATGGAGAATGCTTTTTGTGGAGCGCAAACTTGAACCTTGACTTTTCCATTCCCCCGGGCCCCAGTGGTGCCAAAGGACCCGTGTGACACCACGGCCACTTGAGCCTCGTGTAGGACCATGAAATCCATCATGGAGGTTTCCATTTTGGAATGAAAATACTTTTGTTTCATGGCATAACCACTGTGGGTTCCATCCTTTTCCCAGAAATGAGGGTCCATATCAACGGTGACGGGGACATGAGGATGATACTCGGGAAGCTTTTGGACGAAGTATTCGGCCACTGTTCGATTGTCGGCTATCAGCCACCAGTTCGATATTTTGGATGTGGACGATTCTTGATGCTTGGTCAGAGCCTTATCGAGACATTGCCCCAGTGCCCGAATCCATTCGAGACTTAGATACGACCGACGAATGTTGACATCGGATAAGACGGTACGCAAATGAATTGCCCCATACACAGTTGGAGTGGCAGGTGGTGGTCGATGATCCTTCTCGCCTTGGATTAGAAGTGGCGGAAAGACTCGGTCCATTCGTTGCTGGTGAAGAAGTCTCGAGAGACTAGTGGGAGCAAACATTTCATTTTGTAACTGGGTTCGCAACTGATTGAGTTTGCATTGGCCATTTGTCTTTTTGGCAATCAAGGCTGCCACTGGCACATGCTGGTTCCACGCGTTTCCCCAATTGGGAGAAAGGAGGACTCTTTGTTTTGCGACCTCGGTGGATGAAGGGGTAGTAGTCGCATGGGTCCAGTATTCCAAGTGCTGATCTACATCCCAACCTTCATTCCATATCATGGGGAGCACCAGCGACGTATTGGTAGAACCAATGTCATTATCAAAATATTTCACATCCCACTGATCGCCTGCCCACTGATCGCCTGCCGTAGAAGGCAGATTGGCAATAGCCTGTTCGATTTCGTTTCTCACTTGTTCATTACTAGTGTCATGTAGCTTCGTCCACTCCCAATCCAAGGATCCATGGTTCAAAAAGCTGCGCCACGTCCAGTACGGGTCACGCACGTCCAAATCGATAGTGCAAGGACGTTCCAACAGGACTGATGCAAACATGCAGCCCAATACGGTATGCTCCACAATTCGACCAAAGCCTTGTCCAGCATATGCGGCATAGTTGTGAAATGGCATGGTGTGCTGTATCATCTTGTTATTACCAGAAGAAGAAGGACAATAATAAGAGGACTCAGTATTGGTCGACTTGGAAGATTCTTGAAGTTGAAAGCATTGCTGTCTTTGTATTATCCTCATCATTTCGTCGCGACATGGGGCACTTGCAGTTTTTGAACTTATCATTTCTGACGTACTTGGCACAGTCTCAGATGATTGGTCATCCTGCCGGCACCTGATGCTGGGATTATTACCGATAGTCACACCATCGATATTCAATTGTTTCTGAAGTTCTGTACTCTGGCGAAAGGTGAACGACAAAAATAACTGCAGCAGCATACCAAACGCCACGGTCAAGCATAGTTGAACTCTGGAATAGGATGCCTTGTTCCTCATGAATATATGTTACAAGACTGGCGAGTTCGGTTTTCCTCCTGTCTTAATTGTTAGCACAAGTGTAAATATCTTGGTATGACTCCAAGGCCTTTGGCTCTCTTTCTTATGAAATTTGCACGTCTGTAGTGATGTATCTTGCTTTTCTCATTTCCTCCAGTCTTATCACCGCATGCGGTCAAAAGCAAGTAGGCCTTCGGTTATTATTCTGATTGCGATGCGATGTTGAAAGTAGCAAATATTTTAACAAGTGCATCAGACACATCTGAATGACCAGTCCGACTGCATTGCGTACGTCACAATTATCTGTTATTTGGAGGCTTCTGATATTTGCGATCAATCCAACTGAATGCCAACAACAACCTGCTAATATAGCATCTCTGACCACAGGAATACAGAGTGCGTATCATCAGCTCCCTCCGCGTAACCAAGCCAATCTTTGTCTCATATTGCCCGATATTAGATTCATCTGTACCTATTTTGAATTTGCCTTCTAATACCTTGAAGCAATACGACAAATAGCAAAACATCGGAAGGCAACTTTTTATTTAAAAAATCATGCAATTGACACTTTTGACATGGTCAGCGGCTTTGCTGTCGATTTCCTATACTGCAGCATTTCAACCTTCACCTCTGCAGAAAAGAGCCAACAGTCAACATATCAACATTCATACAGGCAGTCTACAAAATGAAAAGCTAAAGGCTTCATCACCATTCTCAGATAATCATGGTTCCAGACGACCATCAGCCTCCAAATTGTTCATGGCATCGGCATCGTCACCGTCAGATCCTCAAATCTTGGCGAGTGGATATTCCGAGCAAATGATCTTGAAAGATGCGGTTCAAGAAGCCATTACCATGGCCATTACAGAAGGATTGCCTCCGATAATCGATGGCACTACCCAAATTATTGACTTGGCCATTGTGTCGGTCAACAGTTTGTACGATGGGAGTGCCTCGCCTTCCGAAGTGGTCCCAACCATTTTGAGCTATGCAAAAGAATTGGGTTATGACATTCAGAATCTAGTAGGATCCTATTCGGGAGGCCTTGTCAGCAGTCGACCCAACCCAGCTGCGTTCAACAACAGGAACAACAATAACAGCAATGACGCCGACGACCAGGAAATGATCCGTTCTTGTCTCCCCATTGAACGAGAGGGCGTCCCAGGAGTATCCGTGACATTGTGCATCTTGCCCGATGTGCAAGTTCAGGTACGAAATGCATGATACAAAATGTGCTAGTTGTTGTCCCTTACTTATTTGCTTTCTGAACTCAACTCAACTCAACTGATCCTTTCATTCATTCATTCATTCCTGACACGCAGAGTTTCCATGTCGAGGGTGACGATGTTCCAGACGACGTGGGCCGCGTCGAACCAGAAATCTGGAAACGAGCCGTGGGACTTGGTGGATTCGAAGCTGTCCCCTACGCTCTGCCCGAAGATTATTCCTCCGCCGAGGACGCCGAAGACAAGGATGCTGCCTTTTTCCTTCTCCCATCCCCCGCCTTTCAGAATGATCTAGACGAGCTTCTTCGAGGATTGGAAATTAACTATCCATCGTCTCATATATTTGGTGCCATTGCTTCCACAGTTTCATCCTTGTCGCGGGCCCGTCTCTTTCGATACCAAGCGAGTGACCCAGATGGCATTCAAACGCTAGCGGATGGATGTCTGGGAGTTGCACTATCTGGTGATTTGCGCATCAAGACCATGATCGCCCAGGGTGCCAAGCCGGTTGGTGGAGTGTATCGAATTGTCAAGGGTGCCGAAACCACCATTCAAGCGATTGCTCTTGATGAAAGTGCCACAGAATTGCTTCAAGAGGAAGAAGACGACCAAGAAGAAGAAGAGGAGGAAGAAGAGGAAGTTGACGAGTCCACCATGTCGAACGAAGAACGCAAAGCCAAAATGGCAGCCGCCTATGCCAAAGCTCGGATCCCCAAACCAATTCTGGCCGAGGCCAACTTTTTGATGAAGACCTTGTCCGACGACGATCAGTCCTTTATGCGAAGGGCACTCTTGGTCGGCTTGGAACGAGGTGGAAGCCTTGGACGAAGTCCCAGCGAATTGGCTCGTCTTGCCGAAGGCAAGGGCCACCAGTATACGGTTCACCAAGTCGCCAGTGCCGGAATGAAGGATGGATCCGTCACCTTGTCGCTGGGAAGTGTGGACATCAAACCAGGAACCCGTCTTCGATTCTTTGTCCGCGAGTCAGACTTTGCCAAGAAGGAATTGGCAGCCCTTTGGACGGGATACAAGCGCCGTGCCTTGGGAGCGAACCTTGCTGGAAAACCAGCCTTCAATCCTACCGGATGTTTTTTATTTCCAACACTGGATCGTGGAAGCAAATTCTTCATGGGGAAAACTGGATACGAAAGTGAAGCCGCTTTGGATTTTTTGCCAACCGTTCCCTGCATCAATGGATTCTTTTCCAATGGTGTCATTGGATCGCTTCAAACTGATTCGCCACAATCGGAACCAGCCAGTTTGTATGGAAGTGCCTCTGGATATGCCCTCTTTGGAAGCAGTAAGTTTTCCAGTTGTTTAGGTCATTGCTGATTGTTTGAGACCTGTATTTCATTACAACTTACACATTCATTCCTACACGCTGTCTCGACTTTTTTCAGAATCCGGTCGCCCCGTCTATACTCCCGATAGCGCAGCTGCTGCTAAAGCTTCCACCAATGGAGATGAAGATGATACCGAAGAACCGGATGTTGAAGATTGGAAGGTAACCCGTCTTATTAGTACTGATAAAGAAAAGAAGGCACCACGCGATGAGAATGGTGAACTCATCCTCAAGCGTCGTGAAATCCATTCGGGTCGTGCCATGACTGTTTCAGCTGTGGAATGGAGTGTCGCCGAACGGACCGCTACACCAAGTTCGGTCTTGGAAGGCTTTATGTGGGACAAGGAAAATGAAGTGGACCGCTTCCGCGAACGAGTTCCACTGTCCAACTTGGTGTCGCAATGCAAACTTGCCAATATTGACCCCGCCCAACCAAAGCCAAGAGACTGGGTTGGTCCCATCATGGAGGCAGCCAAAGGAGGCAAGTTTGTCTTGATTCCAGAATGCAAGCGATTGGAACCAATCAGTGGAAGTTTGCGAAAGCGATATGATATTGCCAAGATTGTCACAGAGTTCTGTGCTGCTGGTGCACCCGCCATTTCGGTCAATTGCGATGCTGTCTTGTTTGGAGGTTCGTTGGAAGACATCACTACCGCTCGGGAGGCATCCTCCAAGGCTGCCTTGGACGGAGCTTCCGAAGATGGAGTTGTCGTTCCACCCGTCATGGCTTCGGATCTTTTGTTATATCCGTACCAATTGTACAAGATGCGACTTGCTGGTGCCGATGCGGTCAATATGATCGCTGGCGCCTTGGGCGGCAAGGATATGTTATATCTCGCCAAGATTTCCCAAGCCCTCAATATGCAAGCCTTGCTGTCCGTCACCTCCATAGCCCAAATCAAGGCATTGGACATAATTCCTACCGGAGGCATTGCTGGATTGGTGGTCTCCAACCGTAATCTGGAAGACTTTAGCTTTGACATGACTGGCCAACAAGCCTTGAAACTCCTCCAGAGCGAAGAACTGAAAACGTTTCGAGAGAAGCAAGGAGATGAATTTCCAGTCTTTGTCGAAGGACGAGTGGGCCTAATAGATGCCTTTGGAGAACCAGACGCCTACTTGAAAGCCCTCCAAGAAGCCGGAGCAACCGGTGCCATTGTTGCTGCTGGAGTAGCCCCAGACGAATCGGGCGAAGTCCCATTGAAAGATTTCATGGAGGCTAGCTAACTAGCTAACTAACACACGCCAACTAGTAACTATCATTCCAAAAACAAAGTAAATGCTGAAGACAGCAATACTATTAACTTTTTTGGTATTCATACAATACTACATCCACAGTTATACTCTTGGTGTGTGTGTGAGTGCGTGTGTGTGTGGAGTTCCATTTTTGTTGTGATCACCTTCTCCCATTGACGTACGGTATTTTTATAGCATCATCAGCATGGCGGACACCATCAAGGTAACTCCAGTTGCCATAATCTTGTTGGACAGAGTAAGTGCCACAGTAGGAGCCCCGCTGAAGAATGGTTGATAAAAGTTGGGAGGATTGGTCGGTCGGACGTAACCATTTTGGAAATTAATGTTGGCGAAGGAGACAGTGGGTGGTGGTCCCGCAGGATTGGTACTGGGTTGGAAGGAGAGACTGGGCACCGGTGTTCCGGTAGGAGCCGGCGACGTGGTGGGTGCTTCGGTGGGATACTCCATGTCCAAGACACGATCAATGTGATGCAAGACACCATTTCTGGCAAGAATATCACAATCAAAGACAAAGGCATCCCCAATGAACAAATTCTCTTGATTGTCACCTCTCAAGGTGACTGCATGGACATCGCCTTCCACCGAGGTAATTTCGGTCATGTTGGCAATGACATCGCAGAAATACAATCCACGGAAAATGTGTCGGTTGATGATTGCTTCACCGTCAATGGTGGCGAAGCGGACTCTCCACCATGCTCGATCATACGGGGCCAAGAAGGTAATGGGCAAATCCCGATCGATCATGTCTTGCATATCGACAAAATCGATATTTTCCGTCACGAGGGAATAATCGGGATTTTCCTTGGTCTGATCGTAGACGGACCTTGTGACGGCCGTGGGAGAAATGACCCGATCCGTCATGTGCAAATAGCCATCCGTGGCAATCAGGTCTCCAAAGTACGATCGGGCTTGTTCTCCAGGTCCATTCTTGATACGGACGGCATCTCCGGTACGTCTCAAATCGTAAGTAGCGCCATTCAAAAAGGTAATGGTCGATGGTGCCTTGGCGACCAATTCGGCTCTTGTATGGTACCCCTCCGTGATCATGTTCATTAGGAATTCGGTACAATGACGTCTCCATTCTGGTTCGAGCAGTCGTTGATAATCTTCATTGTTGAATTGCTTAAAGGCTGCCCCGGATGGACAAAACATGGTAAGTTTGACGCCCATTTCTTCCGAGAGTCGTCGGGAATCGACCAAACTATTGATAAAGACCTTCATACAATCACTGGTATCTTGATCGGTCGACTTCCATGTAAAATCGGTAAAGTCTCGAATGGAAGGTGGCTTGAGGGGCATGTCAATGGCGTGCCAGAGACTGTTTGTGGTAGATGAAGAAAACGTTGAAAAGGAAGGAAATTGTTAGAAACAAAGATAAGGATCCAGCAAGCAGAAATTCAAAACATGCCATGATACAATTTTGGTTACTTACCCCCCACGGGATGGTTGATCAAACAACAAGACCAATTCGGATTGGAATCGAATTTGATTCTCTGTCGTGGCCACCCACAAATGAGTCTTTCGCTCTGATATCAATAGATATTGGGTCTCTTCCTTGGCAAAGATGGATTGCGAATGATGGATGTAATCGACCATGTGCGAAAGGACGAGTTCCTTGCAGTACCCAAACATTTCATTGGTCAACAATACAGGCAGATCAATTTCGCCACGATTGAACCGACGATTGGGGGGTACCAACAAAGTAAGCCCGTGGTCGTAAATATCATCAATCTTGTCTTCCAACCCGGTATGAAGAATAAGATTGGCCATGGTAGTAAAGGCATACTTCCACGAACGATCATCAAAGAGTTGATTGACAATCCCATCTGCCAAATAGCGTGGCCAAATGACTTGCGACAAGGCGTGAATGTAGCCATTGGTCGTTTCAATGTTTGCCGATATGACGGCACTGGCCGGAACGTCTTCAATCAATTTTGGATTCTGGGTAATGGTGGCATTTCCCACGCTGGCCGAAGTCGTTTTAAGATCTTTGCGAGCATTGTCCCAAATTTCTCCCACGGTGAGGCCCACACCGACTTCGTCACCAAGCAAGACATGCTCCGTAATGACATGCTTCAGATGCATAATGAATTCGGGTTGGTCTCGGTACTTTTCCCAAACTTCGTTCTGTGGATGCGATTTCTCGTCCAAATCGTTCCAGGCTTCATTCACGGGTGCAAAGACAATGTTTCCGTCGCCCGGACTCAAACCAATTCGATTCAAAAAGAACATGAAGCGAGTCATTTCAGGATTGGCCTCCAAGGTTCCCGTCATACTCGTTTGCGCTACGGCTGTGCAAGTCGTGAGACATGCTACAAGAATGGATCGCAATATTATCATGGTGTTGTTTTCTTTTTTGCTTTTTTGCTTTTTTTGCTGGTTTCAATTTGATTTGATTTGATTTGATTCTTGGATTGACACCAACGATACAGTACTTTCGAAAGATTTACAGTAAGCAGTAGAGGTGCCAAGGAAAGAAGTAGACTCTAGAAAGAAGTATGAGTAGCTAGCGTTACTGTTCGTACCTCTATTACCAACACAGCAGGATTGCATCCAAGAACACTTTTTCGCCTCTTGGAAGGAAAGTATTCATTATACGTGCGATAAGTACTACGATTTGGGTCTTTACTCGTAACCCGATCCATGTGGAGCAGATTTTTGGGGTAAGCAAAATGACCAACCAGTTATTAATATTTTCAATGTTATTGAAAGGGATCAATCGTGTCAATTGGGTGTCCTGCGATTGATTGATTCCAAAAGAGGGATTGTCAAAGGAATGTTTCCCTCAAAGAAAGGACCGTCCCGTCTCGTACCAGCATGCTTTCAGTCACAATAAATGTTAATTTTGTTTTGGTCGTCGCGAACCCTTCGTGGTAGATTATTCGACACGCACCAGTTGTTTGGTTTCATATATAAAAGAGACGCGAGCAGAAGAAATCGTCCGGAACAGTGGCGTCGAAAGAAGACTTGGAATGAGAATTTCTCATAAATACGCGGTTGATTTTTGGGGCGTTCCCTAAGCTTGGGCCTTTTTGCAGGAGCGTTTCTCCAACACAAACCAAATATTACGTAATAATTGGTTTTTTAAAATAAAAATCCAACAACGTCGTGTTCTCCAATCAATCTTGGTACTCTTGGTACCACTGGAACAAACAGAATCGTCCCTCATCAACGCAGCGAAAAAGCCCCACTCCCATGAGCATCAATACATATTAATGCATACCTCTATTAATTCATCAATACATACATCAATACATACATATTAATACACAGCAACAACAATAACAACAACAACAACAAGAATGAACAGCTCATCCATGTCAGAAAATGACGAAACACACAATCCACTTCACATTGAACTTCGAGATTGGGAATTAGGACCCAACAATACCATTTTCGACAATCTCAAAGCAGCCCCTTCGGACAAGGATTTGTTATGGCAATGGGGTTTACTAGTGGGATTGTCTGTCTTTGCTTTGGTGGCCATTTTAATAGTCTTTCTGGCCATTCTACAAGATCGAAAATGTCGCAAAAACTCCTTTAATGTCTACATACTATTCTTAATGGTCCCCGATATTTTGTTTACTGGTTTGGGCATTATGACGACCAGTCTCAACATTGCCAACGGATCCTTTTATAGTTGGGGACATTGTCATTTGCAGTCCTATTACAGTGTCTTTACCGTCAGCGCGTCCTCCTGGCTCAATGCGATACTGGCCTGGCAGCTCCATGCCATGCTCAAGGCGAGCAATCAACATCGACGCTTCAAGGCACCGACGCGACAACGGGCTGTGAAACATGGGTTGCTAGTATTTTTATGGAGTGCCTTTGTGGCCACATGGACGCTGTGGCAAGTGGATTGGTGGCCCATTCGGACCGAACTGTATTCGGGTGCCTTTTGTTTGCCCATGGCGTATGACAATACAAGTTTGGCTTTTTTGTTTTTGGTCTTTGGGCCCTGCTGCTTTGTCGTTCCCTTTTTATACATTTGTCATGTGGTCATTGATATTCTGTGGAAACAATTGCTCCCACCCAAGGAAAAACGAAAGCGGTTGCTCATCTTTTTTGGATTGATCATTACCTATTTCTTCATTTGGGTCCCAACCATTGTCTTGACGTACATTCTAGGATATTGGATGACGTCTTGGTATACCTACTTTGGTGCTGTGTGGGGCGTAAGTCAAGGATTCATTTCGGCGGCCGTTTGTCTGTTAAAGGCGGACATTCAGCAAGCCTGTCGCAAGTTTGTTGGATGTCAACACCATGGTGCTGACGACATGCGCATGTCTGGGGCAAGTGGTGGTGGTCAGAATCATCATCGTCATCATCAGAATCATCATCGTCATTATCGTCATGCGAGTGAAGCCTACATTCACACATCCAATTTTGGATTGGATGGAAATTCCATGCATTCCGTGGCACCCAGTGTCATTGATTTGTCCTCCCATCGCGAGGTGAGCTCCTCGCAGCATAATGGAAGGTATCACAGCCATCCTACGACTAGTACCGGTAGTATCGGGTCGACAACCTTGAGCGAAAGTTTTCAAACAGTGGGCAGTCTCAATAGCAAGCCACCCTTTCCTGGTCGTTGTTCGGATGATACCATTCTAGAAGTGGACGAAGAAAAACTCATGGACGAAGTGGGCGATAATTGTTATGACAATACTGATGAGAATGGCAGCATCGACTCGTCATCGTCCTTTGCCAATGAATCATTGGAAGATGAGCATGATGAGCATGATAAGAGCAGTGGACACCACAATTTGAGTAGCAGTTTTCGCAGTGTTGGGATGGATGGCAAGGTCACACCCTTTGCACATGCTGCAACACATCAGGAGGATGAGGAGGAGGATGAGGATGTAATTCTAGAAGTGGACGAAGACAATCTATTGTTGGAGGATGATAAGGAAGAGGAGGATACTACTGGCAATCCGACGACCAATACTGGACATGCTGTGGTAGACACAGTTGCGATCATGATGGAAGAAGGAAATCGCACGGCCACCACAGACAAGACAGTGGTGGACGAAGACAACAATGTCGTGCAAACGTGATAATGGACACTACAGCACATATATATCAAATGGATGCTACAGAGAGCAACAGGTGAACCGAGGCTCGTGCAGCAAAATGTCTTCCCCTCAGAAACAGAGCGATGCCAAAACTGCAAGAAACTCACTGCACAACTTGCAGAGGCTTCCAACAAACTCGATGAGACGATACGATACAAACTCAGGCTTTAGTTATTGATGCGGTCGTGAGAAATCAGAAGCTTGCCATCCTGGCAGTTTTTCTTTCCCAAAATGCAGTACACTGTAGTTGGGCAAAAATTTACTTCGAATTAAACTGCAAGAAACTCCCTGGACAACTCGCAAAGGCTTCCGACAAACTCGATGCGACGATACGATACAAACTCAGGCGTTAGTTATTGATGCGGTCGCGAGAAATGACTGCACTTCCAACTAACCGAGGAGCCGACAAATGGATGTGGTGCGAACGGATATAGTGAAAAGTATATGCCTATCATAGTCTGTGATTATCTGTCTATTGGTACATGTACCGTACGATACATTGGACATTGCAAGTGCAGTCATTAGAAAAGCAGTAACTACATTATTGCTTGTTCTTGGCGTCTGGCGGATTGACCGACACTCCTCCGATCTCTTTCGAGTTCACCATCGCCTCTACTTGCAGTACGTCTCCGATACGATCAAGGGTAAAGGTATACTGTAGCACGCAAGGTGTGGTTCGTGCGATCGGCAGACTTGTCGGACATACTCTCTTTTATCTTTTTGTCTTAGTCGGATGAACTATGACTAAATTACACGGTCGGTCTAATTATTTATTCGTCCTGCGAAAACACCACTGGTCTTCCCCTAGGTATATTTCTCCGTCAGGGGCTATTATGATACATTTTTACCCCTGGTGTCATTTTCCGGAAGGTTGAAAATTGACAATTTTTCGCAACGTTTTTATTCTATATTTTAAAAAAATATTTTATTGTGCATCATCGCGGACTACCGAAGTGAAAATAAGACCTGCAAGGAGCTATTGGCATACCGGTACTTTAGTTTCAAGATTAGATAGAAAGCTGGAAACACATATTTCTGAAGATAAGGAGTTCCGTCATAGCGCTGTACAATATCATCATGTTGCTCGGTATATTCAAATCACTCATCATTCAAGAAGACTCCTCTGAACCACCTCGAAGTGAGCCGAGCCACGGACCAGTCACCCCTTCATCGTTGCCACTTCATGTATCATTGGAAAATGCAAAGAAGATTGGAGTATTGGACAGAGAAGAGGAAAGAAAGGCCAGCGAAACCGAATCATTTGAATCAATGAGCAATGATGCTGGGAGCTCCTCTAGTAGCAGTAGCTCCAGTGGGAGCGAGAGGCTGGCACCCCAGACGCCCAAGAACGAAGATGAACCAGAGACCTTCACCATCCCTCGCTCGAAAAGCAGTGGTGCTATTGATCGAATTCGAAAGCATAGACAAGACCGAAGAGCAAGTTTCGGGGAAGAAACAATGGATGGAACGCAGAGCCAAGAAGAAGGCTTATGTGAAAAGAAATCAGACCAGTTATCACTGAGCCGTGCAAATCTACAGCGAATTCGAGAGCTCAGGAATCGAAGAACTAAAAGTGTGCAAGCTGGACTTGGTGGATCAGATCCATTACCCCTGAGTGGTGCCAATATTCAGCGAATTCAAAGAACTACAAGCGTGATGGAAGAAGGATTTGATGATGAATCGTCGAGTCAACCGCATAGTAGTCTTTCTGAATTTAACGAAACGGAGGAAAACCCAATGCTCAAACCTCGAAATCTTCCCTTACGAGTCCGTCGCACTCGAGAGAACAGCAGTGGCTCCATAACAAGAAACTTGACAGGTGCAAGAAGTGGCGGCTTCTCCTCAAGAAGTTTATTGACACGAAGTAGAAGTGGTACTAGTGATTATTCCAAACAATCATTAATGCAAGGTCGCCATGCTCAGTCTATGGGATCTCTCTCTTGGACGAAAGAAAATAGTCCCTCGTCGCCATCTTCGCGCAATCACACTTGGCGTACAAGTAGCAGTGGGACAGCAGCACGGATCAGGGATCGACGAGGTCTGTCCCAAAGTGAGCATGGTTCGGTCTCTGGATCGCGTATCGGTAACCTACCGGCAACCACGAGTGTAAAAGGCACGACCTTGGAACTATTGGCCTTGATTAAGAAGCGACGAATGGCTAGACAATCATTGTCTCCTGTTCCAGCCAGAAAGACACAACCACGCCGACGTCGTTCCAGCTCCTTTTCTCCTGATAGGGCGAGAAAGCGATTGGAGCAGAAGGAGCTCGATGCTCGAACTATGTGCTTGTCCATCGAAAACGAAACATCGCGAGCCGAATCTTCGGATGCGTTGCATGATTCCTCCAACTCGATCACCAAGACACCAGCCAGCACCAGTACGGGAGCAATGCCACCTAGCAGCTATGCCAGCCCTGCAGCCTCTGATGCCGAAGAATCATGCTCAGCCAGTTTCGATTCGTTCCAAGATGACGAAGAAGATCTCAGTGATGAAGAAAGCGACGAAGAAAGCCACATGTCTCCAAAGGGCGTTATGGAGTTTTACCAATCCTCCCAGGATAAGTTTACCACCCAAGGAATAGATGCTGCTCACCAAGAGAAAGTGAAGCAGATGCGTGCCGAAATGGAAGCGTTACAGAAGCAGTTACGCCAGACGGAAGAAAACAAGGTCGGCGCCATGCAACTTCTCAGGGAAGACGTGGACACTCGCAAGGCGAAAATGATGCAACTCGCAAAGAGGAAGATTCAATCACATTTGGAGTCTGAGATGGAGCTGAAGATCTACACCATGGAAGTGGAACAAACACGCCTCAAAAAGCTGAAGGAAGCCATGGAAAAGGGCAAAGGGGAATTGGAACGAACTGTTGCCATAGCGGAAGGTGACATTCAAAACATGATGAAAGAAAACGAACATTTGGATGCCGAAAACAAGGAAGTTCACCGTATGTACACCCATTTGTCCAAGTGGGTTGCGAAAAAGACAGTACAAAACGAGAAATTAGTGAAGGCCGAAGAAAAGCTGAAGACAATTCACAGCGGCTCCCTCAACCTCATCGCCCAAGAGAAGCTGTCCACGCTTTACCGCCGATGCATGTACAGGGTTGCCCAAGGTGTCAACTCTTGCGAAGGCTTTGACTTTGAACTTAACGAGGATGTTTGGGACATGATAAAAGAAGCTGAAGCCGAGGCCGGAAAAGAAGTCATTGACCTACACGAGGTGGACGAGTGGGAAAAGGAGCTTGCTGAAAATGAAACCCCCCTAGTCGGAATGCGATTCTCGGCTGGACTCGACAACAGTGATGATGTTGATGGACTCACCATGTCGATTCGTACCAGAAGTACTCTTGAAAACCTCGACCTATCGAGACGAAGCAGGGCTAGTCACGACTGTTCCTATCGAACCGATGGCACTGGCACCAGTATCTCGGAGGAAGAAATGTACTACAGCGAAAGTGAAAGCGAAAGCGAAGATGACGAAGAATTCGAAGAAGACATGGAACGGCTCGATGGCAGTGTTACTTTCTACGAGAATGTTCTGGCGGAGGTATCTGTGAATCTGGACGCCATACAAATGAACACTCTTCACGAGAGCAAGGATATGTTGATCAGCATCTTCAAGTTCATGGACGTTGATGGAAGCGGGGATGTTGATTTGGAAGAGTTCAAAGTGGGGATTGAGCTTTTGAACAAACGTCTACCCGAATCGTCTCGTTTTGAGGATGCTGAAGAATTGTTCAAGCTGTTGGATAAGGACAACAGCGGCAGCATTGACCTCGAGGAGTTCGAGAGGGTCTTTGATGATATGTAACCCATATCTTAGTTTAGATTCAATTCAATCAATGACCAAAGTCTGAGATCTGCTGGTAGTCCAAATTGGAAAGCATCATAATCTATTGGTGTTCTATCAACAGATTCCGAGACCAAGTCTTGCTTAGTGTAAGCATTATCAAATGGTTAATTGGACTGCCTATCTACTGCCTGGTGAATCTTATCGGCACCAATTCAAAACGAGACGAATTATACTGTACCAGTATTACAGGTTGATGACATTATTACGATAGTCTAGATTTATTAAAATAGACTGTCAGGTAATAAATACTATTTGTTCTTTTTGTGATTGGCCTTCGTTTTCTTGTTTATAATAGGGTCTTAATTAAATTCAAGTATAAACCACAAGTTCGGATAAATATTCTCTTCCAAGAACGGCACTCCTTTTTCGTCAGTATGTAAAAGAGTTATGAATTCGACCGTGGTCTATAAACAAACACTTCTGGAAAGAGGTCACGGTCATTTTCGCATGTCATTTGTCTCCTGCTTCTTTTTGCGTCTTTTTTATTAGTAAGCGGTTCAACTTCAGCAGTTTTTCTTCTTCCATCATCATTATAGCCCTACTTCCAGTCAGACCAGCAAAGTGCCACAGAGAAGACGCTTTGTCTGGTTTGACGTTTGAGAAGAGCCTACAGCATAGTTCAATGGCAAGATCAGACAGCTGAAATAACAAAGTTCTGAAGAAAAGGAGTTTCAAATCTTTAAAATTCAAATCACTCATCATTCAGAGAAGTCTGGGAATATAATCGCTACGATTCATATGATGATTAGTTGTGATCAGAGCCACGAGTCAGATACCCCTTCATCTTTGCCACTTCATATATCCTTGGATTCTGTAAAGAATAGTGGATTATGGAAGACTCACTCGAACTTAGAAGATGAAGGAGCTGAAAATGAGCCGACTGAATCAAGTACCGGTAGCTTTAATGGGAGCGAGAGGCTGACACCCCAGACGCCCAGCAATGAAGAAAAATCAGACACATTCACCATCCCCCGTTCGAATAGCGGCAACAACATTAAGCGAATACGAGAGCAGAGACAAAGACGAAGGGCAAGCGTTGGAGGGGAAGTGGATGGAGCGTTGAACCATGGGCCAAGGGATGTATTGCCTGAAAAGCAACCAGACCCATTACCGCTGAGTGGTTCAAGTATCCAGCGAATTCGAGCGTACAGAAATCAAAGAACTGCGAGTATTGGGGAAGGACTTGATGGTTCATCGAGTCACAGCAAAGGGCCTGCTATTACTTGGCGGAGACAACACACGAAACGTCTGCATAGTCTTGCTGAAAACAACGAAATGGAGGAAAACCCATTGCTTTCACCTACACATAACCGAATCCATATCACTCGAAAGTACAGCAGCGGAACCTCCACAAGGACCTTGACACGAGGCAGCAGCGGAACCTCCACAAGGACCTTGACACGAGGTAGCAGTGGCGGCTCCTCCTCAAGAACGTTGACACGAGGTAGCAGCGGTACTTCCTCGAGAGGATTGGAAAGAGATAGCAACGGTTCCAAACGATCACTGATGCAAAACCGTCAAACTCAGTCTATGCGGTCGCTCAATTGGACGCGAAATTGTGGTACTGCGTCGCGATCTTCGCGCAACCTTACTCGCAACACAAGTGGCGGGACAGCAGCACGAATTAGGGATCAACGAAGTCTGTCCCAGAGTGAACATGGGGGAGGGAATCGTTCGCGAACTCCTACTCGTAATGCAAGTGGCGGAACAGCAGCACGAATTAGGGATCAACGAAGTCTGTCCCAGAGTGAACATGGGGGAGGGAATCGTTCGCGAACTCCTACTCGTAATGTAAGTGGTGGGACAGCAGCACAAATTAGGGAGCAACGAAGTCTGTCAAAAAGTGAACATGGGAGAGGTAGACGACGCATGCCAGTTGGATTGAGCGAACACTTGAAAGCGGATGACAGGAGTGCTAGCGGGATAAGCACCTCATCTTCGATATCGGGAGCGAGTATCGATAACCTACCGGCGAATTCGAATGTGAAAGGCACGACCTTGGAACTACTGGCCTTGATTAAGAAGCGACGCCGAGCCAGGGCTAAACCTGGGGATGGGACTTCCAGTGAACGACTCTCGTTGTCTCCCATCCCAGCCAGAAGGGCAAAACCAGGGCGACGTCGTTCTTCCTCCTTTTCTCCCAATGAAGCGAGAAAGCGATTGGATGAGAAGAAGATCGACGAGACGACCTCACGAGAGCCATTTTCTCCCGGTTCAGTGGGGAACCGCAAGCAATTGGGTAAGTCATTCCGAGCGCCGTTTTCGCCCGATTCAGCGGCACGTCGCAAACGATTGGAGAACCTGGGGGAGAAGATATCTCAAGGACCATTTTCGCCCGGCTCAGTGGGGAGCCGCAAGCGATTGGGAAAGCCCGAAGAGAAGGCATCACGATCGCCCTTTTCTCCCAATTCAGCTGCCCGTCGCAAAAGACTGTCGAACCTGGAAGAGAAGATAGCACAAGTGCCCTTTTCCCCCAGTTCCGTGGGGCGCCGCAAACGATTCGGAACGAAGAAGCTCGGTTCAGTTCGAACAATGCCGTTGCCCGTCGAAAACCAAGCATCGCTAGCAGAAGGTGCAGATCTGTTGCATCATTCCTCTCATTCGATCCCCGAGAAAGCAGCCAGTCGGCGAGTACCACTGCCATCTAGCAGTCATGATAGCCTCGGTAGCCATGGGACTTTAGATACCAACGAATCTGGCCTGGCAAGTTTCAATTCATTCCAAGATGACGAAGGAGACGCTCTTTCAGACCTCGAGAGCGACGAAGAAAGTTATGAGTCTCCAAAGGGCGTCATGGGATTTCCTCATTCCTCACAGGACAAGACTACAACCCAGGAAATTGATTCTGTTCACCAAGAGAAATTGAAGCAAATGCGTGCTGAAATGGAAGCCTTGCAGAAGCAACTTGGAAAAATGGAGGAAGACAAGGCCAGCGCTATCCAAGTTCTAAGGGATGACGTGGACACTCGCAAAGCGAAAATGATGCAAAATGCCAAGAAGAAGATTCATTCGCATCTCGAGTCCGAGATGGAGTTGAAGATTTACACCATGGAAGTGGAACATTCGCGTCTCGAAAAGATGAAGGAGGTAATGGAAAAGGGCAAGGGCGAATTGAGAGAAAAGATTGCCCAGGTGCAATGTGATACTCGAGAATTGATGCAAGAAAACAAACGTTTGGATGCCGAAAACAAGGAAATCCACCGCATGTACACCCATTTGTCCAAGTGGATTGTGAAAAAGAAGGAACAAAACAAGAAATTGGAAATGGCCGAGGAGAAGCTGAAGAAAATTTACAGTGGCTCCCTCGCCCTTATCGTTGAAGAGAAACTGTCCAATCTTTTCCGTCGATGCATTTACAGAGTTGCGCAAGGTGTCAATTCGTGCGAAGGCTTTGACTTTGAACTGAATGAGGATGTTTGGGACATGATCAAGGAAGTTGAAGCCGAGTGCGACAAGGAAGTCATTGACCTGCACGATGTGGACGAATGGGAAGATGACCTTGCTGAAAATGAAACGCCCCTAGTCGGAATGCGAATCTCGGCCGGTCTCGATGATGATGACGATAAGGACCTCACAATGTCAATCCGTACCAGAAGTACAATCGGCAGTTTCGACTTATCAAAGCGAAGCAGAAAAGATAGTTTCTATCGAGACGACGACGACAGCATCTCGGAGGAAGAAGACGACTACAGCGAAAGCGAAAGGGAAGCTGATGAAGAATTTGAAGAGGACCTGGAACGGCTCAATGACAGTGTTGCCTTCTACGAAAATGTTCTAGCAGAAGTATCTGTGAATCTGGATGCCACTCAGATGAACACTCTTCACGAGAACAAGGATATGCTGGTCAGCATCTTCAAGTTCATGGATGCTGATGGGAGTGGGGATATTGATTTGGAAGAGTTCAAAGTGGGGATCGAGCTTTTGAACAAACGTCTACCCGAATCGTCTCGTTTCCAGGATGCTGAAGAATTATTCAAGCTTTTGGATGTTGACAACAGCGGCAGCATCGATCTTGAGGAGTTCGAGAGAGTCTTTGATGATGATTAATCCATTTATTAGATTAGTGTCAATCAAAATCAAGAATGGCTGAGATCTAGTTCAATATACCGTACGCGCAATCGGGTCCAGAATAAGTATGCATGATCGAATGGTCCATCTCATTTTAATTCAAAACAAAACTGCAGAAAACACAGTAGAGCACGCCCTTCCAGATGATATCAGTGTACAGATTTATAGTATTAAGAGCAGAGTCTGAGGGATTATTCATTTACTTGCTGAGAATAACAGATCCCTGTCCTACCAGTGTGAGCTTGTCTCCATCGAGTTCCATCTTGGTTACGGTAGGGAAGGTCTTGCTCAAAAACTTCTCAACAGCAAAAAGCGAAGCCTCTGGCATCATCATCGTTGACATAACCCCGCCCATCTTAATTTCTTGAGACTCTGGAGTTCCTTCACCAACAAGGGAAATTTTGGTTCGCATGTTGTTTCCAATCTTGATTGCCATGCGCAGAACGCCTTCATCAGCTTCTTCAATTCTGGCTTCAAATGTCTTTCCTTCTGGAAGTGGTTTACTGTTTGATTCAGCGTCAATAATTTCAGCAAGCTGCCAGGTTCCAACGTAAGGTGAAGTAGCCATTGCGAATGAAGTAGTCGAGATTAGTAGGACTGCTAGAAGAAACCAAGAGTTCATGGTATTGTGTGTTGTGCAGTGACTATGATAACAAGAAGTTTCGTTTCATGAACACGGAACCTGCCAGCCTGAATGCTTTATTTGTACTGCGTTTGCTCGTAGAAAATGCATCACCATACTACACCACGACTGCGTTTCTCCAAATTGCGAACACCACGACCAAATCAAAAATAGCGGATTGATCTGATGAGTCAAAAACACGAGTCAAAAACACAATAAAAATTTGAACCACGCACATTCGATTCGACCACGACAGTCCACAATACACTCTAGTTTATTATTATTACACCATCTATTCCTATAATTCTTTTGATAGCTCAGAAGCCTTCGCAAAAGCCCCCCATTCGCGATAAAACCGAATTGCTTCATTCTTACGATGCCTCGCCTCGTATTCATCGTCTTTCACATCGTTCAAGAATTCCGCATACCGCTCATTGAACAATGCCGTGTGATGCAAATGTCCCGTTCGAGCGGCGTATACAATTGCTCTTCGATATCTTGTCTCCGCCAAGTCGTTTCGGTTGTCCAAGGCTGCCTGTTCGGCATTCAGAAAGATATCATAATGCTTGACATTGGGGTTTCCAGTGTCCTGCATTTTTTCGATTCTCTTTCGAAGACCAATCGCGGCCTTCCTATACTTGCGCTTTTTGGTCTTCCTCGCCATTGCATACAATGCCACTGCCCGATGGAAGGTTTCCATAACTCCAATGAACATGGCTGGAGCATCGTTGACAAACCTGTCGCCATGTTCTAAGGCCCGCTCACCTGCTTTTTCGACATCGAAAAAGAGCAACAATTCTCCCTGCACCAAATGAACGCACGCCAACGCCACCACGTCGGTGCCTTTGTAATTCTTGGCGCTAAAGATCTTGCCTTCCAACTGGGATAGCTGGCGTACATCCATTGGCTCGCTACTACCATCAGGGGACGAGGTAAAGAAATTGATCATCGCTTGCCAAAAAATCTTCACCACAGTTCCCTGTACCCTTTGCGAGACATCTTCCGCCTGGGAAAGGACTTCTGGACAGTACCCACGAAGAGATACCAATGACTTTCCCAACATCCATGGAACAAGTATTCGATTGCAAACCAATGACCAGACGGCATAATCATTTCGACCAACGCTCAATCCACTAGAGTATGCCCTACTAAATGGAAGCGCCATGCTTTCTAAGGACTCAGTATGACAGAGGCAGTACGTGTAGGCAATGAAGAGCGTCTCGGCTTTACTGGATGCATTCATGTGATCTTGTATCGCGAGTGCCAGTCGAGCAAACCGGGAACCTGTTTTCACATCGTGGCGAACAGCTATAGTCAGCATCCCAAGAGACGCAAACGCAGGAGCAGCAGCATCGTTCAGCCCGTGTTTCAATGTGAGCTCGACAATCTTGCAAATGACCAAAATGTTTAGAAATACTTGTTTGGAGACCCAGCACGCATTTCCCAAATTGGACAACATCTTCATGGTGTTTAGAAGCTCTGGATCAGTAATTGTTCCCAGAGTGTCATGGATGTCTTCCGGTGCTGGAGCAGACTTGGCCATGCAAATCGTCTTTGATAGCTTTGTCCTAGCCTGCAGTGGAAGCCTCCATTTTGTGCGGAGTATGCTGGTTCCCCAATCTTTCAAGGTCGCCAAGCCATAGTCGACAGCTTCTTGGTATTCCACGTCGACTGTGCTCAGTTTGCAGACGCGAGAAACCTTCAGTGGCATAGCTTCGATCTCTGTACAGTCTTTCTGGTCAAAAACCATTGCACTGTAGTCATCAAAGGCTTCTCCATTCTCCAACGCCAGTTCCATCATAGCCCCCATGGTACACAATTCAACCGTCAACTCTCGATGACTGGTCCACTTATCTCGTGGTAACACTAGGATCCCATTGGAAGCGTAGCTACTGGCGCTTTGAAATGCGGCAATATTCCTTGCCTTCCTAGCTGCCCGTAGATTTAATGTTGCACACTCGATGGCATTGCCAGCAGTTACCTCGCCATGATTGATCAAGTCAGCAACAATGAAAAGATGATCTTGTAACTGCTCCTTGTCCAAGAAATGTAGCAATATCCTTCCAACTTTTGGCCGAACCGACTTGTTAGATCCATTGAGTAGGAGTAGATCTTGTGCCACCTCTTGGATTATGTTATGAACCCATTGAAATGTATCATCGCTATCGTCACTATCGTCATCGCCGTTATTAAAGTCATCGTCGTAATCTCCGGTACTAGCCTGCTCGATGATGCGTTGATCCGACAGCGTCTTGATCAAATCTTCTACAGAAGCAGCTTCGCTCCCATTGTAGTATTCGTTCCAAATCACCGTCATTATCGACTTTTGAAAGAACGATCCAAGGCATGCTGCACATTGCAGAAAAGTCTTTGCTGGAACGGAGAGGTGCTGTATTCGAGATTGAAGCATGTCCACAAGCCGGCCAGTGGAAAAAGTCCTCTTTTCAATTTCCTTCTCGTTCCAGGTCCATTTCCAGCTTACAAGATTGAATTTCAGAAGCCATTCATGAGTCAGCGTTTCCATAAACTCAATCACAAAGTAAGGATTGCCCTTGGTCCGCTTGAAGCAAATCTCTGCCAATCCTTCCACTTTATCTTTATCATCGATGGACATCATGGCCATTAGCATCTCCTGCACATTATCAAACGTACAATTTTTCAATGAAATTTCAGTGAGGTTGTAACGAAAGTTGTCTTGGCTTTCCGTCATGGATTGTATCCGCTCCATAAGTGGGCTGTTGGGTGGAAGCATCTCGTCATTGTTATTGGATCGATAGCACCCAATGATCATGAACGGATTCGGGTTCTGTTCGTCACAGATTAGGTGATTGACAAAGTCCATCGACGCCATGTCTGCCCACTGGATATCATCTATGAGCAAGACCAAGGGGGATACTACCGCACTGAGCGCTCGGCTGAGCACTCGAAAGGCGTACTTAGAGCGTTGCTGAACATGTTCTGCATCAAACGTTTCGGTGCCTGAACCCGAATCCTCATCATCACTGTCTATATGATCCCCAAGAATCTCAGCGAGCTCTGGAACCAAACACAGGAGGATATCCCGTTGGTCCCCAAGCTCGGTGTATAAGATGTCACCAATGTGCGATGCCGACTGCTCGCACATGGACAGAATTTCTCGACAGACTTTTCGGAACATGTTGGCAATCGCAACAAATGGTACCTTGCTGTCAACATCAAATTTTCCTTCGACAAAGAGTCCTCCTTTGGACCGGGCCACAAAAGACCTCAATTTCCGAGCTACCGTTGTCTTGCCCACACCCCCATTCCCTCGAATGAGTACGAGTTCTTTGGATGGGATTTTCAGGAATCCAGAGTCAAATTTCATCGCCTTGTCGAAGGATCTCTTGGCTGTCACCATTCTCTCTAAGCATTCCTTCAAGGTCTTGGATTCTTCTTGACGACCTACAACGCCAATGGCATCCATTTTCAGTTTGTTGTCAATGGCTGCTAATTCCTCTTTACGCTTTCGTTGTTTTTGAACCACCAAAGGGTCGGGTTTCTCCACCATCTTGATTTTTATCAGTTCTTGAAATTTTACTCTCTTTCTCATCCGTATAGAGCCAGGGCCGCTCCTCCTTGACACTTCTAATTCGGATGTTTCGCTACTATCATCATCTGATGACAGCAATGATTTTATCTTTGGCATGTTGCTCATGGACCCAGAATGATGCAAGTACCGCAAGTTTGTTTGTGGAGTAGAAGCAGTTGTGGAAGGAGTTCCAGGAACGGCACTTATGTGATGTTCCTTGATTCTCATAAAGTCGTCTTGTACAATTATGGATTCCTCCGAGAGCATGCGGTTCATGATCGTATGGTACAATACCGGTAATGATGTTGTCGTTGTGGTTTTCTCAGTACTGATGAAGTTCCAGATTGAACAAAGCTAACCACCATTCGCTTGCTTGATTTCTTTAGCTACAAGTTGTAATCGCCACGGATTACTTTGAGGTCTTGTGTGGATGTGTAATGTGGTACTGTACCTGAGAGGATCAGGTAAACCACAAGGATACTATCTTAGGTGTATTTTGAGTGTGTACGAATTTTGAACCTGATGTAGCTTTGATCACTTTTCGGATTTGAGTGCGTCCAAATTCGTTTTGTGACGGTTCGGCTCGCGTTGATAAGATCATAACAGGTGAAATTTCTGGTCTTGCCTCTAAGTATGAGCGTTTCTATAATAAGTAAATACATTTAGAGCTACGAGGAATCTGTTTCAAAATCACCCGTGAGCCCTCCTTTCGTGATTCGTTTTTATGTATCGCACATGATGGATTGCAACTTTTTCGATTGGACATCATTCTTAGGGGGATCCAAAACCTTCCTTGGAGTAGCGCGACATATTGATTGCAGTTCTTCTAAAGTACAGAAGACTTTTACTAAACCTGTAACCTGTAACTCGCCGTCATTGTTGGTAGAACTCGATTGCTGCACTGGTACCTGGTACCACCCTTACGGCGGTGTCCATTACGCCCTACCAAGAGAACAATCTTGGCCCTACCAGCACCACAACACGTCCTTTTATCATGGGCATGAGCTGGATGGCATGGTCTGTTCTGCTGCCTGCACCAGCAGTTCATGATCTGCCCAATCACCAAACATATATGTAGTGCGGAGTAGCAAGAAGACACGGCTACGCGATCTTGACTCACATTTAATATATAGTATCATCGCCGACGCAGAGGAAATCTAAAAGACACGAAATATAGTGGAGTTGGATGAAACCAAGAGTCTGTCACAACATAGACATGAGTGAGTGAGTGAGTGAGTGGTTGAGTGGTGATTGGTGTGTGGTTCATCGTCTTCATACTGGTTTGACTTCAATCATCGTCTGTTGTTCGCTCGTCGCTCTGTCATTCGTTCGTCACTCGTTATTCGTCCGTTGAGTTATTTGCATGCAGTCAGTTTTGTGAGGTTAAAACGACAATGCAAATTCTGACGATCCCTACATCATTTTATACTGTAGCATATAACTATTCCATCTGTCATGAAACACTGAACCGAGACAGGGCAAACAATGAACAATGGGCACACCACAAAGCATAGGCACCGAAGAATACCGATTGATACGTGCAATAATGGAGCAGGGAATGAATCATCGAATCATGCTCTGCCATCACCAAATTCCGTGTCATCGACCAGAGCAAGTTCACGTCGACGAGTCAAGAAGAAACCAAAAACAAACTTTCGAGTCGTAATTCTGGTGATGACACTTCCATTAGCTGTTCTACCATGGCTATTTGCCCATTCCAACATGATAAAGCCCACGAGCCCATTTCTTAGACCCGAAAAAGCGAAACCAATAAGCATTCAAGCATCAGCTGACACTCTGCCTCATCAGCTTCAGGATCTCGAACCACTGAGACAACCAATCGATCAGATTCGAGAAGAATGGCCAGACCTCTTACATATTGTCAACACTCGTTTCATGCAAGAGCAAGGAACACTGAAAACGTTGGGAATGGCACGGTATCATCAATTCATGACCTTTTGCTTTCCATCCATGATGAATCAGACAACTACGGAATTCTTGTGGATCGTAAAGACAGATCCGGAACTAAGTCCAGAAATTCGTGATTTGATGATTGAAGCAATGAAGCCGTATCCACACTTTTACCTGGTGGGGAGCAACAACAACTTTATGATCAACAAGAATAATGGATCCTGGAAGGGTGGTGAAGAAGGCAAGGATCTGTTGAATTCTACAATTTTTACCGGAAACTTGACATGGCTTCAGCAAGCAATGGCGCTACGAAATGAACTCCCAGTCCTGGAGACTCGATTGGATGCGGATGATGGGTAAGTTTCATTTGTCGGTAGTGTCGTTTGGGAACAAAGCCACGACGGCCTTCTTCTTGGTCCTATTGCGAATCCTTATTCATACTCACAGATTCTTTTTTCGTATGCACACTTTTTGCGATTTGATGATCCTTTCCTCACAAACTGAAAATGCTATAGATTGCATCAAATGTACCTTGATTACGTCCAAGGCGTCGCCAGACGACGATTCGACAAAGATGATGATTCGAGCGCACCAGATTGGTTGTACTGGTGCATTCGACGCCATTTAGAATGGCACACGCCTGCTGATAACACAACGGATCCTTTCCTTCTTGAACGAGGCATTCTAATCCCCATTCAACACAGTCTATTGTGCATCACTCCTGGGATTACGGTGGGGTACAATGTCCGAGCCGATCCGACCAAAATACCCGTGTACCCTCATGATGCGTTGCTCCTAAAACTGTCACATCGCGATGCCAACAACCAAACGGCACACAATTGCTATCCACCAGGCAAGGCAGAAACGGAATCGGACGAAGAAACGGATTCACTGCCTTGTCTTGACATGGCGGAAGCCTTCCTTTTGGGTGCTCTGCGATCCCGTACATGGACATCGGCCGGAATGATGCGAGTCGAGGCCGATGCTCAAGTTGGGTCACCAGAAGTGATCCGGAAACTTTGGTTGTTATTGCACAAGCGGTTTGCCGTCGAGCCTGAACGGGTCAAAGAACTTATGAAGTACTTTGAAGCAAATCGAAAGGAAATCGCACAGGAGAACCTTTTGGGGCAGTGTACAACTGGGCATTCTTGCAAGGACAGTGCAAAACAAGCTTTACAATCGTATATGGGAAAATGAGCTGGAGAGGATGGTGTTCTAGCTTGCAATTCTGGGCTGGTTCGTTCGATTGTTTGATGACTGAATCGGAATCTCAAATCTGTCAGTGGTGGATATCGTCGACCACTTTGCTACTCAATTTGCAAGTTCTTGCTCAAAGCAACATATTGCCTGCTACAAGGACTTTTGCAAATGAAAGAGCAGTGTCAGCCAGCATTCATACTAAAGCAGTATTGGCGCTGTGCAGGGAATTGCAGCACAGCAGGATGATGGCAGTGTACAGTATTTGTAGTCAGAAGTCGGCAGCTGAATCGAAGATTTTAAAACACTTGAAGACAAAGTAAAAGAGCTGTCGGCTCTGATAGATACAATTTGACTGTACATACCATATACTGGATCTAATATGATTTTGGTGCTGGTACCTGTACACTGGTCCCTCTGTCTTTGATTGCTGCCAAAACATCAGTGTGTCCAGACAAATCAGTGTGGGGAATATGAATAATATCAAACTAGACAAGAGAGCAAAAACTGAAAAGCAACAAAGCAGTTGCCGCCTTGTTGTACAACCAGCCATTCTAACGAGACTATTGAATCATCTCTGAATCATCTCTGTAGTGGCAATGCTGCAGAGCCAAGTAATTTTTTGCGTCAAATAAAGCAGGCAGACACAACTCAGCATATCCGTTACAACAGGCATGCATGAGGACAAATGAAGTCCCAGTCTGACAAGACCGACTTTTGACCATTCCCAGAGTGCCGGCTCCCAAAATGGTGGACAACATGGCTTGAATTGAAAATCTAGTGGCGGTATCATTGTCCCAGTTGTAACCAGTGTAGGAAAGTGTGGGACCGCTAGAAACTGATATATCACCAGTCATTGTCAAACCCTAACCCTCCTTTTCTTCATGACAGTAGCGCAGCAGCATCCATACCTGTAGACGGTCCAGTCATTGTCATTACTTTAATGCACCAAATCTCCAACCTGTTAAAGCGAGGACTTGGCACGACACAATGAAGCTTTTATGCTACATACTGAATACTGTTTGTCACTTTGCGCAATGAAAGTTGAGGAACCGATATGTAAAAAGCTCAATATGCAGAAGCGGACGGAGGAACCTGTCTCTGAGGAATTGGAAGTGCCGCTAGCTAGTACTGATGCAAGGAGAAGGAAGATTTTAGTTTGTTCACGGGGTCGGATTGGAACAACACAAACAAAAGGACAGCAATAGTGCGTTCTGGTGGTGATGTTTTTTTAAAAAGTCGTGCGTGATGTGTATTTTGTCTTTTTTTTATAAACTATTATTGCTGTCGAGCAGTATTTCTGCGAGCAAGCCGGTTATAGTCGTTGTGTCTTTTGGTAAATATATATTTTATACTGTAAAATGTGCTTATTATATGTTGCGAGAAATACTGTACCATACTGTAACCTCCAACGGAAATAAAATTCCACAGTCAGAACTTTTGCAACAATAATGGCACAAACTCCAATCTGACAAAGAAGAATAAGGCATATACTCAACAAGCCATGAAGAAAGATATTGAGAGCTCAGGGCCGTGGGTAGAACCGGTGAAAGTGGCCGAATGCGAAGAAGTTGATGAAAATCGGCCACACAATGGCGTCGGATGTGTGGATGGGTGCCTCCGAGACAAGCATTTCGCCATCACAATTTTTATCATTGTGCTCATCGCTGTGCCGTTCCTTTGGGTGCTGGGTTTCCTTCTAGACCTTCATTTCATAGTAATTCAGACAATTCTTGGCGTTCTTTACGTCTCCTTTTGTCTCAAAAGCAACAGCTTCCAATACATTCGAAGTGTTGTGACAACCGAAGATATCGTGACGTTCATGGGGAGGATGTACAAGACAAAACCAGCGGTATATTTTTCCATCAGATGCTACCACTATGAAACGAGAACTCGCACGAAATTCCAAGATGGAAGATCCACCACCGAAACGTATCAAGCGAAAGTGTACACACATTCTGCACGTGATAGTTTGAAATTTGTTGGATGGCAAGACACTTCAACGTCTCTCAATCTGAGTGAAATTGAAAAGTATGTCATGACAAAGGTTTCGGTGAAGAAGAGGTGGACAGGAGATGCCGGTGCTGATGAACAAAGGCGTGATTTCGTCAACAAAAACAACCGCGATACATACTATGTGTTCTCTGAAGACTTACAGCTCGAAGGATACCGCCCTCGCTTTCTGGGTTTTCCCAATTTAGATGACGTACCATGCTTAGCTCATTGGAAATGGTATGTACTGAGTCATCTCACAGTGGTATTTGCTCTCCCATACCGGATGTGGCTTTCCAGTAGGACAGGAAAAGTCAGAACCGAAGTTGTGAAGCAGATTTGGACATCCTCTGAGTCAAAGCCCTTGGAGGTGAAGGAATAAAGGTTGTAACAATGTACCAATATATATTTGCACGATTGCGCATGAACGTAATAAGTCTAGTATACCGTACGTATCAAAATCCATCACCAAGATTGAAATACAGTTGCATTTTGGACAAGATTGTGGCTACGAAAGCAGCGTCATTGGAAGAGGAAGAATCTTGGCAAAAAGAAGAGTATCATGCAAGTCTCGTGTGGTCCCATGTCGGTTACAACAGATGCCGTGTTGGACATCATTCCACTGCCTCTTCGTCCACAGGAACCATTGAAGTACAAGGAAAAACAATGAGAGGTCATGGAACGGCTCACGGATGACGCCTACGATGACAATGGCAAGATTGATGGAAAGGCACCACCACAGGACGATATTTATAATGACGATTTGGATGGGGACAGTTTTCGGAAAGCGTGTTTGTGATCTCATCCACCACTCCCTTCCAATAGATCCACAGCAAACACAAGGCCGTCATGTTACCGGCCCTCAAGATTGCCTTTGATTCCGATTATATTGACATTTTGAAAATGCCTCTATTGTTAGCAAGAGAGGATGACGATGCTCCATTGATGATGCTAAGCAATCATGGACCAAAAGTTTTGGGCGTCAATCCCAAAAAGTCTGCGAATATTGGGGCAGTTCCGAAGTCCGATACGATCCCAAGGATCGTCGTCCAAATAAGGGTGCCAAACATTATCTCGTGGGTCAGCTACAGTACCATCCTTAACGCAGTATATAATACTGGGACAACCCGCCCAATAAGCTTATATTATATTATAACTTTAACTATGATCCCACGCGACAATATGATTTCTATAGCTGGGCCATGGTGAATTTCATGACGATATGGCACAACATTTGCTCCAAGAGTTATTAAAATATTTATCGATCACATGGAATTTAGGTGAAAGGATTTCTTGATGAGTTTTTAGTCCGGCAGAATTACATTGGCAACCAAATTGGACCCTTTCAACAACAACCGCTGTGTTATGGTATCACAGAAAAAAAAGGCAACCTCGAGTACTTCTCGATATCAGTAATTGCTTGATTCATCGATCGATCGATCGATCGATCGATTGCATGAATGAATCGTGCAAGCAGCGCAGGTGTATTGTCATCGATGCTACTGGAGTAGCGACCAACGGTCCAGACTGCGCACTACCATAGCTGGCAGAAGTTGTTGTCTGCTGCCTTGAGCTTGCACAGTTCCAGTCCTTACCCGTCGTATTCTGCCTAGCCTCTTGACACAATCGACAAACATGCCAAAATATCATCAGCTGCTGCTATTGAAGTAGCTAAAGTAATAAACGACTGTCTCGGTCCGCTCCCCATTACCCCTAATCCTCAATGTCGCTTCCGAGAGCATGGCGCACTAGTGCATTCATAATACCTTTACAATCAACGTTCTTCGTGTCCTTTCGCAAACATGTGTCAACGAACAGATTCACACCATCCTTCGTTTGGAAATCTGACCCATCAATTGTCTGCTGGTGAAAGCCGACAAAGCTCTGCGAGGCCAAAACCTCCGACTTTTCTTCGAGTGAGGCAACTTCTTGGAAAGCTTCAGTTGTGCCAAAAGAATCTTTTAGCGGGACTTGTAGCATCCGCAAAACAACCTTTCGCTCTTTAGTAACTTTGTAACATCCGTAATCCCTTGCGTATCCAGCTCGTGCTTGTTAGTACCCTCGGATTGAGATTATTTTCCAAGAAGCACACGCAGACAAAGACCACCCTTCTTCCAGCAACCTTTCGCCGCAGAGCTAACATCCTCGCCGTCACTATTGTTGGTAGCGGTTTTGACCTCCATCTGACACTTCTGTAGGTCGCAAGGTCGTCCTCGACTTATTGACCGAGACCACCATTGGAATGTAGTAGTGCTCTTGCTTCTCGTTGTCTTTTGTCCAATACTACTCGAAGCGAAAATGTCACATCGATGGCCTTGCAACCGTTTCAAAAACATAGAAGAAACCTTTAACGGCGCACTATAAATGCTTCAGAAAGCTCTCTTCCGAACGCATGCTCCAATCCTCATCATACACTCGTAGGTAGTTCCGGCAATAAACTTTTAAAAGAGAAATATACGGTAGGGCAGGAGCGGGGGTGGATAAATATATTTTGTATGCCGCATATTTTATAATAATGTATGTGAGTGCGAGCGAGTGAGTCAGTCGTCGGAGCGTGCGGAGAAGCGCAGAGTACCAGGTACTCGCGCGATGCATCCGACTCAAATTTTCACGCTACCGTACAGTATCTATATCATAATCGTACGCGGATATACAGTATGGCGACGATGATGAGGTGATGACATAATATATATAATGCGATAATAATAATCCCTGAATATATAGCGTTGTATCATCTACAGTACCGAGCAAGAATGGCGACAAGGATACAAGGATATAAGGAAGACTGGAACATCAAATAGAAGGAAGGAATACATCAATCATCAAGGACTTCTTTGGACAAAGAACTACTATGAGCGATCGTTTTAGGTCTAGGAAACCTGGTCAAAATCACTATAATGTCGAAGGATTCCACTTGTTGGAAGAACTAGACACCCATAAGAGAAGGGAGAGAAGAGCATGCAAAACGAATTCCTGCAGCAGATTTTCAGGATCGCTCTTGGTATCCATTGTTGCTTTGTTCTTTGGAGTCCGCTTATTCCTAATGTTCAGAAATAGATACCCTGGAGATGTCAATAACTCTACGACTATCAATACACACGAGACACAAACAAAATCACAGAAATGGGAGCTGCCTGCGTCATTTTCCAAGGGATCCACACGAGAACAACAAAAAGTTATCTCTGACGTCTGTTCTGAACGAAAAGCTGTCTCTCCCCTAAGAAACGAATCATCTACATCGGGTGACGTGTCTTGGACGATTTGCATGACAATCAATTCCGGATTCTATGACTTCTTCCGAAACTGGTACAAGCATTACAAAGTGCTTGATTTGCAGTTGGAAATTGTTTTGTTTGCCGAAGATGCGGTTGTTTATGATCGCCTTTCCAATGCCACGTTTCTGAATCGCGAATATACCACAGTTGTCAATGCGACCAATACTACTACGGACCCTTCTCCCATGGCGACATCTACTCCATCAAAACACATGACTGCTGAAGCAGCTGTGTTGCCAACACAGGCTCCATCAAATGTCACGGCAAATGTGTCATCCTCTTCTTCCACCGATGAATCAGACGAGAATGCTTCATCAGGTTCTTTGGATGCATTATGGTCGGACTGGAATCATGGAGTGTTCGACATATATTCCTATGCATACAGGAGCTTGATTGCCAATCGCCCAACTAGGCTGTTACAAGTCTTGTGCTCTGGACGCAATGTGCTATACATTGATACTGATACCGTCTTGAAGAAGAGCCCATTGCCTGTTATCAACAAGAACTATCTGGAAGGAGTGGACATTAGCATCGCCATTGACAAAATGGGAACCGAGGCCTATGCGCATACATATGATCTTTGTACCGGTTTTATCGCAATTAAGGCAAGGTCAGAGACGATTGACTTTTTGTCAGATTGGGAAAAACGTTGCCACGATGATGCACGCGTCCAGAATGATCAACAAGCTTTCAATCTAGCTTACGAAACCTTGTGGAAAAATTGGAAAGAATCCAGCTCTCGAAGGGTAACTCTGGACGTTTTACCTTCTATACTGTTTCCAAATGGCGAACAATTTTTCACCCTTTACAATGAGAGTCAACGAGAAGAAGCAATATTGGTCCACGCTAACTGGATAGTGAGTGGCGCCAACAAGAAACTCAATCTAATGAAGCATGGCCTGTGGGATCCAGAATGACGATTTGGACTCTGATGATATATCACATTGCATACCGAGACAAGGTCTCCACTCCTCGCGCAGCTGCGTCTGAGAGACTGATCATGGCAACAGTATATTGGGGAGGGCGACGTCGATTTCTTTCAGCGAGTTGAGTACTTGTAGTAATATACCCATACATCTCAGAGCAAAATCAGAAGGTGCATGATGCGTACAGCTCAAAGGACGATTTCGCTTTGAGGAAAGCTTCCCTTGTTCCATATGATCTGAATGGTACCATCGAGGTTGCTCGTATACATCGAATACGAGTACCTGCTAAAATTAAGTACTGATATAGTGCTCATCCGGACATTGTTTCAACGAATCCAAACAGTTGAGTTAACATGGATGGACCACCTTCCTTCTTCTATTCAATGTCACAATGACGGCTGTTTTTAGTACCTAGGCACCGCAGTCATAGCAACTGTAAAGTAGCGCCCGCACACTGATAGTGTTGTTTGCATCTGCCATCAAGTCTTCATTAGTCGACTCATTCGACTATTGTCTTTCCCCCGCCAAATTGGGCGAATGGAAATTTCGCGGATCTCGTCAAACTCTATTATACTCTCCCTCTATTATACCGGCGACAATAGGCTCGAATCAAACTGAAGGTTTCATTGTGAAGGTTCTGAATGAAGGAAGAACCATGAGCGATCGTTTTCGGTCTAGGAAAATCGGTCGTAATCACAATCATGACGTGGAAGATTTCCAAATGAAAGTGCTGGTGGAGGACTATTTGGACGTAGACAATAAACATAGAGGCAAACGAGAAGAGAGGAAAGCATATCGCATACACTTCTACCGCGGATTTGTGGCATCGCGACTCTCCAGGTTGTCGCTCCTGGCAATTCATGTTGCTCTTTTCTTTGGATTCCGTTTCATATTCAGAAATGGATACCTTGGCAAATCCCCTCCGTCCCCCCGAATGATGTCACCACCAGACTCACAGCATGAGCCGCCAAGGTGGACAACGCAGAAGTTTGAAGTCTCGGAATCTTTGGTCAGTCTAGCAAGTGGACTACAGCAGAAGATGATATCGAACGTTTGCTCTGAACGAAAAGTTGTCACTCCGCTGAGAAACGAATCATCATATAAACAATCTGATGGTCGTATTCCTTGGACGATATGCATGACAATCAATGCGGGGTTCTATGACTTCTTCCAAAATTGGTACGCTCATTTTCAAATTCTGGACTTGAAGATGGACATGGTGTTGTTTGCGGAGGACTCTGTAGCCTACGATCGCCTTTCCAATGCTCAATTTCTGAACAGAGACTACACCATGGTTGTGAATGCCACCACCAGCACACCAATTACTTCTCAGCAGGCCACAGATGTGCAACCAGCCAAAATATCATCCACTTCAACTGGTTCCTCCGCTGAAGATTCAGCTTCTTCAGATGAAGTCTTTGACGCTTATTCTCAAAAGTACAAACAGCTCATATCCAATCGCCCGACTAGGCTGTTGCAAGTCTTGTGTTCTGGGCGAAATGTCTTGTACATTGATTCTGACACCTTTTTGAAAAAGAGTCCGTTGCCTTTCATCAACAAGAATTACATGGATGGTGTAGATATCAGTGTTGCCCTTGACCACGTAAAGAGGAAGAAATATGCGCATGGCTTTGGGGTTTGTACTGGATTTGTCGCCATCAAGGCCAATCCAAAGACGGTCCACTTTGTGTACGAGTGGGAGAGGCGATGTCACGACAGCGACAGTGGAGGTGCCATCAATGATCAGACGGCGTTCAATCTAGCCTACGAAGCCTTTTGGTTGGAGCGACAAGAGTCTGGCATGTCCATCATCAAACTCCAAGGCCTACCGGTCGAGTTATTCCCAAATGGCGAGCAATACTTCAAAAAGTATGATGAAGGTCAACGAGAAGATGTTGTCTTGGCTCACGCGAATTGGATTGTTGGAGGTAAGAACAAGAGACAAAATCTTATGAAGCATGGCCTATGGGACCCAGTGTCATGATGAATGGATGAGTGGATGAATGAATGAATGAGAAAGAAACCATTTTCGATTCCAACAAGAATAGGGATCCACATGAAATTCGGTCATATAACTGTTGCAAGTGGACGATTGACCATAGGGCATCACTGGATTTCAGGAGCTCTTCTAAGCAATACAAGTGAAATATAAAATAGCATCGGACGCGAGACGAATATGGGAAGAAGGACTCGAAGATTGGCTCCAAGATACTGGGTATCATATCTCATTTTCTTCTTGTTTGCTACTATCTATCTGGTCTGCTGCCTGCCAATAGGTATCACCATAATCAAAGAATAACTCCTCCCCCTTTTGAATATCTCGCGAAGAATAAAAGTGCATGACACCAGCCTGAAATCCAAACTGTTGCTTTTTCCAATAGACATTGGCCATGTCTTCTGACGCTGAATTCATATACCGCGCTTTGTTTGACTTTTTTGGGTCAATCCCATCAATGTAGACAGGTTCACTACCCAGTAGAGAGAAAAATCCAGTATCAACTCGGGCCACATACCGGCCATCGCCGTTTGGGTAACGCGAAAAATAGTCTTCTTCGGTCAGAACCTCGCCTTCGTAATCAAAGAGATAGGTCGACTTGGCAAGGTTGGACCCCGCAAAGAGTCCCATGCCGGCACTTGGAATTGTCGAAGGTTGAACCTCAAAGGCTGAGGAAGGAAAAGGAGCCTGATATTCGTTGTAGGATTCTGTGATGCCATATCTTATCGATATGCCAATCAGCAAAAGACCCAGGAACACAAGTGGATCAAATAATCCCAATAGAATTCCCAAGACGGATGCAAGGCTGAGGAAGGAAATACCAATAATCAACCCGGTGGTTCGCAGCCGCCTCTCTTCCTTCACCTGGAGACGCAATGGATTGGGACTTCTGACGTTGTCGTCATTCGGAGCAATGAGTTTCTGGGAATCATCGTCATCTGTGGACCTGTCAATTTTGGAATGCAAACAAACACTGCTTGGAAACCGATGACACCTTGGATGATGCTGAAGTAATAAAGCTGCTTCCGGGAGCCTGGATGGAACGGCGGGTCCATGAGGTGTTATTGTCAAATGCATCAGCCAATGCGCAATGTTCAATGTCGCATCGTTGTGATAGCAAGATGTTATTTTTATATACCTGCTATCAAAAGATATATACGAATTTAAAAAAATCGCACGCATGCGTGGGGAACTGATCAGAAAATCGAACCTGTTTTAGGCCTCACCTATTTCGAGACTACCATTTTGCAGTTTCACGTTGAATGTCTAGTAGGACAAAATGGTTCGGACATTTTGAGCTTCGACGGTGTTCCTGATAAACCTTTTCGTACCCTTCGGCGTATAAATCTTTTGTCAGTGTTTTTAGCAGCTTCTGTAAAGTCGGACATTGTGTTCCTTTTGAGCTTCTGCCATGTTCGAAAGAAATTATCGTATTTAACAACATTCTCTTTCTGTTCCAGGAACAATTGTTGATGAATTCATAGAAGTGTAGAGATGTTCCAGGCACTTTTTTCTTTCTGCGACCGACCTTTCCACCTGTGACTTATCCCGGTACATGGCTGCGACTGCAAAACTCGCATACAGTCTACAGCCTCACTGGTTTCTTCTCTCCATTCACAGTCAGGCAGCGAAGTAACCATATAACCCACGTACCTGTATAACAACTGAAGCCTCAGTCAATTAAAGAAGGAAGCAGCTGGTCCCTCATACATGATGGGGTGTGAAAATTCAAAGATGGATTGTTACCCGTACAAACTTCCTGATTCGGAATGGAAGAAAAAACTGTCAAGGGAAGAGTTCCATGTGATGCGACGAGGTGGAACAGAGGCCTATGGGAAGGGTGAATATTGCAAGTACTTTCCCAAAACGGTAAGGATCTTCTGAAAGAGGCTTGTTGGATTTCCTCATGTTGCCGTATCATTCATCATTTTTCATTGATCTGAATCTTATATATATATTATGCGTAGGGATACTTTGCGTGCAAAGCTTGCGATCATCCCTTATACTCGGCACAATCCAAATTCACGGACAGCGGTTGGGATGCTTATTCTATGGCGTATACATCTGGTGAAATGCCCCATGTTAGTATTCGTGGATTCAACGAGGTAAGATCTTTCTTAGACTTTAGGAGGACCCATTTGCATGGCGAGCTTATTTCTAACGCATGCTATACTTCCCATTGCTGTTAGGTCTGCTGCAACAACTGTGGCAGCCACTTGGGACATTTATTTCCAACTCAAGACGTAGAAACCGAGCAGAGACAATGAATTAACTCCATCTGTTTGGTCTATCACAAGGACATTGATACCTTGCCGGATAACGTCACTGGCGAGAAAAGACTCGCATTTGGAGCTCTCAAGTTGCCAAAGAAATAAACAACAACTTATTGCAATACTAATAAGAGTGGATGGCAGTGACAAGCCAGTCATGCACATAGTTGCATTTCTCTAGACAATATAATTGTCGCCAGGACTCAAATGCAATTTCAAGTTTGGCCTCTTCTTTCATGAGAATGACGGTGCTTCGAGATGGATTCGACTTTAGAGGAAAGAGCTAAGGCGATTCATTTCTGGCCCCTGACAGTAAAGCATGGAAGAGAGACGAATTATACAATAGAACTCATACATATTTATCTATAGTTGAATTCATTACGACTTCTTTCAGCTGCGATTCAAGGCAGTTATTCAACAGCCAAGGCAGCAGTGTGCTGAGCCAGACCCATTTTCCGGCTTTTATCGTGCTACTATCAGCTACAGTATCAGCCCTCCCTAGAGATTCCCTATGCATTCCGTTTCTCTAAGCGTACCAGGTACCGGGTACTGGTACTGGTGCTCTTTCGACCATTGCGGAAAGAACTACAGTATACCGCGTTTTCGTGGAACTTCGCAGGTGTTCCGCGTAGAAAGACTACGTATCTACTCCGCATGACCTAACGGTATTCCTATACTTTCTCCCAATCGCAGGTGCCGCAATATACAAGGATGATGTGAAGCCCTACGAACCGTACTCCGGCGGAATCATTAGTGGAATATTGAATATGTATTTGTTGAATGATGGAGTGATTTATTCAAACTCAGGTCGATGGCATTGACAAATGAAACCATCATCTTACAACAAACTTGAAATCGAAGGGTCGCGCCCCTCCTCATCCAGAAGGTCGCCTTGTCATGACGTGATGATAGCTTGTTCGGGGATCTCGAATAGATCCAAAAGGTGTGGCGAAAACCCCTCCTGTCAATTTTTGGTGGATTGTGGCTGAGGTATCTCAATCATCTCATCTCCGCATCTCAAATCTCGTGATAACGAGGATAGGAGGAGATTTGTATGCCCGTAGTATACGGCTACAGCCGAGAGTGTCCGCCGTATATCCATGAGAGGCAGACGCCAGAAGAAGGCGACACCTCCGCCGAAGTAGAATCATGAAAGCAACTGCAAGCGATTGGTTGCAAGGTGCACCACCCTTATCCATTGATCCGTCGTCGCCTTCGAATGGGCACGAAATTGGTATTTCCTTCCATCAAGAACTGCCTGGCTAATTTCAGCCGATCACGTACTCCAGCCAAATGACATTGTGACGTAACCAATGATTCTGGCTACCATCTACAAATGGTGAGCAGCAAGAGAGATCCTACTACAACAAAGTGGATGGCGCCACTATGGACCTGTTCTTTGGGTTTAGCAAGAAGAAGTTCGCCGCCAAAACTTGGACTTTCATCAATGCGCACAATACATCGGATGGAGATGCACATGAGAGTTGTGGCTCCAAAATGCACGAGTCTGGCGTAATTTCAAGACACTGCCTACCGGTACAAATGATACATAAGATGGGAACCATGAGATGCCCACAACCATGGTCGACGATGAAGGCCTTCAATGTGCTTCATCTCATTCATCATCTTGGGTTGTTCCAGGGGATTCTATTCAGAGCGACATCCATTGTGAGCTCCGAATAATAAGATGATTGATCTCGGCTACTTTTCTTCTTGCAGATTGGATTGGACGACGGTACAACTACTTCTGCGATGCATATGGTCCCCTACTGGACAGGCCAACATTTCCAGAGCCAAAACAAGGATCTTCAGGGCGGATGCCGTCAGTCTCTTTGAAGGGCCGTTCCGAACGTTTCACCATCACAAAAGACGATATGGTTTCGTCCTTTCGTGCAATGCTCTATAATTTCCCCGTCCACGAGAAGAGCTCTTTCAAAAACGATAGCACGTCTACGTTTCAGACGGCATCTTTATTGTAAAGTCTGAGCGCGACTACAGGTCAACACACACGCGTCCACATCGGTTGTACGTCCTCTTCCTTTGGCCGCTCGCCAGCCTACACTAGCGCCAATGATACTCTGAATTATTCCAATACAGGGGAACGGAACTTCCTTAGAAAGATGTCTTCAGATGCTGCTAGACAAGTTCAATTGTTCCTTGTTGTGGGGCTGAAGGAGCTTCTTTTAGTGTGATCGTATGCGAGTCGACTGCGGATTGCTTGCTGCCTTTGGTGTCTAGCTCTACCCTTTCTCAGCTTACGTATACCCGAATAAGATACCTTTATACTCTATGGTACCGATACAGTCCACTGCGTACAGTACTGGTACCAGGTACGTATATGCCGGTAGCCATCATCCAATCAATGTTGGATGCTTCTTTCTGGGGTGAAAGGAAATTCACATCTCCCAAAGTATAGACTCCCCTGTACTGATTTTACCCCAAATATATTATTACCATCGTTTTATTGTTGTGCCGTCGCACCTTAATTGCATCGCATACACCGGCATCATATATAAAAGAGCACGGAGTATGATTGAGATATCGACCTATTGCCAAACTACACCATGGAATGATAGACTCTTATCCCTTTTATCGGCTGTCCTGCTGAATCCCATTCGTCCTAACTTTACACGAGCCATAAACGACAAGCCAACTGTGCTGCCAGCACATAGACAAACCCAGAATGTCGTTGGAGTTGTGATAGTATTGCCGCTCGTTGGAGAATCTAACTCAAGCGTATGGAGAGCTTGCAAACGGCTGAGAAGAAGAATACAGAGGTTTGCGATTCGATACTCCCTACATGTAACGTTTGTCAACAGCCATCAAGCAAAAAAGGAAAACTTTGTTCAAACCTTGAAGTAAGTTTGTTGTCGATTATTTTCAGAAGTGTTTGGAGGACTTTTCTCATGGTTTGTTTTTGGACTATTAATAGCGACATTGTAAAAGTCACCGACAGCTACTTTTTAGTCTCCTTCGATGGAAATGCAACTGTTTTCAAAGATATATCAAGAAGTGAAGGGGATCAGGGACTACGGCTCCTCGGGTTAGTGCTTCTGCAACCTGGTGTGGAACAGAATGATGGCCTTGGTATAGTGATTAGCAATTATAGTCATGTTCCGATGCTATTGTTATCACCAGAGGCCAATGGGCAACTCATCAAGTCAGCAAACAATAGCAGTCCTCTTTTGCTCTTGGCCTTGCTTTCCGATGATCATTGCCTTGGCCATTGGGTCGACGACGAAATGATGGGAGTATGGCTGGGGCGCACAATTGCCAAGTTTATAGAAGCAATCACACTCATGACGGCGAACGAGGAGAAGAACGAAATCCTATCACGTCACAGGTCAAAGCTGTAGACGAAAGCGACAACAGTCCAGTAGGGTCTGCTGAAGCAAGGTATCTTTTTCTTTTACTGCAGATGCTGCCACTATCGACTGATTATTCGTCTATTCCGAGTTCCAAGGAAGGGTATAATGAGTAATATTCCCACGAGGAGGAGCAAAGTGGAACTTTGTAATTGTCGTGTTTGGACTCGGAGTTGCAACATCTCGTTCGCTGATATTCCGAACTGAGGACAATCCGGTTTGACATCATTCCTTGCATTGCTACTTTGCGGAAGAGAATATTGTTGGTGGTCCGCGTATACCTCTGCAAGCATTTGTAGGAGCTGTACCCTTGGAGCCAGTGAATAATGGTAAGGATTTTGATCCAATGACCGCAATCGATTGAAACCAATCGACCTAGGTAGAACTTCTCGGGCCCAATCCAAATAAATAAAATTCGGAGCATTGAGTTCTTGTATGGATTGTTGCGCCTGATCGTTAGCCGCATAAATTTTGTAGTTATCAGCACGGTTCTCTAGTGTTTCGTCAGGAGTCCATTTGCAGTCATAACACCACCCTGCTGACTTCCAGATGATTGTCACTGTTGACGGCACTGTCCGCGCAAGATCATGAATCGTTTCGTTGATAAGTTGGCGTATCTCTTGAGCAGATGTCTTTCGTCGACTATTGCCTACCACATCCCATACCGTGGCCCCAACGACAATCTTTGTATAGTCGCTATAGTCGATTTGTTGCGTCTGATTCGTATAGTCTCTACAAAAGTCGTGTACATCCGCTAGTAGTGGCCTCCAATCTGTATCTATGCAGCCGTTTCGTTTCGACGGAATTTTGCTCTCTGTTAAAATTGTCGAGTTGTTCTTATTGTTGTTATCCTCGATTATTTGTTCAATTGTTCGTTTCGCAAATCCGCGGTCGTGATCCTTTTTCATAAAGTATTCCCTTGTAAAGACTGAGGCCTTGACATCCGAGATATGGCTCTTGTTGGAACTGGATAGCATCAGATTCAATGTGTCGGCTGCCCGTCGTTGCAGCGAGTCCCCAACGAACAGGGTGCATTCTTGTGAGAATACCTCTCGTAATTCGTCGGGAGTGTAGAAATGAGATCCTTCTGCTGGAATCCACTGCTGACCAATCCAATGTGATTTTGGTTCACCAATGAGATTTTCAATCTCTTTCTCTATATCTACTTGCGGCTCGGCATTAGCAGTAATAGCATCGGTAGCTTGCATCGCTGTCATTTTCTTCGTCGTTGTTGATGTTTTATAGTGTGATGTATTTTAATTTTCTTAGGTCATTATCATCGTTTTGAAAGCATGCTTGCGCGTTTAGGCACGCCACGCGCTCAGCCGTTACAAACAACAAACTGAAGGATTCCGTAGAACTGGAGAAGAGGCAAGATGAAGGTCCAAATTACAGAGGTAATATACTGCGACATCATACCGTAGTGAAGACGACATAGGAAAAAATGGATATTAAAGTTACACATCATACAGGGGGATACATCTCGAGGGAATGCACATTTGCAGCCAGAACGATAACTGTCTCTCAAATTTTGTTTTGGTCCGGCAAGTTCTTGGGCAATCGTCGCTTGAAGGAATGATCCGAAAGGTCCGAGACTTTGACCGTCTCCCGTCGTCGTACCCTCGACTTCTTTTCCAGCCAAGCATCGGGATAGAGTCCGTCTGGAACTTGAATCTCATGCCGAAAGGCATAGGGCTGGAAGTAATCCGTCGTATAGGGCCGATCTGTCACAAAGATGACGTCTCTTGGGACATCAAAATACTCATATTCCACATCGTCCACAATGAGACAGTCGTACGCCACGTTGGTATGATTTGAAACCTCCAGTAGTTTAACCCGGTATAGATATTCCGGCTGGGTATCTTCTGGATCATTCTCATCTACCTCTTTTTCGTATCGACCTTCAATCGTACAAGGCAACAAGCAGGCATTGAATTCGTTCTCATCAAAGCGGTGTTGGACATAGGATTCACCTGGTGCTGGGTCCACCCACGTTTCTGGATATTCGCAAGTGAACATGATGTTTGGAGGATAAGGATGGTTCATTTGTTCCTTGGGAGTCTTTAGAATTTGCATGTTGTGTTTGTTGGAATACTCCATGGCAGATTCATAGTGATAATCCCGCTTGTTCTCGTCCCATTTCTCTGCATATTGGTCCCACGCCTTGGTCCATTCGTCTCCATAATCCAAAAATATTTCATGGCCCTCTTGAATGTCCTTGGTTGCCACATAGTCAAACATGAGACCCTTGCCGTGAATCTGTGACACCATTCTGCCTGGAACCTCCAAGAGTTCCGGATGATGATGTTCCTGTCGTTTCGTTAATGGTTTGCTGTACTCTTTGGGTGTGTGCCACCTCACTTCCACATTGACAAAATCCGAGTGATGATTAATGTAGTTGACGGTTGGCCCATACGGTAACAGCAAAAGATCCGAATCGGGATGACCAAACGCGTAATTCAACAAGAGCTGTTGGTCTGGTACTTCGTATTCCTTTTTGATTTCCTTTGGAATCTCCATTTCTGTGCGGGAAATTGGTACTAGTGGTGATGAAAAGACGACTTCTCCCTTTTTGATGTTGCGTTTTGCATAGACAGCCTTTCCCGAGGCATCTGGGTTGGCCGTTCCAGCCGCCACACCCAAGGTATCATCCAGACACATGATTTCTTCCTTGTCGTCCGTCTGATGATATTTGGAAAGAGCGTAGGTACCACCATCAAAGTCATCATCGCTACATTCGACCACAAGTTCTTCACCAGGACTGATTTCTCGGACTGCCTCAAAGAACATACTTTGGTAGCGAGAAAAGGATCCCGTGGCCGGATGATCGTGCGGTTCCATGTATTCCAAATACTTGTTGGTCAGCCTGAGATTGAAATTGACAGAGGTGCAAGGAACAATACAACCCAATCCTGGAACAAAGTAAAAGGCTCCCCAGTGACTCTGCATGGCCAGCAGCGGCAAATTCTCGCCATTCCAAAGATGTTCTTTGAGAGGAGGATCTTCCTGGACTCCTTCCCAATCCATCACTGGAACCAAGGTTTCGGCATCCACAGTGGCCCCTTCTCGAATATGTTTGCCAGTAAAGACACCGAGGCCAAAGCCGTGTTGTTCCTTTTCTTTAATGAGCGAAGGACCCATCCACAGGCCACACTTGGATTCTTCTTGGGCCTCGGCGGCATAGAGAGAAGGTGTGGGACAAGATCCAGTTTCACAAGGCCGGTAGCCAATTTGTTGTTGTGGTTGTTGCTGAGCTGTGGTGACAGACAGCCAAATCATCCACAAACGAATGGCATACCGCATGGACGACTGCTTCATGGTTCGTTCTTATATATTACAGTATTGCTGTGACATCGACTGTAGGGAAGCTATCGAATTTGCATCATCCTTGGATCCAACGGACACGACAGAATAATATGCGAGCGATTTGCACGTGTCTATTATCGGACATCACTTACGGACATAAATGTTCGATTACTTTCGCCATCTCGGACGAAGAAACGATTTCTTCCTGCGAAGGAATCTTCTGAATCGTGCGTCAGCGTGCGTAGAGAAGGATTTGATGGATCCTACGAAGGTCTGTCGTACGTAACCCACACTGCCATCCATTCTCAACCTTCGCCATCTCTGATTTGTCGAAATTCAGACCATCATCCTTCCTCGAGGTCCAATAATAAGATATATTTTGCCTGCCCACAACGCCTCTGTATTGTTGTTGTTGTTGAATATAAGGAAAGAAGACCCTTTTTTACGTTCGCTACATACACACACTACATACATACAAGATGAAGTTCCTATCAGTATCCGTCGCGGCTCTGATAGCTGGATCCGCCAATGCATTTTCATCTCGATCTGCATTCACAGGAGTCAAGCCAATGAATGTTGCTGCTGCTGCGGATGGCAGCAGTACGTCTCTGCAAATGGTGTTGGAAAAGCCAGCCACAAAGAAGATTTCCAAGCTAGAACAATTGAAAGTGGCTTCTGGAAACTTGGTGAAACCATTGATGGAGGTTAGTAAAAAAGTTTTAAAAGTGATGTCTGAAACGTGGTGCCGGAAGAAGCAAGATCTTCTCCAAAACAAAACAACAAAAACGACAAAATCCATCAACATGATTAAGTCATTCTTTCCCCGTCTGATCGATACATGCAGACGCAAAGAAAGGCCCTGTCCCTTTGCCAGTGGACTTTTGGGTAGACTATGATTGGTGTTTTTGTTTCGTATTTTGGTTGGCTTACTGGAGGCTCTGCATTGAACGAGTGGTGAAGGCTTCTGAAGGCTTGTGATGTGCCATAGTTCATCGTCATCATTTGATGATGAATCATAGGTCTCGTCGTCATCAGGCTGTGTTTCTTGTTCAGCTTGTACAACAACTAACACTTGTCTTTTTTGCCTACAATATATAATACTCACAGGAACTTTACACAGAAGAAATTGGAATTTCCAAGGATGCTTACCAAATCCTCAAGTACCACGGATCCTATCAACAATCCAACCGTGAAATCAAAGGAAAGGACTATCAGTTCATGTTGCGTCTCAAGCAACCTGCCGGAGAACTGTCACCCGACCTCTTTCGTCTGTTGGATGATCTCTCGATCAAGCATGGACAAGGAGATCTTCGGGCTACCACTCGTCAGTGCTTTCAGATGCACGGCATCATGAAGGGATCTCTAAAGACTGTCATTTCCTCCATCATGAACATTGGATCCTCGACTGTTGGAGCATGTGGAGATGTCAACCGTAACGTCATGATCACACCGGCTCCCTTTACGACTCCGGAATACGATTATGCTCGTGAATACTCCAAGGTGTTCGCCCACTTGTTCCGTCCTATGACTCCTGCCTTTTCCGAAATCTGGTTGGATGGAGAGAAGGTCGCTACATCTGAAGTCTGGGCCAAGGAAGTGGAACACCACAATGTTGACGAAAAGATGTTGTACGATTCTGGTCGAGGAATCATTTTGGACCACCCCATCGAACCCATTTACGGTGACCGTTACCTTCCACGCAAGTTCAAGATTGGTGTCACTGTTCCTGGCGACAATTCCCTCGATATCTACACCAACGATATTGGTTGTGTAGTCATCACCAATGATCAAGGCGAATTGGAGGGTTTCAACGTCATGGTCGGTGGCGGTATGGGACGCACCCACAAGAAGGAAAACACCTTTGCCCGAGCTGCTGACCACATGGGATTCGTTCCAAAGGAAGACATCATGGAGTGCCTCAAGGCCATTGTTGCTGCCCAACGTGATCACGGAAACCGTGATGTTCGTGCCAATGCCCGTATGAAGTACTTGGTCCACACCTTGGGAATTGACAATTTCCGTACTTTGGTCGAATCCTACTTTGGAAAGAAGATCCAACCTTGGAGAGAAATGGCGGAATGGAAGTACAACGATTGGATGGGATGGTGGGAACAAGGCGACGGAAAGTTGTTCTACGGACTTCACGTGGACAATGGCCGTGTCAAGGACGAAGGAAACTTCCGATTAAAGACTGCCTTGCGAGTCATTACGGACAAGTACAATTTGCCCATGATTTTGAGTCCTACCCAATCCATCATTTTCCGAGACATCAAGCCCGAAGACAGACCCGGAATTGAAGCCATCTTTGCCGAACATGGAATCAAGCCTTTGGAAGAAGTCGACCCGTTGAGCCGTCTTGCCATGGCTTGCCCTGCTCTTCCACTTTGTGGTCTCGCCCAAACTGAGGCGGAACGTATCATTCCAAGCTACATTGCACGCATCCGTGCCCTTTTGGACAAGATGGGAATTAGCGACGAAGAAATTGTGATGCGCATGACTGGATGCCCCAACGGATGTGCCCGCCCATACATGGCCGAGCTTGCCTTTGTCGGTGATGGACCCAATAGCTACCAAGTGTGGTTGGGAGGAAGCCCAGTCTTGACTCGCACAGCCTACCCCTTCATGGCCAAGATGAAGGCTGACGATTTGGAGGTAACCATGGAACCCATTTTCGATATGTTCATCAAGCAACGACAGGAATTTGAAGCTTTCGGAGACTTCTGCCACCGAGCCGGTGCCGAAGCAATCGAGAAGTACATGGAAAGCTACTCTGCATAAATCTGTACAGCCACTGGCTATTTAACACCTCTGTAAGACATTCCATCTATTTTTCAACTAGTTTTGAATACCGAAAAGGCGACTGGCAGTCTAGAAAGAAGTTTGTATGTAAGTAATCGTGCATCTTATTTTGGCATATTTAAACAGTAACATGTTGTGTATGATAGTAATACATCATGTATGTATCCCCCTTGGTATTGTCTTGGCTGTTGACAGCAGTCCCCAGGATTTCCCACACTACCATGACCCGCCACGAATTTTTTTCAATGCGAGGAGTGCGGAAGCCGCAGTCTTGACATCAGAGGAGGTCTTTCTCTTCTTCTGAGGGCGTTTACTATAGACGGGATCGATTTTGTGAAGTCCTGAATCGGCGGCAAAAAAGTCTTCGAGTTCCTTGAATGGGTTTTGACCCTCGTCAACCAACCTCATGACATGCTGTGCATGAGTCTTGACTTGAAGTGTGGTTCTGAGAATAGGATAGCAAACACGGTTAGCCGCGCATTTGTTGGATGTCCTATATATCTGAATCAAATACTCACCTGTTCGGAATGAACTTGCCAATCTCCTTCCAATTTCCTTTGCCGTAGATTTTGAAGGCTTGCAAAAAAGCAAGACGCTCCTCTATTTCCCAACGGCCAGTCCTAGTGGGATTTTTTGGTTTTACAACTTTTACCGTTGTTGCTTTAGGAGCATTGGAAATGTTACAAAGAGGAGAGCGATTCATTGGTAAGGTATGGTCAAAGATACTATCGTTGTATTATGGTTGGAACACATAGAATGTGATGTCCAAATTCGTAATTTGCAACGGGAAATTATCATGGGCAACGAATCGCGCTATTGCGCGCGAAAATCAAATCAATCAACTTCTACGAGAATGAATGATTTCAATGATGAGCCGGCTGACTCATCGCTAAAATCGATCAAAATAGCTGATATTCCCAGCTTCCCATTCTTTTCAACTCTCCCTCCAACACAACTCGCAACCATGGCGACCCAAGTCTACGATTCCTTCTCGCTGTTCCAGGCAGAAAGCTTGGAATGGGACGCTCCGTTTACAGGGAAGCATCAATACACATCTCCTCAGTCACCAGAAGAAACTGAAATTCAACAATCACATCGCAAGAAATCGTCAGTCTCCAACAACAAGAATCCTCCTTGTGCTGAATCGCCACGCCCTGCGACGCGAAGAAATAGGGAAGTGTCCAATTCACATGGAAAGAAGCAAATTCGAAGGGGACGTTCAAAAGTGCGACTACTGCATCGGGTCAAGAATGAGCGCACTCTGTTGCAAACCAATGAATTGCTTCAACAGATGTTGAATTTGGAGGAATCGCTGAAATCAAAACCCAAAAACCACAGCCCAGTAGACAGCAAGAAGAGAGAAGGCAAACGTGTTCAAGGATTTGAAGGAAGCAGCCCAAAGGGTTCAACGAAAAACCAGCCTTTTCCCAAACAATCGGGTAATGGTATGATCATTCCCCATCCCAAGAAAGATCATCTGATTCAGAAATTGGAGGAGATGGAACAACAATTCTCGACGCAAGGAGTCCAAAAACAACAACAGCAAAGGTCTGATGCCAATGATCGTACCACATTGGAAGAATGGAAACAATCGTTGATGGAGCGCGTAAAACAAAATGCTTCAGCATCACCTCGTCGACAAAGTCAAAATACAACAGCAAAGCCAGTAACAACACTAATACCAGCTACAACGCCTGATGAACCATCACCAAGAAGACCGACCGTTGTGATGACACGCAAGCTGAGGCACGATCGAGTCAATACTGACGATGATCAGGCAAGTAAAACTTCATTAGAATCCTACACCCTGCCGGTCATGACGAGACCAACAATGCAACCTTCTTCGCCGACGAGACGAAGAACGAGGAGCAAATTGGTCGTGATGAACGCTCAATTGAGATCTGCTGCTCCAGCACCCAAGACAATCAGACTTCAGTCCAAAATGGTTCTTCCATTCAAAACAACAAAACTGCAAGAAATAGTCAATGCGAGCAATAGAAAACAAGAAGAAACGGAAGAACAAGAAACAAACATGAAGAAGAAGGCGGCACAAGATGACACAAGTCGAGGTCAAGTTGTCGATTGTGCGGTGCAAAAAAGTGGTTCCATTCAGAAATTTCAAGAGCTCCGAGAGAAAACTGACTTGAAAATTGCTCGTCGAACCACTAGCTTTCGACAAAGTCTTACTGTTTCTTTGGATGCCGACGGACGACATGCCCGACAACAAAAAATCTCGAAACAAGGATTGCAAACCATGCGAGAAGCCCGTCAGAAACGATTGGAACTATTGCATCAGCGACAACGGGACGCACAAAAGGCTTATTTGGAGCAGCAACAGAAACGAATCTCCAAGCTATCTGGTGGTTCCTCAAACACTACCATCAAAGTAGAAATTGAAAAAGAAAACTAAGTAAGAGCATTATAACATTCCACGTGGAAGCGAAACATTTTCAAGTGTCAGTCAGTCGTCAGTGGCTAATTTCGCGCGAAAAGTTCTGATGTTCGATCCGAAGGCCAGGAGTGTGCCACAACTCAGCTGTCACCAATTCGATTGTCTTCTATGTGTCTCTATCTCCTTCCATGCAGAGAGCCATCAAACCGTTGTCATCACTACCACCGGCTAACAATTTCGGAGATAGCCTAGATTCAGGTCATTCTTCTGAAAATACAAACTTTGCAAACTGTCCACAGCATGAATTCAGAAGCTGCATCATGATACATCAACCGTATCCTCCAGCAGCTACTACCGAAAGCTATTTCTTTTTTGATAATGCCGCTCCTCAGACGGGGAAACGGACTTATCCGAACATTGCAGAAGAAGTACCATGGCGACAACGCCACTTATCTGGGTCCAAGTCTTTTACAAGCAATTGTGCTGAAAGAAATACGAATGACCCCTACTTCGTTTCAGCTTATTCAGGAACACCAACGTACGAACCCATTCCGAAGAAGGCAAGGGTTGTCAGTGACGATGAGCACGAAGATCCCACTACTATGAGTCTACACAGAATGAAGAGAGCTCTTCAGCAATTGGAGACTGAGGAGTCTCTTCACGTTGGACGAGATACCAAAAGAGCCAGAATGGAAGTACTGCTACCTGTATCAGGACCACCGCTACCACCGGAACAAGAGACTCGACTGGTATTACGAGATCCCTCTTTACCGCGTATTCCTCACCCCATGCAAGAGGCAGAAAAAGCAATCTTCAATAGCTTGCTTTTGCAACGGATCTCGAATCGATATGGAGGAGTACCCATTCAATTGGATCATGTCGATTCAAGACTGCAAGAACTGATTCGAAGTTCCATGCAAAGGACCATTACTGCTAGGAGTGAAGATCAGACTAGTAACAGCAGTTCGATGGCCTCGTGCGCCTCATCCGACGATGTCACCATGGAAGAGGATGAACGGCAGGATTCGCCTGAATCAGGAGCATCCTGCTACTCCTCTTCCTTCGATGAATCCATGATGACATTTTGAATATCCTGCATAGTCTGGAATCAGTGCACCATGAGTTACAGATCCTCCAGTTGCAGTTTATCAAAGCGACAACATTATCGGAACATACCTTCGACCTATCTGATAACTTATCAGTTGAATCAGCCAGTCAAGAATTCAGTCAATCAATCATTGATTAGAAGAACATCTCATAATAATATAGACTGTTAGAAGGATCATAATAGGACTACATGAATATAATGAATCGCATACACTATAAACATACTGTAGATCCACGTCGAGAACTGCAAATGGCAACAGATGGGTATGGGCACGAAAGATCAGAACCCTTCCGTTGATTACTCTTGAAAGTTTGTTCCGATTAGGGATTTTTCTTGCGTAGAGTTGGTAGTTTAAATTCGAGTCGAACCAGTCGATCTGACGTTTCAAATTCGCGTCAGTCGGCGATTACAACTCAGCAAAACTAACTTCGACTATGGATGATGCTGATGATGACAATGAAATAAAAAGAGAAGAACCAAGGATGGAGGCTTCCAGCGGGATAGAAGCCAAGGCGTCAGCTTCAACTTCAGCTTCAGCTCAACATGATCCATCTTATCCACCCAGTTTATTAGGAAATGCCTCTCCTTTGGCAAAACTGATTTTTTCTTGGCCCTTTTCCTTGCTCAAGATTGGTTTGGAACGACCGCTGACAGAGCTCGACCTGCCAGAGATTCTGGACGTGGATACTTCCAAGCATCAACGTAACTATTTTGAAGACCTATGGGAAAGAGAAAAAGAAAGGAGTCCAGAAAAACCAAACTTGCATCGAGCCTTGACCATTGATTACTTCAAGTCTACCTGGAAAGTACAACCCTTGCTCTTTCTCGGAAACACCGCGACTATTATACAAGCAGTAGCGTTGGGAAATTTGATTGATTCCTTTGAGACGGGCAATGATGAGGGCTACTTTTGGGCTGGAATGCTGGTGGTATGCGGACTGGTTGTTCTGTTTGAGCATCATCATGTCTTTTTCATGACTTGGCGCAAGGGGATGCAAATGCGAATCTCTTGCGTGGGTTCCATCTACACGAAATCACTGAAACTATCCTCAACGCATCAAGAGACTAATGCAAACACTGGCAGAATCATGAACTTGGCCAGTAATGACGTGGATCGATTTCTTCTGGCCGCACTCTTTATCAATTACATCTTTTGGTCTCCAGTGCAGTCCATAGCCATCTTGTTGGTTGGATTGTGGATATTGGGACCAGCTTTTGCAGCTGGATTTGCTCTACTATTCCTGGTTTTTGTGCCCTTTCAATTCTATCTGAGCAACAAGTTTGCTTTCTTCCGATCCAAGATTGCGGCCATTACGGATCGACGAGTGACCTTTGTCTCTCAAGCAGTACATGGCGCTCGCATCATGAAGATGAGTGGCTTTGAATGGCGATTCCTCGACCGCATTCAAAGTATCCGCAAGGAGGAAGTAGATCAAATTCAAAATGCAAACCGGCTGAAGGCTGCAAATGAAGCATTGTTCTTTGTTACTAATGTGGTCATTTCCTTGATCATATTTCTAGTACATGTATTGTGGGTCGGAGGAACCTTGTACCCGCGAGATATTTTCACTGTCTTGACCTTGGTTAATATTCTGCAGCTTCAAATGATCAAACACGTTTCGCTCGGAATTATGGTACGTTATTTACCAAGGAGGTGAAATGGTTATGTGTCATCATCAACGCTCATTGGTTGTTTCTTTTGTGTTGATATTAGGGAGTGAGCGAGGCATATGTGTCCATTGGTCGGATTCAAAATTTTCTCGAGTCACCGGAACAACATTTTACGGAAAGCACTGATGACTCATTGGCAGACAATGTTGCCATTTCGATGGACGAGGTATGCTGTCAATGGAATCATGTCAGAGACGTAACGACCAAGAAGGTTACCGATGGTGACGATGATGAGACCTCCACTGCATCACTTGCGTCGGCGCTGACGGATATCTCGATTGATTTCGAAAAGGGGCATTTGACTTGCATCATTGGAACAGTGGGAAGTGGAAAGAGCGCCTTGCTGCAGGCAATTGTTGGGGAACTCCCAGTGTTCACTGGAAAGGTTCAACGCTCCTATGGCAAATTAGCATATGCGGCACAGGATCCATGGATTATGGATGGGACAGTCAAAGAGAATATCACAATGGGAAGTCCGTTACGCCAGGAATGGTATGATGAAGTGATTGACGCATGTGGGTTACGACTAGATTTTTCACAGTTTGCCAATGGAGACGAGACTATTGTAGGAGACAGAGGTGTCCAGTGCTCCGGGGGACAACGAGCCCGCATCGGACTGGCACGAGCATTATATCGGGATGCCGACGTTCTGGTTGCGGATGATCCCCTTTCGGCGGTGGACGCCAAGGTGGGGCGGCAGCTCTTTAATGAAGCCCTTCTGGAACTGGGTGTCAAGAGGGGCAAATGTGTCATTCTAACCACTCACCAGCATCAATATGTTCACGAGCAACGTTGCGTTCTAGTGACAAATGGAAAGATTGGCAAGATTGGATCCTATGCCGAGTGCGTTGCCGCAGCAAATGGAAAGTTGACCGCTCACTCTGCGGATGATGCCGTTGACACACTCTCCGCCGATCCAAAGACCGCGTCTTCCACAGTCGAAGCAAAGGACGAACTTTTTGAGATCGCGCCTTCGACGAATGGAAAAGTAAACGATAACAAGGAAGATAGCAACACGGGAGAGGTCAAGTTGGACACATTTTTGAACTACTTCCGTGCCATGGGTGGACTCGGGATCGGCTTTGGCTTATTCTTGCTTTTCACGGTTACGCAGGCAGCGGTGTTGGTTGCGGTGGCCATGATGGGTAGATGGGCAGAACGGCAGCCCGAAGATCAGAAATCCTGGGATATATTGGCGATTGTGATCGCGATGGGCGTGGCTGTGATTCTGCTGGCGTCAGTTCGTGCTGCTGTGAGTTTCTACTATACTATTAAGGCATCTCGCACTTTGCACGATGGAATGACGAAAGCCGTCTTGCGAGCTCCAATTTCTTTCTTTGACACGAATCCCCTTGGGAGAGTCCTCAATCGCTTCTCAGCGGTAAGTTATCATGCGGGCGTGATTTTAGCTTGCTGAAGTCCACTGTAGCTCAGACTCTTTAAACGCAGGATGTTGGATCCAATGATGATATGCTTCCACAAACCTTGTTCGATTTCACTGTCATCTTTTATATTGTGATCGGAACGCTTGTGACAACTGTGACTGTGTTGCCATTTGCCCTTCTTGCAATGCCACCGCTACTATACTACTTTTTGTCAGTGCGAAACGTATTTGTCACGAGCACCCGTGAACTGAAGCGTCTTGAAGGCCTCGCAAGGTCACCAATGTTTGCAATGCTAAGCGAGTCTCTCAGTGGAGTCGCGACAATACGGGCCAACGATTCTCCCGCGTTCTTTGTGAAAAAGTTCGAAAATGCACATGATGCACACACAAGATCATTTTTCTCTTTTATTGCTGCATCACGCTGGGTCGGCTTTCGAATGGACTGCATCATGTTTGTTCTGATGGGTGTGGTCAGCTTCTTAGCTGTCCTTTTTCAGCGACAAGACTGGTTCAAAATTGATCCAGCAATCTTGGGCCTATCCATATCTATGCTCTTACAACTCGCGGGAATGTTCCAGTGGTGCATCCGACAGAGCGCAGAGGTAGTGAACTTGATGGTTTCTGTGGAACGTGTCCTTGCATTCAAAAATTTGCAATCCGAAGCACCTCTTGCCTTAGATAGTGACAAGGACTTGGACACAGCATGGCCGCAAGATGGAAAGATCGAAGTCAAGGATGTAGGAATTAGGTATCGGAATGGATTGCCTCTTGCTTTGAACGGCGCTTCGTTCTCCATCCCTGCTGGGGCTCGAATTGGTATAGTTGGACGAACGGGAAGTGGAAAGAGTACAGTCGTCCAAACACTGTTTCGGTTGCTGGAAACTGAAAATGGAAAGATCACTATAGACGGAACTGATATTTCCAAAATTGGGCTCCATCGCCTTCGCACGAAAATATCTGTGATTCCACAGATGCCAACTCTCTTCAGTGGATGTACTATTCGAGAAAACTTGGACCTTTTCGGCATGCATGACGAGAAGGCAATCGTGAAAGCTCTCAAGGATGCTCACTTGAGTGAGGTTATCGAAGAGCTACCTGAAGGACACAATACCCTTGTCGCTGAAGGAGGATCAAATTTCTCGGTTGGGCAACGGCAATTGCTATGTTTAGCACGAGCAATCCTTAGCAAGAATAAGATCCTTGTTTTGGATGAGGCAACTGCATCAGTTGATCGGCGCACGGATCAGCTGCTCCATGAATCGTTGCATGAATCCTTTGAGGATTCCACGATTATTGCTGTTGCCCATAGACTCGATACCATAATCGATCATGACTACATCTTGGTCCTTGGTCTTGGCAAGGTTCTTGAGTTCGGGCCACCAGCTGAACTGATTCGCTCTGGTGGAACATTTTGCCAGATGGTCGACGAAACTGGTGAGATAATGTCAGTCAACCTGAAACAACGCGCTTTCGCTAAAGAGAGCGAGGTTGCACATGGCTAAAGGTATAGAATAGATTTTGTAAAATAATACAACAACTGAAAATGTTAATTTACAACGGAACTGATATTGGATTTCATTGAACTGATCCCGGATTTCAACGACATTCTCGATGCCCAGAGATCATCAGAATCGGTGTCAAACGAGGTCTCTCCAGTGCCAGTTCCTAGCGTCTTTCTGCCCGATGGATAGTCTGGTGTTTTTGCTGATCCATCGAGTACGTTGCCTGCCATATTAACTCTTGTCGAAGGACTGTGCTTTCCAAGGGATGAAATCGAAAGTGACAAGTCGCTCGCATTTCGCTTGACTATCTCTCTTTTTGGTTCTTGCTCAATCTCTCCATCATGCGCACCTTCTGCCAGTGGAAATTCTCCCCGGACACCGTACTCTATCCATAGGTCTTCCAATGCCTTCATCTTTGCGGGCTTGTGGAGTACTGCATTGGCACCACACTTCTTGAAATGTTTAATATCTTCAGCCATAACATTCCCCGTAACACCACAGATGAAAGCATTGCAGCCCTTGCTGCGAAGAATCCTTGTAGCAGTTGGTCCATCCATATTTGGCATTTGATAATCCATTAGTATGACGTCGAAATCGGCGCCTTCGTCCATAGCTTTGGAAGCCTTGTCGACTGCTATCGCACCATCTTCTGCTCCGTCCACCTTGTGTCCTTTCTTCGAAACTAGGCGCATGAGTAGCTTCAGATTCATTTTCGCATCATCAACGACAAGAACCTTCAATATGCCTAAGATATCTTTTGCCTCCACAGATTCCTGAGCAGCAGTGCCTTTCGGTTTTGGGTCGTCAATGTCATAGGTCGGAAGTGACACTGTGAACACAGAGCCTTTTCCAACTCCATGTGAGTGTGCCGTCAGGGTCCCCCCATGTCGCATCACGATCCCCTTCGCAACCCACAAGCCAAGTCCACTAGCATTTCCAGCCTGAAGCCTGTTAACGTTGAAATCAAGTCCCTTGTGCAGCAATCGCCGAATTTGCGCCTGCGTCATACCCTTGCCAGTATCAGCCACTACAAAGTTCATGAACCCATTGTGCTTCACCTTCATCTTTTTTCCATCTTTTAAAACAAAATTTTTGGTGTTTTGTTTTGCGTTTTTCATGGAATTTGGGTGCCAAGAAGCTACGACTTCCACTTTGCCATCATCCGGAGTCGTTTCCAGTGCATTTGCAAGGAGATTGCGGAAGACGTGAGTTAGCTGCATGGAGTCACCAACTGTAAAGCACTCTTTAGGGGCTTTTCCGCTTTGGTTTGGGTGAAGAGGTGTGACGATCGTCATTTTGATCTTGTTGTTCTTTGCCACCATCTTGAATTCCTTTGATATCGACTCTATTTGGTCAAAGAGTCGAAGAATGCTCAGATCCAAAGTCAGTTTGTCAGTTTCAAGCTTGTCGAAATTTATGAAGTCGTTGAGGATGTCCACAGCACCGTTACAGTTCATGGCAATCTCATCTGCCATTGAAACAAGCTGCTTAAAGGTCTTGGTTTTGACGAATTTTTTCGATGCCCTCCGTGATGCCATCGTTCCCGAAGGACCTGCATCGTCGGTTTCATATTTCGCTTCCAACTCTCCGCGGAGGACTGTCAGGCCCATGTGGACGGAATTCAGTGGTGTGCGTACTTCGTGGGAGACAAAGCGAATGAATTTCCGCTTTGCTTCCACCAAATCCTTCTTGACAAGGTACTCTCGTCTGATCAAAACGTCATACATAACGAACAGAGCCGATGTAACTACGAGGATCATGACGACTCCTATTGATGAGAGCATGGGATTCGCCGTGGAAAAGGAATCAAAGAATTCCTCGCTTGGATACAAGACCAATGTGTAGGAAACTGATGCTTCGCCAAAGAAATTGAGATTGCCCCTGTCTTTGCTCTCTAAATTTGTTTCCTGCCTAAAGTCATTGTATTCAGTATCGTGCAAGTCGCCCTCCCCAAGCAACACTGCTTGTCCCTCCTGAATTACATAGGTATAGGAAGATCCATCATTAGCCTCCAAGACGGCATAAACCCCGGAAACACTATTGGCAAAGGCTCCGTTGAAAATTTCACTCCACCTCAGCGACGTCAGGACTAGACCAGACAACTGAATATAAGAGAAAGTACCAATTTGACAATAATGTGAGTGTTTCCAAAGTTTTAGGCAATAATTTTCTTCTTCAGGCGCATTTGAAACTTACAGTTTCAGGGCTTCTTTGTGCGTAGACAGGATGCAGCAGGATTCCCCAAGCACCGTCACTATCGTATGGTTTCCAACCAATAATATTGGGTGATATGCTCGAAAGAATGGTGCAATCATCCAAGGAGGATGTGCTGTTGGCACAGTCAATGATTCCATCAATTAAGGACCCTAAAGCTTCGTCTGCATGCAAATTCGATAAGAGGTATTTTTCTGGCCCTCCACTATGGTGCAGTAGGGGTGTAAGAATCCTATTGGGGCTGTTCCAATGCACCTCGCCAGTGGTATCATGAAATCGTTCGCTCGTTGATGGGTCGACTGCATAAATGCCTTTACCGAACGGACTTATTGCTGTCCCTTCAGGAAAGGGTTCTGGCGACCGATTGGTTTCGTAAAAGTCATAAGAATGTTTTTCGAATGATTCCACTTGTTCTGGCGTCACAAATGGTGCGAACCCCATATTGTAGTCGTCTGCTGTTTTCATAAGATTGTTGGCAATGACTTCAAAATTCGTCAGTTGCACCTGGGGCCAAACTCTGGCGTCAGGATTGGCCCCTGATATTACTGATGATAGCGTAAGAAGTCCAAGCCGTTTCCGCTCCATAATCTGCAGCGCTATTATACTGGCTCGTTCCGCCATGGCTTCATACTGCAATTCGCCAAGGTCAGCTTCTCCTTCCCCGAATAAGAAGAAAGCTGAAAACGCAAACGCCAGTCCAACAGCCGCCAATATAAGCCCAAAAGCTAGTTTTCCCTTCCATGTTATTTGTGAGACTCTCGAAGATTGGTCTAGCTTTGATTGTGTGCTGGAAGTAGACCCTGAAAACACGGAACCAACAGTTCTGAGACTCCCATCCAAGTCCGTGTTTCCAGTCATAGAGCTTCTTTCTGGTGGCTCTCTGCGCCCCAAGTCTCTGTATGAATCACTCAACCCCATGATTGCTTGTTAGACCCTGTCCCTTCAGCAAGATGTGTATCGCTGTTGACGTTGTAGTGACGATGCTTGTTGATGATGTTATTAGTGGATTTGGTAGCAATCATTGTTGCCGATGATAGTTCGGAGTAATTTGATTTACTTCCTGCAGCACCCCAGAACCGGATGTCATAAATGTGATGTCGTATGCGGTCTTTGTGACATATTTTCCAATAGTATCCGTTTGCCTTATTTATCTTACAAAAACTTTTTTACATTTGACGAAAGCTACTTAATGCAAGGGGAAGCCCAAGGACTTGCCAGCGCAGACGACTTCCAACACGTTCCCCGATCCAGTAAACTTCCACCGCACGGGGGTCTCCAGATCTCAGAGTACCTCTGATACTTTCTTCTTTTATCACACTACTACGGGGGAAAGCGCCACCAATCTTCATCTGAACTCGACTTGTGGAGAAAAAGACTTGTGTTGCGCTCCTTGCGCCCACAACGTTTCGTTCAGTCAGAACATTATGATTGTATGTACCGCTTTTCATTCCACATACGGTACCGGTATACCAGTATGCCTTCAGCATTCGTGGCTTTCGAGGATTTGCTATCTAGACCGGCACAAGGTCGGTTGGCTTGCAATCAGCTAATCAGCTAGCAAGGGTGCAGTGTCACAAGTAGCCAGCTAGAGTAAAGACAAGCAAAGTACTGGTACTGTACCAGGTACCGGTAAAATGATCAATCAACCAGTAACTTTCTTTTACTAGACTACATGTGCAGTACCGGTATTTGGGTCTGCATCATCAGAATATCGCACGATATATGAACGCATAGAATACCAACCAATCTCTGCCCCCATGATGAGATCGAGACAAGTAAAGACAAAAGACAGGCAAGGCAAGTGCGTGTAATAAGGAAGCAAGCAAAGCGAAGAGTATTGAAACGAAGAAATGAAATGACATGACATGACCTGTCCGATCACTAAAGTCGACTCAGTCGAATAAACTGACTAATGTGAGCCCAGTGGTAGCCACCAAGACATCACCGATCGTGGATGACGATTTGACAGGAGGACGGGTCACTCTGCCGACAAAACATAATGACAACACTATATTTGACCGCTCAAAACGCCAATGCATGAGGATGATGATTGGGAAAACCCAGAGGAAGAAGAATGGTTTTCGCTTACTCACAAGAGTCCTTTTCGCTTGTGTCCTCGCATCAACGATGGTTCCTTTTCTATTGGACACACCCGAACACACGACCTCCAATAACAAGAAACAACAACAACATGTGCTACAATACGGAAATACCAAGTCCAGAGTCATCGTTGCGCCAGTGACGAAAACGAACATTTCATTAGAAGGTACAGCAAGCCAAAAACAATCACAATGGCAAAATCACACAGCATCACATCAAGAAAAGTCATGGTCAAACGAGCGAGCAATTGTTCATGTGATTTACACAAGATTCATGCAACATCAACCCAATCTAGTGGCGCTCGGTCTTGCACGTTTAAAGCTCTTTACGACCTTTTGCTTACCTACGATTAAAAAGCAAACAAACCAACACTTCTTGTGGATCATTCGGACCGATCCGGATCTGGACGTGACTCTCAAAGATGGACTCATAGGGGCAGTGAGTGAATTGTCGAATGTGGTTGTGGTTGGTTCCAATGAAGTCAGAAAGGGATCGCTGGATGGTGGCTTTCGAAGCGAGGACTCGATTGAAGATATAGATGAAGATTCGCTTTTCTTTGGGAGTCTGAAGTTGGTTCAATCCTTCCATGGAGCCGCCCAGTTGCGCAATGTCCTGGAAACCAATGTGGATGCCGATGATGGTCTTGGGCTAAATTTCGTGGAATCAGTTCAAAATATGACCTATCACAACTTTCATGGGAAACATAAGAAAACTGCATGGTTCAACATTTGCGTAGGCAGGCATCTGGAATGGCAATACTATGCTCCTTGGGACAATGCCACTGACAAGGGATCGCTGCAGCTCGGAAGTACACACATTTGTGTGACATCAGGTTTGAGTTGGGCCACCATGAGGAAAGCCGACCCAGAATTTACAGAATCGCATCACTTGATAAAAAAAGAAACAAAAGACTGCAAGGACGCTAAAAAGTCTCACATGGGTTGCTGGGCCGAGCTACCTGAAACCGAATTTATGGCGATTCGTGCCCGAACACCAACTTCCACAGGCATGGCGCGAGTGCTGACAGATGAAACGTCGTGGACTGAAGAACAGGTGGATGAAGACAAGGCCCATTGGAAAACACTTGATGAGTCGTTTGGAATAATGCAAGCAAGCATTCAGAAATCTCGTCGGTACTTGACAGATCACTTGGAGTTGATTGTGGAAGACAACTTGAAGGGGCAGTGCATGAAAGACCATTCGTGTTCTGAAAATATTAAAAAGAAGCTGAAGAAGATTATATACAAGGATACCATGTGGAAGAACAAATATAACGTGGTCCATGTCATTCAAACGTCACTTGATTCATCATTGAGCGTGTACGTTTTGGATCAATTCGGATTTGCCTCTTTGGAGGCTCAGACATCATACGAGTTCCTGTGGATCATTCGGTTGAAGGAGTTGCCCGAAGATGAACAAGAAGATATGGAAAGATTTCTGACAAGCAACATAGTTGGCAAGAGCCCGCTGAATATTGTTGTCGTCAAATCTGATCAAACGTCCACAGTAAACTTTCGCAGTACGCAAGCAATCGAGGATATTACAGAAGAAACGCTTCTCTATGGAGATATTGCAATGTTGCAAGATTTTCACAATGCTGCTCAAAACCGAACACTTTTGGAGACTTCTCTTGAGCCAAGTGATGCATTGAGTAAGACGTTTGTGGAGGAGATTCATGGCTCTACAGCGAAACAGCTGGAGGAAAGCCAGCTGCTAGATGATGCAAATAGCTGGTATTACCGATGCAACTCCCAATATATTGGATGGGAATACTTCACCCCGGAGGGTTACGAGTCTGACGCCGGATTTCTCGGTATCGCAGGATCTGTAGACGGGAAATGTGGCGACAGCCCAGGTGCCACAAGGATCAGCTTGCCGCGAGCTGAAATTCCATATTCGAGTGAGATTGGGGGTACTGAGTGCGAAAAACTTGTTGTGCTTCGTATCCAGAACGGATGTTATGTCCCAGTGTTTTCAAACGAAACTTTGGCAGCAAGGGCAATTGTTCCCGAGTCAGTGGAAAGTCCACAACCCATACACGTTGGAGTGAACGATCTGGAGCTGTTGGCAGAAGACGACAGACATCTGAGAAGTGTATTGCGGGATGCATTCAATATTTTCCCTGCTGCAGTTGAGGCTATGCGATCGCGCATCCAGAAAACCCAATGTAGTGACAGCCAATCATGTAATCCAAAATGGGATAGCGAGCATGGCGTGACTCATGTGATACAGACTTCCATCCATAACGAATCTGAATATCTCTATTGGCGGTACTTCTGTATGTCGTTGGAGGTCCAGACAACGAAAAAATTCTTATGGATAATTCGAGTCGACCTCAATTCCCATTTTGAAGAGAAGCTCTTGGAGACAATTAACAACATTCCACTGAATGTAATAGCTGCCAAGTCACGCTCAGCCCCATCTGAATTCTTCCGACTTCCAGCCGCAATTGCAGACTTGAACAATGAGACTCTGATATATGGTGATCTGACTATGCTGGAATATTTTCACCGGAGCTCTCAGCGTCGCCCACTACTTGAGACATTTTTGAGTCCAACAGATAGCTTGTCGAAGCGATTCATATCTGACATACAGAAGGCTTTTGCTATGGAGGTGAAAGGTAGAAGTGGAGTCCACGCTGGAGGTGCATGGTACTACCGATGCATTCCAAAGTTTTTTGATTGGATTCCCAATGCAGCTGCAACGACGCCGAATAGTACTGGATTTCTAAGAACAAGTCGTGATGTACAAAATTGTTTGAGTCGTCCAGGGACAACGAGGATCAGTACGCCTGGAACTGTAATTCCAAGTGGTGATATAGATGATGCACTGAATAGGCCTTGTGAGGATGCCGCTGGATGGCAACCAAGTGGATGCTATGCAACTTACAAACCTGGAACAAAGACTGCTCGAGTGCGGACACTAGAGTCAAACCACGACGAAGAAGGTTCCAAAGGCATAACTGCTGCAACCAAATCAATCGAGGAACAAATACAGGGATATGAATCTTTGAGACTGGATTTCGGGATTTACCGAATGTCATTGATGCAGTTGGTGTCAAAAATGAAGGAAAGGGCGTCACCTGGTGTTCCAAATGCGTGGGAAAACAAGCGAAAAGTAGTGCATGTTGTCTACACTCGCTTTCTACAACAACAAGGTACCTTGATGCAGCTTGGAACTGCTCGCATGAAGCTGTTTCAGAGTATTTGTGTTCCAGCAGTGACAGCACAAACAAACAAGCAGTTCTTATGGATTGTCCGCACAGACCCAGAACTACTTCCAGAACTGAAGGAGAGTCTGATCAGCACCCTAACTACAGTTCCCAACGTTCTGCTAGTTGCATCTGATATTGGAGTTGACGGGCACCATGATGGCAGCTTCCGCGCAAATGGCTTATTGAATGAATTCAACAAATCATCAGTTCTCCTCGGGGACCTCAATTTGTTGCGATCGTATCATGAGGCTTCAAAAGAGCACATGCTTGTGGAGACAAATTTGGACAGTGACGATGGCATTGCACTTACTTTTGTTGATCAAATTCAAGCAAAGGTAACTTCTTTATTTGCAGCTGATCGGCACGGCATTGGCTGGGTTCAGCTTTGTATTGGCAACCACTTGGAATGGCATTTCTACTCACCATGGGAAAAGAAATCAGACAAAGGATGTTTACTACGAGGAAAAACAAGGTCGTGCATCAAATCTGGGATGAGTTGGGCAACCCAGCCAAAATCAAGACCCAGTTTCATGACCGCTCTTCACAATCTAAAGGAGTACCTGCCTTCGTGTTCTTTCAATAGGACAGCGGATACACTTCTATTCGAGGGGTGCTGGGATGAAGCGGAACTAGACGACCCAGAACATGATTTTATGGCACTCCGCACTATGTCCCCTGTGTCTTCTGGTGTTGCCAGAGGTGAAATATCCAAGTTTGACTGGGGTGTTCAAGCGTTGCTGTTTGAGAAAACGGCTTGGTGGCTTCTTGATCCCTATTTTTCTGTCCGCTTGGAATGGATCAAAGATGTTCGCAAACATCTGTATGACAATCTTTCGCTAGTTTCAGGAGACAATGAGCGAAGTAAATGTACTCATGAGAAGACTTGCGCTGGGAAATGGAAGAACACCCACCGTATTGTCCATGTCATCCACACGGAGCTGCATGATCCTAATCTTGCTGATATGCTACACCGTGTGAGCTTATCTTCCTTGACGCGGCAGACATCATATGAATTTCTTTGGATCATTCGAGCGGCAGATTTTACGGACTATCGTTTAGTGCTGTCGATTTTGGAGCCACTCCGTAAAAGTTCATTCGCAGAAAATATCGTGCTTGTGAAATCAGAGACTGCTCCAGCACTCAACTTTCGATCGGATGATGGATTCGCCGACATAACCGAAGAGAGTGTCATTCATGGTGACATCGCAATTCTGCAAGACTACCATCAAGCATGTCAGACAAGGCCGCTGCTAGAAACGTTTCTTCGTCCTTCTGAAGGTTTAATCAGGACTTTCATAGACGATCTTCAGAGTTCCACCGCTGAACTTTTCAATAATGCTACCAGAGCTTACGAGGAAGATGGATGGTATTACCATTGCGTGCCAGAGTATATGGAGAGGAGCTACTTTGCACCAAACGGAGATGAGGCAGAAAACGGATTCCTCAAAGTACTCCACACAAAAGAAGAGGACTGCATGGACTCGCCAGGCACCACAAGAATCAGTCTTCCAAATAGCGCGATACAAGGTCCGCTCCCAAAGAAAGACAGAAAACTCTGCCAAGGAAACATTGACACTTTTCGCCGTGGCTGCTTCATTGAAATGGAGTCGGCGAAAACACCAGCGCTGAGAATTCGTCTGCCAGTAAAGGGCGAGAAGCAAGATGGAAGTGTGAATGAGAATAAGCAAGATGTCTTCGCCAATCAGCGCCGTTTCGCCTTGCAGTTGCGATTGCTCTACAGTGTTTTCCCACCGACTCTTCAAGAAATGCAGTCAATTATGAATGAGAATGACCGACAGATTGTCCACATCATCCATACAGCTTTGCGAGACGAAGCAGAAATCAACACCTGGCGTCATTTCTGCGTCGAAAGCATATTTTCACAAAACGACGAAAACGTCACACAAAGCAACGAAAGCTTCTTCTGGATCATTCGCACCGACTTCAACGACTCCATGTTGATCAAAGGCATTTCGAATCCCTTGAGGTACAATTACCATCAACCGCGAAATGTAATCTTGGTGAGGTCGAATTTTACTCCATCAGCAGTGGATTTTCGATCAAGCGATTCAATTACAGATATTACGAAGGATACGGTTGTGCGTGGCTCCTTGGAAGAACTCAAGAATGTTCACTTGGCATCTCAAGGGCGAACTGTGATTGAAACATTCTTGCAACCGACAGAGAATATGGCGAAGATATTCGTGGAGCACATTCAACGTCTTGTTCAAGTCAAGACGACACGTGACCAAATGATGGGAATCAAGGTTGCAAAGGACCACGGAAAGGAGCAGGCTGATGCGTGGTACTTCTATTGTGTTCCACATTTCATCCAATGGTCTTACTTTGGACCACACGACAAGAAATTCCGAAGGGGGGTGTTGAGACGAATTGCACCTGACGAAACCTTGTGCATGAAGAACCCAGCCCTTACAAGAGTCAGCTTTCCTGGATCTCGTGTACATACAATTTCTGATTTATCCGAGCTGAAGCCATGTTCATTGGTGCAGAAGAATGGTTGCTATTCTCATATTGATGAAAGTGTGACTCTTGCATCTCGAGCTATACTGCCGACATCTGCCGATCAGGCAAGCGCTGAATGGACGGATGATGAGATTTCAAATTTGGAAAAACAAAACAGTGCGCTGTCGACTCTGTTGAGTAAGGATTTCAACATTTCTCCCTTCCCTCTAGAAACGATGACAATTCAAATGGAGAAATCATACTGCGGAGATAGTGGCACTTGCCATGCTCAATATGACTCAGAGTATGGTATGGTTCATATTGTGCAAACATCGGTACAAGACCTTAAAATGTTTCAAGTTTGGCGGCGTTTCTGCTTTGCATTGGAATCTCAGACCACAACCAAATTTTTGTGGATCTTGCGGGTGGGATCGGATGAAGGGCTCATCAAAGAAGTCAAAAAACCAATAAGAAAAACACCTCTGAACATCATAGTGGCAAGGTCAAACTACACTTTGGCTCTTCCGTTTCAACATGAAAATGCTCTGCAGGATCTGACTGACGATTCTATCATTCAAGGCGACAAGGAGCTCCTCGAGTATTTTCACAATAGCGCTAAAAAGCGGCCGGTTCTTGAAACGTTTCTCTCTCCTACTGATGCACTGGACAAATCGTTTGTATTGCGGCTTCAAAACACGACAGCCGAACAGCTCAAGACATTTCACCTCGAACAAGACAGCTGGTATTATCAATGCGTCCCCAGCTACATCGAATGGACATATCATTCCTCGAACGAAGCATCAGACTCAGAAATTGGAACGCTTCAAGTTACCCCAAATGATGAGAAGCGATGTGTCAGTCACCCCGGCACATCAAGGGTAAGTGTACCGGGTGCAACGATTCCTGACGGTGTGCTGAATGATTCTGGCCTGTGCACAGCCCCTGCAAACATGAAGAAAGGATGCGCACTTCCCATCAGAAGTCATAGCCCAATAGCTGCTAGAGTCGTCATTCCGAGCAGCCTTGATGTACCGCCGCCAAAAAGCAGCCTGCAACAAAAAGTGATCGACAAACAGCAGGACTCACTGGTAACGATGATGAAAACTGATTTCGGCATACCTCCACAGTTCTTGAAGCAAATGAGAATCAAACTGAAGCCAATGATTAAATGAGGCTTGTGGTACCCCGCTTGAACAATGATGGCACTCGAACCCTTGCCGTTTTCTATTATGATCTCAATGTTGTTGTTTTTAATTTAAAAAATCTATAGATAGACAAGTTTAGGAGACGTCTTTATCATTACATTTGTTTATTGAAGCCTGGCACCCCTTCCCCTCATAGCATTTCCCCATCATTCAGACTCGGTTTCACATAATCTCCATCATTATCTCAGTTCCCTCATTTCGTTACGATTCTCCAAGAGACGTTTGAGCAAAGATCGATGCGCTTCCATACGTCCCTTCGTGTCAGTGTCATCGTCACCTTGCATTTTGCGACGAATCTTAAGGGCTTCTGCACTCGCAGCGATGCCATCTTCCAGTAAACCCTGTTCAACCTTGACGGTCGCAATACTCTCGTAGACTGTTGCCATCTTAGGATGAGCAGTATAGATTTCCTTGTAAACATCCAGCGCTTCGTGGAAGAGTCGTATCGCCATTGCCGAATCGCCTTTTGCATTCAATGCCAGTCCTTGTAATCGCAGCGCTTTCGCAATTTTCTCTCGGTTTAACATTATAAGGAACCCCACAACCTTTTTTGTGTCGGGATGGTCCTCGCCAAGCACTGTTTGGCGAAACTCCAGAGCCTTGTTGAGAGCATTGATGCCATCCTCCTGCATTTCTCGTTTGGCATATGCTACTGCAAGCTTTTCATAGGCCTCTGCTGTTGAGGGGTGCATTTCACCTAGAGATTCCTTTTGCACCATTGTCACTTTGTGAAGCATCTCCGTGGAACCTTCCATGTTACCTTGCTCTTCCAGCAACCCTGCTTTGGTGCGGAGCGCTCGTACCAGGTTAACTGTGTCGAAGTCGTCTCCCAGTTCTTGTAGCCGATAGCAAATTTCGATGCTTTTATCAAGCATCTGATGAGCATCATCCAATCTCTTTTGGCCTTTTAATAGCCCTGCAATGGCAATGTATACAAGTACAACGTCGGGGTGGTCTTCACCGTGTATTTGTAGTAGTTTTACAAGCACGACCTTTTGTATCTTGATTGCTTCTGAAAACTTGCCTTGCATTTGCAATGACAGCGCTAGATTTTGGCTCAGATCCATCAAATTCGACTCTTGTGCATGAAATCCGCCCTGGAGATCCACAACCTTCCGGCACATTTCTTCGGCTTTTTCGTAGTTACCTTGCTGGAGAAAGACTCTGCCAAGCAGTTCGTAAGTATTTACTATATACGCATGGTTTTCTCCCGATTCCTTCATCAGAATAGCGAGTGCTCTGTTGAGTTTCTCCAAGGCTTCATCGAATCTCTCTTCCATACGCAGCACATTTCCAATGTAATAGAATGTCAATCCCACAGAAAGAGCATCTTCACCAAACTCTTTCGTTCGTATCTCCAACACTCTCTCCAACAACTCCCCTGCCTTTTGAGGGTTTCTTTGATTGATATAGACAATACTATCGTCCAAGAGTTTCTCTACCGAGTCGAGTTCGCTGCCGTTCATTGTTGTCGTTTCTACGATACGTGTCTCTGTGGTTATCTTTCTCCTTCCAAGATGACAATGACGGCGCATGTGATGAGGATAGAATACATGCGAATCAATCATCCATTCAATCGTGTTCCCCTAAATATGGACGAATAATCCGACTACAACTCAAAACGGAGATTTTGATAGTGTACTTATTGTAACCGCCGCATATTTTATTGACTCTCGAAATAAGCTAGCTAGCCTTTCCTACAGTATTATATAATAGAAACAGAGCTTTCGAGATGTGTGGTTTTCTTTCTTCTAAAGGATGTAACCTCGCTTAGAGCGATGCAATAATGCTTGGTGATTGATTGACTCTCGAAATAAGCTAGCCTTTCCTACAGTATTATATAATAGAAACAGAGCTTTCGAGATGTGTGGTTTTCTTTCTTCTAAAGGATGTAACCTCGCTTAGAGCGATGCAATAATGCTTGGTGAGACTGGCTGGACAGGCAATAATATTCGCGTCGGTAACTTCGAGAAGCTCAGATACAACCATAGGAAATGATGAGGGACATAATGCGTCCAACAATACGATACATGTCTCGTATATCCATGGAGACCAAAAGGTTTGCGGTGGTGCATCATTTCTGTCCAAAATATATACAGAACAATAGAGCAACCCAAGTCTCGCCGTAGGCAGCTATGCGGTGGAGTAGATTCATACATTTCCAGCGTGCAGCGGTAAAGATGCCTCCCCATTCACATTTATTTTCGAAGGGAGCAACATTATTCCCGCTTGACAACGAAGCTTAAAGGCTGCCAAATAGCGTTGAAAATCAAGGCTTTGTCTGGAAAAATTCGATCGAATGAATGAATGAACCAATCACTCGTTGGGAATACGCTCATCGAGTGGCTGATCATGGCATTTCCCAGGAATGAATGAATGAATCCATCCTTTAGCTCCGATTCTCCAAGAGACGTTGCAGCAAAGATCTGTGGACTTCCATACGCCTTTTCGTGTCAGGATGATCGTCGCCAATTGTTCTTCGACGAATCTTGAGGGCTTCTGCACTCGCCGCGATGCCATCTTCCAGCAAACCCTCTTCAACAGTCGAGAACAAATTTCGATGCTTTTATTCAGCATTTGAAGGGAATCATCAAATCTATTTTGGGTTCTCAACAATCCTGCAATACCAATATATGATACTGCAACTTCAGGGTGGTCTTCCCCATGCATTTGCAGTAGTTTCGCAAGGACGGCTTTCTGTATCTTGGTTGCTTCTGCAAACCTTGTGTTGCATTCGCAAGGATAGCAATAGCCCTTGATGCAGATTTGTCAAATCAGAGAGTTCTTCTTACATCCACAACTTTTCGTAACACTTATTCGGCTTCTTCGAAGTTGTTTTGTTTCAGAAAGACCGCGGCAAGGGTTTCGTAGGTTCGTAGTTTATCAACATGTGTGTTTCACCTAACTTTTTCAACTGTATCTCAAGAGCTCTTTTGACTTTCTCCACGGCTTCATTAAAGTGATCTCCCTGTAGCAGCACATTCCCAATGTTGAAGAGTGTTGAGGCCTCAGAAAGATCTTCTTCACCTGACTCCCGCGTTTGTAGCTTCAAAGGTCTCTCAAAAATCTCTTTTGCCTTTTGATATACTGTAGTTTGTTTGACGAAGATAGAGAAGGCCTTTTTCCGTGAGCTTCTCAGTGGAGTCTTGTTCGTTGCCCTTCATTCTTGTTGACGTTTCTAGATATGAGTCTCTATCTCGTCCTGCCTTCTTTTATTTTAAAACCTGCGACATTCAATAATAATAAACAAGATCGAAAAATAACAGGGTACCTGGTACCGTACCCATGAGATCCCCTTTTACGTACCGGTAGTATGCATGATGTGGTACTTTGTTCCGGTGTACCCCGATCGAATTCTATACCCATAAAATGACCAGCATCACCCCCTAATAATTACGAATACTCCGACTACATATAATAACACCAAGAACAATAAAAAAACAAAAACATTTGGACATGAATAACTGCTGATCAAAATATATATACCGGTAACCATACAGTATTTCAGGCTTCCTACAATACATGCACCGGGTTAAGTACAGGTACAGGATGATTGCGTTGATATCTTACTTGCTGAGCATATGGGAATGGCTGATGAACTGGCTGAAAGACCAACAAGAAAAGTTATTTAGTGGGAAAGCCATTGAATTGGACTCGGGAATCAAGGTTCGATTGGGGCGAGAGCTGGCTCAGGGAGGTTACAGTTTGGTATATAGGGCGACGGATGCTTCCAATCCTTCCATCATTTATGCTGTCAAATGCATTCGCTGTCAGAATGATCCAGAATTGAGATCAGGCTGTGTGGAAGAAGGCAAGATTCATCGACGACTGCAACAGGCCCAAGACCGCTTTGAGGATGATTCCCCCATGTATTGCATGCCTTTGTACGGAATGACATTTGAAGACAACAACGAAGTGTGCTATATGGCATTCCCATATCTACCGCATTCACTACGAGAAGAAGTCAATCAACGAATCTTTGATCCTCCTGCTATTTCCTCATCTCCACCACCACCATGGAGCGAATCGGTGGCCCTGAAGCTCTTTGATCATCTGTGCGAGGCAGTGGCACTTATGCATCGGGAAGGAGTGACGCATCGGGATATCAAGCTAGAAAATGTATTGTTTCAGGGGAGTAATACAAAACATCTTCAGGCTCCCATCCTAATGGACTTTGGATCCGCTGGTCCACTGCTAAGATCCCTCTTGTCACGAAAAGACGTCTTGGAAGTGCCAGAAGAGGCCGGCCAACATACCACCATGCCGTATCGACCTCCCGAATTATTTCCAGGAGAATTGCGTGTGGGAGATTCGGACGTTGATTATACCAAGGTGGATGTTTGGAGTTTGGGATGCACTCTGTTCGCCATTCTCTTTGGGGCATCCCCATTTGAATGTGAATTCACGCGGAATCGAAGATCCATGATGGGATCGCCTACGCAAAACCAACAACAACAACATCAAGGAGCGCCCATTAAGATTGTAGATTGCACCCAGCTGCGAGTACTGGGAAGCATACCAAAGCCTCCACCCAACACTGCCGTTGAAAAGTGGTATTCTCCACAAGTTTTGGATTTGATTGAATTCATTTTGGAAAAGGACCGTCTCAAGAGACCAACACTTGCTCAAGTACAAATGCGAGTCAAGGCAGTACTGAAAGGAGACAATGTCGATTTGGAAGATCCAATAGAGGACCTGTTTTCGAACAGTCGGCATCAAGGTTCCTGGTGATGAGGACACGTGAAACTTTCAAATCATAGTACCGGTAGAATAGAGAAAGGCAATAGGACCTAAGTCAGCAGCTTTAGCATTATAATACGTCATGACTAGGAGCATTGCGGCAACTCAGCAGCAGCTATCTTCACACGGCTATTGTGCTAATTATAATACAAACGTACTTTATTCAATGTTTGCGATCATTAATTCAAAAATCCTCGTCACCATCGTCTTCGACATCCCAGTCCATCTCATCCATTTCGGCCATTTTGGCGGCGGCTTGCGCCCGAAATTCCTCCAATCCAGAAATCTGTTCCAGGTAGGATCCATTTACTGACTTGCAAGTTTCAAAGACTAGTTCCATCTTGTCCTTCTTGTAGGCATCAATAAGTGGTTGAGAACATCCCGTGCAGTGAGTAAAGCAGGGAACGGTTGGTGTCATCATGGTGTAGCTGACCAAGGAGCCTCGAATTTGATGGGGCATTACTCCCAATGGGCTGCTGTCGGAGACTTCTTCCTCTTCGTCGTCTCCACCTTTTGAAACGGTGGGAGAAAAAGCAGACGATCGAGTTTTGGGAGCCGGTGCTAGTTGCTTCAAGGGATGGTGCATGATAGACACCAAGAGCTCTGCCGCCATGGACGAAGCAATGGGTGCCAAACCAGGTCGTGTCACCGTACATTGCTGATCCAAAGTTCGATTCTTGGTGGAATTCTCTGGCGCAACAACATCATTGCAAAAGTAGCATCCCAGTCTATTTCCGACTCCACCTCCATGACGCATGACCAACCAAGAATCTAATCCCAAGGCAGCATTGATCAAAATCTTATCATGGGCTGCCGCCATTACCGTGGGCAACCATCTTGATTCTCTTGTGTCGGTCAATAGGAAAATGGCATCGGCCTCTTGGACCAGCGTATCCAATTGAGAGACTGACTCTTGGACGGATTCCAAGGATTCGGAATGACCGGGCATGGGAATGGATAGATGGATCCCTCGACTCTTGACATCTGCGGCAATCGTCTTGAGCGCATCGGCGGCTGCCTGCGCCTTTGGTTTGCCTTGACCATTGTTGAAATGACAATCTTCCAGAGCAAACAAATTTTGTCGGACTGGATTCGAATAGCTAACAGTCCCATAATCCAAAATGGTAAAATCCCTAATTCCCCATCCCATCAAAGTTCTGGCCACGCTGCAACCCAAGGTTCCCGCTCCAATCAAGAGTACCTTGGTGGATTGCAGCCGAGTGACGTCCAGATTCGGAATCATTCTCCACTTCATGAGTTTGAGATTCAGATCGGCCGCTTGGATGGCCAAATGATTTTTATCTAGCAACGGCTTGAGATTGACCCATCTCGGTCCCGGTTTGCCACGAGCATTCAATTCCCAACCCACCACCTTGTATTTGTCGTATGGATTGTTATTGTCGCTAGTATTGTTTTGTTCAAACGAGTAGTCTTCCTTGTTGGGAACGGCCATTTGCAATTGAATGTGGTTATTGGAAGAAGAATTAACAGATGGAATCGTTTCGTCTACCAGTCGATGTAGCCGATTGGGTCGAAAACTGAGAATGGAGATGGTGGATCCACCCAAATTCAAATGTATCGATAGATAGGCCAACAAGTTTCGAAGTGGCCAACCCATTGGTGGAACCACTTGTTGCGTAGTATCAGTCGTCACTGTCGTCGAGTCGACAAACCCAAAGACCAACTGCTCAGCAGAACCATCATGATCCTTGGACAATTTGGAAAAGGAATCCTTGGACAATGGATGAATGACAATATCACTGGGATCTTGATTCGAAAAGACAAAGAATGTTGGCAGCTGATTGGACTCTTGCTCCCTTCGAAAGCTGTGAAAGGCTTGTTCCAGGACCAATTGTTCTTCGGAAGAAAACGATGGCAATCGCTTAGCCTGGAGCTTGGTCTTGCTCATCAAGGCAGGAATTCCAAACCAATAGAGAACCTTGTGTTGCTTTAGATCCGGAAAGGTTAGCAAAATAAAGGACGTGAGGCTTTTCAATATTTGTTCGTCGTTGGCTTCCTCTGACGACAAGAAGCCTTTCAGAAAATGTTCCTTCAAGAGCTTATTCTTATCCACTTTGGAAAAAGTCTCCAAGGTATTGAATCCCACAAGATTGCCCTGAAAGATCATTTTGTCGACGGATGACCTTTGGACCGCAGTAGGCGTTAGCTTTCTGACGGAATGCGTCAAGGAATTGGATCCTCCTCCCAAACATTGCAAACGTGCCACGTTGCTACTTGATATTGGCTGAACTTGGGCTTGCATGGAAATGGCATCTTCGGACAATTGAATGTCCTCTAGCTTGAGATGACAGTATTCTACCCAAAAGGGAGAATCAACGGTCGATGAAAAGGGTACAAACTTGACTGGATCCATACTGTGGTTGTAACTTGTGGTGAGGATCAGAACAATGATGTCAACTATTAGAATAAGATGTCAAGCAGGTTTTCTATATTTCTTCCTTTCTGATATATTCGTTCGTGTCGATTCGAAAATAGGACGTTCGTGATGATATGGCAGAGGAATATTCCGAAGTCTCTACAAGAGCGACTCACTCTCACTCGCTATCTAAGGTACTGTGAAAGTCCATTTTCTGTCCGAAGAGAACGACGGACGGTCGCTGGATGAGAGGCAGAGATGAAAATACTAAGAAGACGACGCAACACAAAAGTAACACTGTATTGAAACTCCATCAGCATCCACCACAAGGCCTTAACTGTTACAGCTAAGCATTTCGACAACAACTGAATCCATTGCCGCAGTACTTACGGTAGTTGATACAAAATTAAAAAATCCAACCAGCGAACTTTGACCTTCACCAGAACGAAAACGACCACCAATATAAACCACAGTTTCATCAATTCAACAACAACAACAACAACAACATGGTCTGTATTCGCCAAGCCAATGTGCACGATTTGCTTCAAATGCAAACTACCAATCTTTGGTGTTTGCCAGAAAACTACGCCATGAAGTACTATTTTTATCACCTTTTGAGCTGGCCTCAATTGTTATGGGTGGCCGAAGACTTTGATGGAAAAATTGTGGGATACGTCTTGGCCAAGATGGAAGAAGACGAGACTCTACCAAAACATGGCCATATTACGTCACTGAGTGTACTAAGGACGCATCGTAAACGTGGAATTGGTAAGTTGCTACGATTTGTATGTGATGATGAGCATATGATGATTGTATCTGTGTTGTGGATTTGATTTGATTTGATTTTGTACATTCAGGTCTGACATTTTCTTTTTTCTGTCCTACTCTTTATATTGTCTCATACCGTCTCTTCCTTCCTATAGCCACCGCATTGATGAGACGGTCCCAACAAGAAATGCACAAGGTCTTTGAAGCCGAATATGTTAGTTTGCACGTTCGCAAGTCCAACCGTGCTGCCTTTCATTTGTATTCCGTGACCTTGCAGTATGTGGTCAATGATGTGGAAAAGGGATACTATGCGGATGGAGAAGATGCCTATGACATGAGATGTTACTTTGGCGACAAGGCGAATCTGAATAAGCCTGATGAAGCACCAGTGGAGGCCATGAAACAGTTGAGTGTGGAGGCTAGTAGTAGTTAGGTTATAATACATCGTACTAGATTATATTGTGTTCGTTGTCATCATTTGTGATCACGGTAGTATAGTAGCAGTTGCTGTCTTTGCGGTTGTTGTGTTGTCGACAGTATACTTTCATTCTTCTTCTCGGCTTAGTACGAAAAGCAAAAGACTTTCTCATCAGCTGGACCATATATTGGTGTCCGAATGTAAAACTAGAAGAGAAGCAATATGATCAACTGTGGGATCTGCCTTGGAATCGGATAACTGTCTCGTGGAAGCGGAAAAGCTTTCTCGGAAGGGCAACGCGGACAGCTTGCGCATTTCCACTTGGCGATCCGTCAGGAGCTTGGAGTCAAAATCATCATCAGCTTCCTGTTCTTCTTTGGTCAAACCTCGTAATAGTTTGCGGGTACTCCGTCTCATGTGTTTTTCTCCCACTTGAATGACAAAGGGTAGATCCAATACCGTTCCACTATGGCAAGAATCCACCTATGATAGTTCAGGATGATTCATTCCATTCAATTCAATTCAATTTAATTCAATTCAAGAACAAGACAATGGCTTAGTCAGTCACCTTGCCAAATCAATCATCTCCTGACGACAACCCTACGGTATTTCTTGTATGTTTCCGACTGACTTACCAACGATACCACATGGACACCCTTTTTCATTGGCAGAACAAGCTTTTCATAGACATGATCATCCAGAAGGGGACCATTTTTGGTGAAATCACATGGTAGCATGGATTCATCCTTGCCATCGATTTCGTCACCTATATAAGGCAATGGAATGAATGAATAGTTTGAAATAAACCAAAGATTCAAGCGTTAGCTGGAATGCGCTTCCAAAAGAGAGAGAAACAAAGGGCATTGCATGTATGTCGATCCCTTACCATCCTTGTCCTCATATTGTTGCCCATGCCCCGAGTAATGCAAGAACACTACGTCCCCTGGATCACTGTGCATTGTCATCAATTCAAAGGCCATTAATATATTGGCTTTGGTCGGAGGAGCATGTTTTCCGTCATCCATGAGAATTGCCATGTCTCGTTCATCAAAGCCGTGATGTTCCGTGAGATAGCTCTTGACATTTTTCAAATCATTGTGACAACCCGTCAAACGCCAAGCAGGCGGTTGATCCACATAATTGATGGCAATCAAAATGGCTCGTTGCCGCCGTTGTTGTTTATTCTTCTTCTTTTTGTTGTCTCCTTTTGTAGTATCATCAAACTTTGGAAAGATCGTAAAGGGTTCGTGGACATTCATTTCAACCGAGCAGGTGAGCTGAGGCACTTGGTTTTTGAATCCTTTTTCATGGATGATGGTTCGTAGACGTTCCATGAATTGCATCCAGGATATCGTTTCTTCCCTTGCGGTAGGTTTGGAAATTTCATTCAAGACTTGCAAGAGAGCCGACGTAAAGACACCCCCACTCTTTCCTGTGGCTGGAAAGGAAAACTCTTTGTCGACCGTTCGAATGCCAGCCGATTTTTCATGGTCCTGTGCCGCTGAAATCATGACAAACATGGCAGAAATTGGAGTAGTATCACGCCTCAGAGTACTGCTGCTTGCAATGGTGGACATTCTTGTTGCTTAGGATATATTGTACGATTGATTTGGAGATGGGCTATGAATGATATGATGCTCATATATACCGGTACTGTATATCATCTGGTCGATGAATAAAATTGAAAAAGAAGGCAAAACGTACTTCTTTAGGTTTTGTTAGAGTTGTCTCATCCTTGCTTGCTTTATACAGAGGACCCTAAAAGTGATACCGTAATGATACCGTAACAATAACACACTAGAAACACTGGAAGTGTAACGAAGTATATGTCATTTTCTTCAACAACGTTGCCTTCCCGAAGACCCACGTGCGAGCAATAGGGTCGTCGATCGGCTGCAATAATTAGTTCCGAGGATTCTCCACCAAGAGACGTTTCAGCAAAGACCTATGCGCTTCCATACTCCGAATCGTGTCAGCATGATCGTCCCCAAGGGTTCTTCGACGAATCTTGAGGGCTTCTGCATTCGCATCAATGCCGTCTTGCAGAAAACCCTGATCCAATTTGACATTCGAAATATTCTCGTAGGTGTCTGCCGCATCTTGATCGTGAACATAACTGGCTTCCCTGTAAATATCCAACGCCCCTTGGAAAAGGTGCATCGCCTTTTCCAAATCGCCTTGGATGTGCATTGCCCTTCCCTGCTCGTTCAATGATTCCGATTCTCGCCTAAGCTTTACGTTTTTTAGGACAGCTGTAAATCCTTTGTGTCGGGATGATCATCACCAAGCACTTGTCGACGAATCTCTACAACCTTCGTGAGATTTTTTATGCCATCTTCCACCATTCCCTTCTGCATATATGCTTTTGTAATCTTTTCATAGGTATCTGCTGTTGCGGGGTGCATTTCACCAAGCGTATCCAATTGCAGCATTAGCAATTTGGTGAACAACTCCAAAGCACATTCCACATCTCCCTTGGCTTCCATTACTTCTGCTATGTTGCGGAGCAATAGTCCCAATATAGTTCTGTCGAAGTCTCCCAGTTGTTCTAGTCGCGAGCAGATTGCGATGGCTTTATCAAGCATCTGAAGAGCATCGTCAAACCTATTTTGGGCTTTCAACAGTCCTGCAATGCAGTGGTATGCCAGCACAATGGTATGGTGGTCCTCCCCGTGCTTTTGTAATAGCGTCGAAAGTACGAGTTTTTGAGTCTTTATTGCTCCTGAATACTTGCCTTGGCCTTTCAATGATACCACTAGATGCTGGTTCCATTTCGTCAAATCGAATGACTCTTGTGGCCGAATAATTTGAAGCTTGTTCATGATATCCAGAGCTTTTCGATATGATCCTTCGGCTTTTTCGAAGTTTTTACCTTTGTCCCGATCGAAGGTTGTACCCTTTTCCAGAAAATTTCTGCCGATGTTTGCGTAGGTCCTTGCTGTATCAACGTGTGCTTCCCCCAATAGCTTCAACTGTATCTCAAGAGCTCTTTCGTGTTTCTTCAGGGAATCACCAAAATATGAGATTCGCCGCTTCTGAATTCCGTCTTTCCGCTGCTGAATTCCCAAGTTGTTAAGTGCAAAGGCCAGAGTAAGATCATCTTCACCTGGTTCTCTTGCATATGCCTCCACCAGTCTCTCCAATACCTCCCGTTCCGTTCGAGGCACTTGTTGGTTGGCAGCGACAATACGGTACTGTTCCAGGAGTGTCTCAACCGAGTCTTGTTCGCTGCCGCCCTCATCCATCGTTCTTTTAAAAAAAATGTACAATCTGCTTTTTGCTAATGATGATGCGAAATATACATCTCACATCTATATTTCAAAAGTAACAAAACCGTCTTATATTGCACAAACGTAGTGTTGGGATACAAAATACATAGAATAGCGTGGACAGTATTGTACCGCGGTACCTCTATGGATGGGCCTTGGTCGTATGAATCAATCAACCAAGTTGCATAATATATTATATGCGGCCTTAAATATTACTTGTAGGACTATAGATTCTGTGTGTGTACCGGTATTAATATTATCCAACGTAGACCGCAGGCACACTGTTCGATTTCTTTGACTACATTGTGTTACAGACGGACAAAGGCCGAACGGCCTTCGACCGTCAAAAGTTGTTGTCGATGCGCCCAGGCAATGATGCCCAGTTTATCGACTGAGATTGAATTCACCCACTTGTGTCGCGGTAATGGTCTATTGAACGTTGCTGCCGCCCAACCCCTACGAGAGCAATTTGCTCGCTATGTAATGGGGATGGCTCTGGATTGTGCTCTCTTTGGCCCCTGTGATGTGGACGATCGACAGGCTATCAGGCAACGCTGTCAAGTTGGTGCATGGTTGGAACGTGCTCGGCAATGCTACCCGCCAGCACTGGGGTATCATGGTCCGCCGGATCATTTTGCGTACCTATCGGTTCTTTGTCCTCCGGAGGATGGGTGGCCTTGGCCGGAATTTTCTACTTGGCTTTCTGATTTGCCTTTCGACGCGCTACCTGATAGGTATCAGCGATTTGAACCGAAAGCGATCCCTGTAAAAGCACGAGCAGTCTTTGTTCCGGCCATTCTTGTGGAAAAAGAGGACCCTGATAGCGATTTGGATGCTTACGCAAATGTGTTTGCCACGACTGCACCTACAGTTACGGCTACACCTAACATCGCTACAGTCCCAGCTCCAGCTCC